TTCGGTTCCCGCTAAGGGCACGTACCTTGGCTGCAGTTTGTCCCTGGCCCCAGTTGGGGTTGTGCGGGAGGCGGCCTCTCAATGTGTCCCTTTCACATCGATGTTTCTCTCTCTCTCCCCCCCTCCCACTCTTTCTGAACAAAAATGGAAAAATGTCCTTGGGTGAGGATAAAATCAAAACAAAGAAAAAAAAAAAAAACATGAAATTCTTGAAAACTTAGTTAACTTAGGACTTTAAAATGCCTGTGAAATGGTATAAACCAGGGACTAGCAAACTATGGCTTGTGGCCCCAATACAGCCCACCACCTGTTTTTACAAATAAAGTTGTATTGGAATACAACTACACCCATCCAATGAAATACTGTCTGTGGCTGTCTTCCTGGCCATGCAACGAAAGAGACTGTGTGGCTGAGAAAGCCTAAGACATTTACTATCTCGTCCTTTATGGGAAACGTTTGCCGACCCCTGGTATTTTAAGAAATGTTTGCTTCTGTGGCTGTCAGTCAATTACACCTATTTTGCCTTATAGAATTTCAGACATAAACCTTCTTCCAGAAACACTGACCTTTTTCTTTTTTTCCCCACAGTGTTTTTAACACATGGCCTGACAATTGGGCAGACTCATGTAAATGAGAAGGACGCAATCTACTTTCAGTTCTGAAATTAGCTAAGTGTCATGACTTTGACTCTTGGTTTTTCTTTGTGACTTTTTTCTCACTGGCGATCCCTCTCTCCCTCCATATTATTTCAGTGAACTTGCATTTATTCTAAACCTTCTTCTCCTATCACCAAAATATACCTCCTGAAAAAAATCTTTAAAATTCATTCTTACTAAAGTGTGAAGGACTTTAAGTTTAAGAGATAGCCACACTTACCTTTCCCAGTGGAACAGTATTTCTTCCCTTTGGGTTTCCCTATACTTTATAAATCCCTCATCACAGGATCTAAAACACTGCATTGCATTTCTTGTACATTCATCTGCTTCCAGAATCAAGACCTTCCTGAGGGTAGAGGACCACTTATTTATCCTTAAACCTCTAGCACCCTGTATCCAGCTAGAATCTTTCTCCAGAAATACTTATTGGGTGAAGGAACAGATGGGGAAGAAAGACAGGTCAGCAGGCAGACTTCTTGGTTTGCAGTGTGACTTATCTCGCCCAGATACAGTTGCATTTTGAGAGCACGTGACTTGAAGCCAAACAATGAAGCTGCGTTGGTGGGATTTTCAACATCAGGAAGCAAGTGGGGGGAGACGTGACAGGTAGGAAGACCTTCCTGGCACCCCTTAATATCTATATTCACAGAAAGTTGTCTGTCACACCCAATTGTCTGGTCAGCCCTGAAGCTAAGAAGGGAAACCTACATGCTATGCCCATGAGAACAAAGACTAACCTTCCAATGTTGAAAAGGAAATAAGAAAAAATACTAAATATATCCAAATTAGCAACTGGGGCAACATTAGCATGCAAACCAAATGACAAGGTATTTGGAAGTGTGTCCAGGAAGAGACCAGACAAAAATGTTGAATGACAGTAAAACATCCCCCAAAGCCATCTGGAGTTGTCCTTAGTGGGCAGCATAACGTGGTGTTAAGAGCTATTAGAATCAAACTCTGGATTTGAATCCTACCTCTACTTCCCTCTAGCCATGTAACCTTAGGCAAGTTCTTTAACAACGTGAAACCTTAAAGTCTTCCACCATGAAGTGGAGACACAAATAGTATCCATCTAATATGGCTTTTGATGTGACTAAATTGCATCACTCCAATACTAAGCGTTGTATTTCTTTTTCCAAACCATTCATTTATTTATTCATTCATTTCTTCATTAAGCATTTCCTATATGCAAGTCATTGATTTATTCTTTCTAAAATATTCTGACTATAGATTGATCACAGGAAACTAATTCAATGTGTCTGAACTTTAATTCAATACAGTATTGTATCTTCTCCAAACTTTTGTTTAAAACCTGTTACATACCTAGCACTGTTAACTCTGGGAAGTAACAGAGAGAGAGAGGACTCTATCCCAGCTCTCACGGAACTCAGAGGCCTGTGAGAAAGGAGTTGTTAACTAGAGATTAATAGATGGCATACTGTTGTGTTTGTTTGTTTAACTTCTGCACTCTGTAAAATCATACTATGTTGTATTACTTTCTCCCCTCCCACTTTTATTGAGATATAATTGACATATAACATTGTATAAGTTCAAGGGATACAACATAATGACTTTATATGTGTAACAGAATGGTCACCTCAATAAGTGTAGCTAACATCATCACCTCACGCAGTTACATCTTTTCCCCTTGTGACCAGGTAGACGGAGATTGTTGTAGTCAGAGGAGACTGCTGTCTGAAGGGGTCGGGAAAGCTCTGGGCACGCTGGAGGGTCGAGCGCAGACTGGCAGCTTCCGTTCGCATCAGCAGCCTTGCACCAGCTTCTCCAAATGCAGCCCCATGAAGTCAGGGGTCACGTCTGCTTTGTTTATCATCATAACCCTAGTGTCTAGACCACTGCTTCGGTGTAGTAGGTGTTCAATAGACGCTTAAGGAAGAAGAAAGGAAGTTAATTGGCTAGTTAGGTTAGGACAAGCCCGATAGGGAAATTGTATGCGCCCTTTTTGTTTTGCATACTTTCTCCTCCAGCTACTTACTCGTCTCTATCCAGCTCCTTTCAACCTCCGCTCCCTTCCTAATCTGTTTTGTGTTTATCTCTTGAATGTACCTTAGGCGGGTGGGTATTTGTACAAGTGTTGTTTGACCCCACTGGGCAGTATTTTGACTCTTGTCTAGAAAAGACAGTTAGCCTAGAAGGACGTTGAGCGTTCTGGGCAGGTACCAGCAACTACTCTGCTCTGAGCATGTGTGTTTGAGAAGTATTACTTATTGAGCCCAGGAAGTCACAACGCAGGGTGTTTTCCACACTGATGAAACTCTAAAGACTGTGTTCTGTGTTCAAACTGATATGCCTTCCCACTTAATACATACTCATCTAATAAGGCTGATGCTACGATATGAACTGATAACCAAAATCAATATGTCAGGAAGGGGCATCCGTCGTCCACTCCACACCCATGAAGCAGCTGGTATGTGGCCAGGCCCTGGGCAGTGAGCTAGAGGCCCCCCATTTTTTCTGTCTCTGCAGTTGGATGTCCAGAAAATGGAATATGTTGGTAGAAAGTTGAACTGAAAACTATGGTCAAAGATGCAAAGGAAAGTTTCCAACAATCTTCTGAGTCTCGCAATGGAAAAGATACATCCCAGATTTAACCGTGAGAGATGCAGTTTCATAATTGGCAGTCTAGTTGTCATTTCTCTGTTGATTATTTTTAAAAGAGATTTTTTTAAGAGGTTGTCACCGATTCTTAATGTATTCTTCCTATGTAATCAACCCAAAGTTAAAAGCAAGTTTTTCCAATTGTGCTATATTTCTTGCATACGGCAAAGCACTATGATTCTTAAAATAGAACACCTATCTTTTCCAGTCACACAATGCCACCTGCCAAAAAAAGTATATTTACCATTAATTTTACTACAGACAAGGGACTATAGCATCTGAAGAATGAGGCCTAATAAGCCCTTCTGATAGAAAAGAAAAAAAGAAACATAAAAAACCAGGCAACATTGACAGCAGGGGGGAAAATGAAACTGTTGTATCCAAATTGTAGAACCCTCAATCAGATTTTTATTCCACTAATACACACTTATCACTCTATGGCAGTTGCTACCCGCCCTCCAATATTCTCTATCATTTTTTCTTCCTTAAAATTTGCACCTGGGAATTAAAGGCTAGTGACCCTTGGTTTAAGCCCACTATACAAAAAGAATCTTTTTAAAAATGCAAATAATACATTCATCGTGTTTCTAAAAGAGAAGCTTTAATTATTTGTTTCAAACATTTCGGCCAAGATAAAGGTCAGCACATAGTGACAGCCCCGCCCACGGGCACCGCCGGACAGGGAGGGCAGTGCCCGTACACCCTGCCTCCTAGACTGTGAGGAAAGGACCCTGTCTCCCCCAAGCTGCTTTCCCCATGAGGAAACTGAGGCCCGGGGAAGCCACCTACTAAGGTCACACACAGGCCAAAGTTGGGAATCAGAGGTCGTGAATCGAATGCCCTGCCACTCAACGGTGTCACCCCCTCTATTATTTTCTGGGGGTCGTTATAATCAACTACCACCTGGAGGGTTTAGAACAGCAGAAATCACTGCTCTCGCTGTGCTGGAAGCCAGATGTTCATAACCGCGGCGTGGGCAGAGCCAGGCTCCCTCTGAGGTTCTCGGGAGCCCCCGTCCCTGCGTCTTCATCCAGGTGCCCACTGGCCTCTGGCCTCGTCCTCACGTGGCCGCCTCTCTCCTCTCTGCCTTTTCTCTAGGTGTCTGAGATACACACGTGCCCTTGGATCGGGCGCCCAGCCAGATAACCCAGAATAATCTCATCTCGAGATCTGTCATTCAATTACATCGAGAAAGACCCCTTTTCTACAAATAAGATCACATTCAGAAATTCTGGGGTCAGGATGTGAACATATCTTGGGGGGACCCCTTCTTTTACCTAAACTAGTAATCAGCATTATATCCGTTTTAAAAAAACACTTTGTGCTTTAAAATGGTTTGTAGTATCTTTTTCTCTTTTTCCTGTTTACCAGTCTTTCAGGAGTCAGACCTGTGTAATTGAAATTTGAATTCAGGCTCTTTCGTTAGCAATGTGACCCTCGATGGATTCTTAACTATCTCTTTAAGCCTTAGCTTCCTCCCGTCTATAAGAAGGACAGTAATTTTCATTCCACAGGACGCTGTGACATCATTATAACACATGTAAACCACCAGGATCGCTGGTAAAAGCAGGTGCTCAGTAAGTCCAGTTGACTTTAAATTATAATAATATTCACCAAGACCAATCTATTCGAAGTGTATGCATTTGCGGTTCCCTGGGACACAGTTCCACCCGCCGGAAACTTCTGGCACCGTCGGAGAGCAGGCGCATTGTTGAGTGTTGACTCATGGGTGTGCGGCCTGCTGAGGAGTGGGAGAGAATTCCCCGGATTCTCTACATCGCTGCCATCCCAGCCCACACCATGGACCTTCGGATCCCCAGCAGAGGACACAATGCGGACACGGACCAGACAGGAGACAAGCTTATTCCAGCAAGCATGGGACTAGTCCCTTCGGATCTGACCAGCGTGGGGCAACGCAACTCAGGGTTAGTGCAAGTGTGGCGTGTTGGGGCTTCTGCGTGTGGGGGGTGGGGGAGGCGGCCGGCAAGCCCGCGGGCTGTGAAGTCTGGGTCAGGCACCCAGTGATACAACCTTCTGGGTCCAGAGTTTTCTGCTGAAGCGAAGAAGCACAATAGCCAAGCAGCATCCAACCAAAACAAACAAACAAACAAAAACAAATACAAACAAGCATTTCTCAAGAATGTTTGTTTATTTGTGCTTCCCAAACCAAGGATGGCGTGGAGTGACGTTGCACTTCCACAGTGACAGTGGGCTGCCAGCCACACCCCAGACATTTCACATTTATTACTAGTTCATGTCCTGGCTTAATTTCCCCATGAGAAAATCAGGTATCCAAAAATTCCTTTCCCACACACAGTTTCGTTTGGGAGGAATAGATAAAAACTCTGAATTCGTTGCATTGATTGCTTCCAGCGCACATTCGAGCTAGAACCGGACACAATGGCCCTGCGTGCATGTCCTTTTTTATAAGAAGCAGTTTTAATATTTGGAAGAGCAAAAATAAAATACCCATTTGGAATCAACAACACCTCTCCCTCCATGAAACTTAAATTCAAGTCATCCTGAATTCATTGCAACTATTTGCATTACTATTGCTAACCCACGATCTGAGCCATGCCAGCTGACCCCACCTTTTTGCAGAGGACACAGAAATCCAGTCCCCTGCCAGGCCTGGGGGATGCAGGCAGCTCTTCTGCACCAGTTGGTTTCTGTCGGCGTTGCTATGTGCCGGTGTTCCCTCTTATTGTTTTCCTAGGTCTCCATTTGGTTGCCATTGTCATTTTGATATTTTTATGAACCCACACCCTCTTCTGATGAGCATAGAAATGTCATGTCCACGAAGAGTCTGTTATGCTCTTCCAGGGACATGCCCACCTTTCCAGAATGAGCATCCTGGGTTTGAATGCCAGGGCAGCAGAGCCGAGGTCACAGCCCCAGCCCCGTGCGAGCCAGTGGTCATAGCTCTGCTCCGTACGTGCTCGCTCAACTCCAAACCTGGCCTCTGTGCTCCCAAATGGATGCCTCATGTCAGAAGCTACCCTAGACGAGGGAGGGATGGACAGGGGTAATTTCACCACCTTTAATGGGGGAGACGAAATTGCTTTTTGCTATTGATGCTTATGATGATTCATTCCTATTCCAAAATGGAAAAGCAAATTCATTTGAGGACTGTGTGTATATCATTCTGTAGGTCAACACACCTACTTATTCAGCAAGCTTATTTAGATACCTGCTTCAGGTCAAGTTCTATGTTAGTGGTTAGATTCTATGATATTTAAGACACAGCACGAGCTTTCAATGAAATCACAAAAACACCAAGTTGAGGGGGGAGGGAAGAGAGTTGGCTTTCTCTGAGCAGCTCAGAAAAACTGGAGGAAGAGAGTTTAAGCTGGAATTTAGAGATGACTATGAGTTTCCCAGGCAGACAAAGTAGAGCTAGGCAGACAGATGGGAACTGCCTGTAACAAGGGGTGGAGGGGGAATTTGAAGAGTAGTGAGTGGTCAGCTGTTACTGGAGTTCACATTCTGTAGGAGTTTGTGTCAGGAAATGACAGCGATGACTCTGAGTGTGTGCAGGTTTGGTGATGGTTCCATTTACACAGCAAATGTTTATGGAGCTCTTACTGAACACCGGGACTTGGACCAGAAGCTAGGAGCTCAGGGTAAAAGAGGAGATGAGACATGATTCTGAAAAACCACCTAAAAAAGTCAGGTGCTTTCTGTGAGGGAGGACGACAGCAGAGGAGTATTTCATTCGTTGTCAGTTATCAAAAACAATGGATCGAGTACTAAATGAGCACCTATCGACACGAATGACAATAAGATGCGTTTCTTGCACTGAAGAAGCTGGCAGCCTAGTGGGGTAAACAGACATGTAAACAGAACATTACGTTATAATATATTCAATAATCAACATAGTAGCATTTATTAACAGCTTCCTAAGTTCCATATGCTGATCTAAGTGTTTTATATTGACTTTGTCCATCCTCACACAATAAGTAGGTTTGATTTTTTTTGCCTACATTTTACAAATGGCAAAATTAGGGCCAGAGAGATTATTAACTTGCTCAATCAAGGTCATTCAGCTAAGGTTAAAATCCATAAAAATTGACTCCTCATTCTTTTTTTTCTTTTTTTTTATATTTTTTTAAGTTGATTTTTTGAGAGAGAGAGAGAGAAATATCGATGTGAGAGAGAAACATCGATTGGCTGCCTCCCGCATGCCCCCCACCTGGGGTTGAGCCCGAAACATGGACTTGTGCCCTAACCAAGAATCAAACACATAAGCCAGCCTAGAGGCAGTGGGAACACCTTCCCCTCCCCTGGTAGTTATGTTCTCTCTGTGGTCTCCAGGGAATACAGAGATCGCTTATAGAGTTGTAGAAAGCTACCAAACTCATTATACTTCCCAGATTGTGTAGCATCTAGAGTTAAAGTTCAAAAAACTAAACTTTCCCCCCCAAAATTCACCCCGGTTACATTTTTTCATTCAAATCATTGTAATTTTCTAGTCCCATAAATACCAAATCTCATTGTATACTTCTAGGGGCTTCATCAAGAAAAGTGTGAATTTTACAGGAAACATCTAATACTTCTTAGATTTTTCTTGTGGGCTCCCAGCATTTTATGTTATATGATACCTTTTGAATAGCACTGTGAAAATTCCAGGCTGGATTTATATACTGCTAATTCATGATATGTCAGTTTCAATGTCCTGTATCCGGGACGATGAAACTAGAACTATATTTCCCACCTAAATTACTGTAACTTTTTCAGCTCCCACCTAGTTCAGCCCTCTCCATCTTCATAACCACCATGGACATTGGGTTGGCAAATCACAAAAAGGGAAGAGTTGTAAGAAGTTTAGTTGTAACTCTAATGATCTTATGAAACATCATCATAAATAGGTAGCAAAAAAGCCACAGAATGTCAAAAGATGACCTTATTCTTGGACAAGAAAGCCCAGGATGAGGAGCTGTGTGTCCGTTTGGATAGCATTTGTCTGCATATAACAGAACCCAACAAGGTCAACCTAAGCAAGTAAAGGGCATTTCTCTTATGACATAACCACAGCCCAGGCCAGGGCAGATGTCAACAACCTTTAAGGTTCCTTATGCTTTTCTATTCTGCTGTTATCTTTGCAAGATTACTGGTATACGTTGAGGTATCAAGCCGTATTCAAGGCAATAAGAAGGGCAGAAGGTAAAAGGAAGAGGTTAGGGAGCTCTGTCCACTTTGAAAACGTTTTCTAGAAGCCACACCCTGCAACTTCTATTTAAATCTCATTGGCCAGATTTGGGTCACATGGCCTCTGCTAGCTGCAAAGGAGTCAGAGCAAATCACTGTAGTACCTCAGCACATGCCACTCCAAGCAAAGCAGGGTTTTAATAGTAAGAAAAATGAAGAGCATGCACATTGGTTTGGTAGCTAGCGATGTCTGAAAGATTAATGTAGAGTTTTCCAATTAAAAAAAGAAAGAGATGAGAAGAGAAAAGGCAGTCAAAACAGACTTTAAAACCCCAGAGAATGTAACCAATTGAATAAAGCCAAACCAACTTTATCTAAGTATTTCCCTTTTAAGTTACTTAGATAATCCATGGCTTTAAATCTTATGGAACAAATAGGAGTTAGGAAGATTTGGTGAGGGCACAGAGAGAACAAAGCTTTGCCAGCTAAGGCACCAACGTGTGAAAAATCATGTGTGGTGATTATAATCCATTCCCTGTTTCCAGAGAATAAATTTCAAAGTAAGGAATATCAGGGGCCAGATTATAGAAGGCTTGTGTGTATGCTTTTAAAACGTATTAATCTGGTACAGAATGAAGAGCCACTAAAGTATCTGAGGTCAGGAGGGACTAAGTCAGACTTGCATTTTGGATAATTCATGCTTAGTGATTGGGTATAGGATGGAATGAAAAAGATCAAGCTAACGGTGGAGAAATAAGTTAAGAGACAACTGTATGAATACAGATGGAAGATGCCGCGAGCCTGATCTAGTGAGGACACAGAGCAGTGCACAAATATGAGAAATACTTACTTGAGCATCACGGGAGACTTCTTGAAGGAAGCAGCCTTTTGTGACTAAAATTTAACTTTTTTGTGCCTATGGTATCTTTCTGCAGAGTCTGAGGCTGTCCTACTTCATATATTTTTTAGGAGTTTATGAGAGAGAGGCTATTCATTATTAGAAATTCCTAAACAACTTGTCCTGCTATTCTTAAGTAAAATGACATCTGGAGATGCTTTTGGCAATAGGCTGAAAATTTGAAAAACTCTTAAAATCTGAAGGTAGGAAAAGTCTACATTATAGTACTTGTATCCTCAAGATCAGTTGTTCTCCAACCCGAGTGTATCAAGGGAGCTGGGAAAACTACAGATTCAGAGAACCGCCTTCAGACCTCCTGGATCAGAATCCCGAGGCCGGGCCTTGGGGACAGGAATTATAATAAATCCCACACGGTATTCTAATATGCACCAGACTTTGGTTAACAGCATGAGAGGCCTCATAGGGCACAACTCGGACCCAAACATCAGACATATTGATGAGAAAGGAGCATGAGATTCAAGAATGTACAATTGTGAGGCGAGAGACAGAAGTACAGGCAGGAAGGTCATCCCTCGGGTACAAGGTCAGAGGCATGGAGCTTGGTTACGAGCCTGAAGGGCTTAAGCAGCTGGCAGGCGGGAAAGCGGAAGCAGCAGGGGAAGGCTGGGCAGGGCCGATTGAGGGGCTCCGGGCATGGCCGCTTTGTGGGGCGGGGTAATGGACCAAATCATAATGTCCAAAGTATAACAGACCCAGATTCTCAACTTCCAAGGCAATTCCATAGCGAGGCTTTTGTTGGTAAATTGAGACAAAATTCCTCTGCATATAAAGTAACCTATATACGGAGCTATTTGTTGATTTAAGAAGAGGATTTAGAGCCCTGGCCAGTTTTCTCAGTGGTTAGAGCATTGGCCCGTGCACCAAAGAACCGTGGGTTCAATTCCGGCCAAGGGCACGTACCTGAGTTGTGGTTCGTCCCCAGCCCTGGTCGGGGTTTTGCGGGAGGCAACCAATCGATGTGTCCCTCTCACATCAATGTTTCTCTCTCTCTCTCTCCCCCTCCCACTCTATTTTAAAAATTAATTAATTGGTTAATTAATTAATTGATTAATTAAACTAAAAGAGGATTTAGATATTACATTGGTCAATAAGTAGAAAGAATTGCATCTCTCATCCCCCAGAATAGACCAAAGGAATATCTGGACAGCTCTGATGAGGAAGCTATGAAAATCCCTCAAATTGATGCTATCAGGCAGGTTCCCAGCGGGGCAGATCTTGTAGCCCTTTTGCTCCTTAGAGATCACTAAGTGTATACCAGTGGCTTTAGAACTCCCCTTTCTGTGTCTGATATGTCAACCATTTATTTTGTGAATATCCAACAGACAGGAAGTTCCATGAAATAGTGTAGAGAAAAGAAGAAGGTGTGTAGGTCTGTTTGCTAAGCGTTACCAACCGTGGTTCTCATTTTTCTCTGGGAAAAATATAAGTACTGACTTAGTAACCAGCCTCAGATCTTCGGGGGTGCTGGTGGCCATACCTTTCATCCTGCTCCCTCTCGAGCCCTGTGAATAATTTGCAGAGACTCTTGTGTGTGAGGGCTTTCTCCTAGTGTCCTTCTGAGTCAGAACACGCTGGGTATGTTTGTGCTGACTTTTTTTTTTAGTCCTCATCCAAGGATATGTTTGACTAATTTTAGAGATGGGAAGACAGAAGGAGAGAGAGAGAGAGAGAGAGAGAGAGAGAGAGAGAGAGAGAGAAACATCAATATGTGAGAGGAACATCAATCAGTTGCCTCCCACATTTATGCAGATGGGGGACGGAACCCACAACTTAGGTATGTGCCCTGACCAGGAATCGAACCGGCAACCTTTCAGTGCACAGGACGACACTCCAACCAACAGAGCCACAGGGCTGTGCTGACCACTTTGAGAGAGCTCTTCTGCTTTGGATGAGTCAGAATCACAAATGGTCAATCAAGCTCAAAAAGGTATGGAGTGTGTGCGTCATGATAGCCCTCCTGTGTGTGAAGCTTCAGGTAGCCTCCAAATCTTTCCTTAGAAAAGCAAGCATTGCCCAGTCAGCCAGTGTGGCCCAGGGGGTTGAGTGTCATCCCATGCACCAAGAGGTCACCTATTGGATTCCCCGTCAGGGCACATGCCCAGGTGTGGGCTCAGGAGACAGCTGATCAGTATTCCTCTCTCGTCCATGTTTCTCTCTCTCTCCCTCTCCCTTCCTCTTTCTCTAAAAATCGATAAACACACACACACACACACACACACACACACACACACACAAGAGCAGGCATTAATCAGGCTTGTAGCAGTCCCTCCAAATGCCCAGAGTGGTCTGAAGGATGACCCGGCCGCGTGCCGCCTCTAAGTTCTCTCCTTCTATCTCTTGAGCACAGGTGCCGTGAGCACAGGAGGTCCGTGGTGCTCAACTTCCCTGGACTTGAGGTGTTCCCCGGGGACCTTCTGGTGTCAGATGGGGCTGCCGATTACCTGTGCCACCCACTTCTGCTGCTGAATCCAGGTCCCGTCCTTTGGCATACTTACATCACGTGCCTACTATGGGAAGGATATAGTAATAAGCAGGGGGATTTTCAGAATATTGAATGGCCAGTACAACCTGTGCACTAACAGCTAAAACAGATCCATCGGCACATTAGGGCAGGGGGCAGCCATGCATTACTGGAGCCAGTAGAATACCCCTCTGGTATTGGCCATCTCTCTTACAGACGGATCATGTGTGGGCCTTCTCTCAAAAGGTCCTCTTGCCAAATAATTTGCCGTAGGTCCCAGTGACAGTCACCATCTTGGAGCTGAATGGGCAGCTTCTCTATCTTTGCTGTGACGCCAGGCACACAACAAATACCACAGCCCCAGCCTGCTCCTGGGCTTCCAACCAGGGTGGCACCATGTGGGAACAGGGTCCTGGTGAGAGCAGATGACTGATCAGAGAGATTACAGACAGGCAGCCTTAAGTGTAAATCTTCTGCATTTTGAACTCCGTTGGGAAAGAAATGAACAGTTTTCAATGCTTCTGTGGGTAGCCTTTGGGAGCTAAAAGGAGACTTAAGGAGTGCCCATTTTGGTAGTCCTTAAACTGGTTTTGTTCTTAGCAGAACCCTTTTTACATAAGAATCCTCACTTGGAAATCCAGCATCTAAAACAGATCCAAGCCGAGTTGCAATGTTTGAAAATGGGGTGGGTCCCAAAGCCTCACCCCCAGGAGCCCAGGACATCTAACAACTCAGCTGGAAAACCACCCAGCTCATGCCTCATTTACATACGTGCAAGGTTGAGACCCAGAAAGGAGAAGTGACCCAGCCTCGGTGCCAAATGGTTCGTGTCAGAGAAATGGAATCTAGGCTCCTGACTGCTAGTCCTGTGTGCTCCCGGCAAGCCTGCATCAACGCTATTAGACGGAACGCAGTAAATAAATCATACTAACATTTGTATAGTTCTTCACTCTTTATAGATCCCGGTCTTATAAGATACAACCATCCAAACGAACATCTACTGTCTCCGATGATACAATCACCCAAATGAATAAACCAAGAAGGATTAAGTGATCTACTCAAGGACAGGTCCCTAGAAATTAGAGCTGGCTTTAAACACAGGGTCACCTCAGCAGAAGTTAGTACTTGTTCCACGACACTTCGCAAATGCTCTAAACTGGTCAGCCTCTAAACTGGTGTTTCCCGAAGGCTGGTGCCAGACCAGGAGCTTCCGCTCCAATTACCTGGGAAATTGCTGGAAGTGTGGGTTCTGAGGCCCTTCGCTAGACCTTCTGAATTAGAAATCCTGGGGGAAGAGCCCAGTACTACAAATAAGAAAAGATAGAGGATGCAATAAAGACCCATTTAAATCTTCTGAATATTTGTGACGCTTTCCCAAGGCTCTAGAATTACCCCCCGAAGTTAGAAAAGCAGAGGAGAGACATTTGTCAAGACCAGAGACCCCAGTTGCCGTTCAAATTGAACATAATTTACCCCCTGGCATTTGAGGGCTGAGAGTGGTAAAGCCAATTTGCCCCTAAAGGAGATTCCTTCCACCCATGTTCTCCTTTGCAAAGATCGATAGGGTGGTCAGAGTGAGCAAGATAATCAGCTGAGCAGGATCCAGTAGGAAAAGTCCCTGAGCACACCCTTTGCAGTAAATTCTGCTCAGTGACTGCCTCCATCCATTAACGTATCCTGCAGAGTCCCTGATGAATTGAACAGAAAGACAGATAGACCTATAAGGCATCTATTTTTGTATACTGAGTCATCAGAACACCTCACCTAACTCTGAGAGACCATTCCCCACCTTTTCTGGGTAACATCACAAGTTGATGCAAATGACATAAAAATCAGGAGTTCCAATCCCATCTCTTTACTTCCTGATCATCAAAAGACAGTGTTATTGAACAATGACTTCCTTCTCAGCTCAAAGCATCTCCTAAGGACTGCAAGGATGGTGCCTAATAGCAACAGTAACCCCCAACACAAAGATTGGTGATGTTGATGTTCCCTTGTTTAGCCACACCTGGGAATTATCAGGTGGATGCAGTTGTCAAGTGTCAAGTTTGGTCTGGAAGAGTTTCTGGCAGAACAGTGCAAAAATGAAGTCATTTCGGCCCCCAAGTTCTAGGACTCTCTGTCTTAAATAAATTATGCAAAAAATCTCTCTTTCTATATATTTTATATATATATATATATATATATACATATATATCTGTGTGTGCATATATATGTGTGTGTGTGTATATATGTGTATGTATATATACACATATATATATATATACTGAAAAATACTCTAGTAAAAATATAAAACAATATTACCTTCAACGGAATACCAACTTCTATATTGCATCATCTCTTCCTTCACTCATCTGCATACATATAAATATGCCTTCTGTGCATTCGCAAGGGATGGCAAGTTAGAACAGGATGAATTCCGTTTGGCTCCTTTGGAAAAGCAGGTTTTGTACAGCACAGCCGTGCTCTGTCACTAGCTACTCAAAGTTCTAATATATTTTTTTCATTTCCCCACCAGAATCCAAAAAGCCAAGATGGCCTTTCTCCAAGAGAGGAGCGGTGAGTGCTTTGTCATTTTTGCTTCGATCACGCCTTCTGTAGCTAAGGAAGTGAGAAGCAGCTGAAGAGCACCTTTATCCTTGCATGACGGCAGATGACACGTGAAGTTAAAATTATATCATCACATTCATAGTAGCAGCTACAGAACATACCAAATAAGGACACTTTGTGCAGCAAAACAGTGCTAATTGCCAGTGGTTAATGAGCTCTGCAAAACAACAACAACAACAGAGCAATCCTAATGCCAGGATGCTTTACAAGTCTAAATTTGTAACTTATGCAGCTCACGCGATAAAGTCAGCTTGCACAAGGGTATGTCCCATTTGCAGTCTGTGCTGTGCTTATTGGGAACATTGAAAAATTAATGAGCTATTACAGAAACAGATTCCACAAATATACTTCTATTTCTGAGAAAGCCGGTTGGATTAGTCCTTGCATGTTTTTTAAATTCATTCTCCGTACCATCAATTATGAAAGAGTCAAAGGTCCCTGATTCTTCACGGCCTGCGACAAAGCCACAGTGAGTCTTCCCTTCAGGCACGCTGGGGGCAGAGGCAAGGAGTGGTTCGACCACAACCTGACTCCTCACTCCTCTTTGTGTAGGAATGGGAAGACTGACTCTGTTCTCCCACAATACCCGTTGCAAAACCATTTTTGAGCACTGTAGCTAAATTAAAAGCTCTCTGAGGTTCCAATCCCAGCTGCTCCACTTACTGTTCTGTGACCTTGGCCAAATGAGTCAACCTCTCTCAGCTTCAGGTCCTCCCCAGCCGGATGGTGACGGTGCCAGCCCTAGGGTGGTTGTGACGAGTAAATCAAAGAAGGCATGAGGGGCTTGCCCCAGAGCTGGGCACGTCTTCAACACTCCATCGGCATTGTCCATATTATTGGTGGTTTTATTTGTAAGTAGGGGTTGGAAAACTACTTGTTCTCATAAGCAAGTATCTGAGTGACTTTCACATTGTTTCTCCAAACATGAAAAATAACTGTATGAATGTCTCAGTCAGCTCGGGCTGCTGTAACAAAATACCACAGACTGGGTAGCCTAAACAATCGATAGTTACTTCTCACAGTTCTGGAGGCTGGAAAGCCCAAGATCGGGGGCCTTCGTGGGCAGGGGTTTTGGTGAGAACTCTTCCTAGCTGGTAGATGGTTACTCTCTCGCTGGGTCCTCACACAACGGAGATCGAGCTCCCGTGTCTCCTCCTCCTCCTCACTCACCTCAAGAATGGGTCAGTGTCCTTACAAGCCCAGGGTCCTTACAATGACCTCAGCTAAGCCTAGTTACTTCCCAAAGGTCCTATCTCCAAACACCATCACATTGGGGGTGAGGGCTTTAACATATGAATTGGGGGAGGCTAGGAGGAGGGAAGTGGAGACAGAAACATTCAGCCATAGTGACAGTCTAAACATTACAAGCTAGCAAAATTTTCACAAAATTGTCACTGAGGCTGTTTCTCATCATTCATTCTCATTTCATCCCTCTTTAGGGACCTGATTTGACTGTTTCCCTGGCAAGTCTGAGGCAGGGCCTATGGTACAAGCTTTCCAGGGCTCCTTCCTCATTCAAATGGAGGCAGGGTCAGTTACCAGTCAGGTCTGGGGTCTCTGGAGAAGGGGTCTCTCCCACCAGCTGTCCTAAGGGCTCGCCCAGAGCAGGGAAGCTCCGAGGGCTGCCTAGGAGACAGACTGTGCTTCCAGAAGGGAGGGTGTCCCTAAGGGAGGGGCGCTTTACAAGTTGTGACCAATGTATTCTTCTCGAAGAAGCAATCTGTTCCACGTGTTGGGTGGCTGCATGTGCCAAACACTGGGCTAGATTTCCAAGTTGCCAAGATGCCCTTTATCCGCTCATAATTGAGAAGGTCAGACTGATATGCAAATCGGAAGGAAAATGTGATAAACGGTTTGCACAGTGTTGGAGGTGGGTGGGGAGTGGCAGAGATACACAAAGATGGAATAATTAGTGGGATGACAAAGTGCTTCAGCAAATGTTCTCGGTAATGAAGGGAAACTCATATCTCAGAGGCTCATTTTCATCAGGACAAAGTATCTGGTCTCCTTCAAATTAATATGTCTACTTTCTCCTTCATCATGTTAACCTTATTTTTTGTTTTTATCCTCACCCGAGGATATTTTTGCATTTATCTTCAGATAGAGCAGGAGGGAGAGAGGGAGGAAGAGAGAGAAACAACGATGTGAAAGAGACACATTGAGTGGTCACCACCCACACGACCCCAACCAGGGCCGGGGACAAACCACAACCAAGGTACTTGCCCTTAGCGGGAACCGAAACCGGGTCTCTCCGGTCCACAGGCCAACACTCTAACCGCTGAGCCAAACCGGCCGGGGCTTGTTAACCTTATTTATCACATAATTCATACCTATATAAACGCTAATCCACATAAATATAACGAACACGCTGCTACGGTATAATGTATTTTCCCAATCTATTACACATTTTTCCTTTTCTTATCTTCCTTCTCTCCTTCTTTTCAAATGAATATTAGTAATAAAAGCAAACAGATGAAATGTTTACCACATTATCGGGCACTATTTCTTTTTACATGTATTCCTAAGTATAAATGTCATAGTTTATATATGTTAACTCATTAATTCTCACAACAACCCAACAAGACAAGTAACATTATTATCCCCATTTTCCAAATGGAGAAACTGAGGTTCAGAGAGGTTGAATAGCTTGCCTAAGGTCACATAGCTTATAAGCCGCAGAGCAGGGATTGGTCAGACATTGAATTGTTCCTCCAATGTGGCTCCATAACCAGACCTGGACACTCCTGCCTCCTCCGTCTTATCAGAGTGTTCATGGATCTAGTCTGTTTTCACAGAGTCAATGTCATCTCTTGGTCAACCACTCTAAAATGTGTATATTCACGTTCACATATCACATATATTCATTTTGCTCCAGTTCCACATCCCAACTGTAAATTTCCGCTCCACCCACCTCTTAGTTATCAGCTTTGAGACCCCAGCATTAAGCTTGGTTCTTGCTCTTCCTCACGCTCTGTTTCCTCTCAAATCCTTCTCGTTGCCGCCCCTTGCCAATCCCACCACATCGGAAGGCTTCAACAATGGGTTTGTTACTCCAGAGAGGGAATGTGATGTCTCAGAGGCCTGTCCCCGCCCTTCTCGCTGGTACATCCTCCAAGCATTGTCATCAGGAGGCTGGTCAAACCCACGGAAAGCCACCGTGAATGCCCTTCGAGACAGGCGGGTGCCCACCGTCCCACAGCTCGGGTGCTGCTCCCCTTGTCTCAGCTTCTTCGTTTTCCAACAGGCTGCTGATGTTCTCCTTCCACAACACGCAGTCACTGTGGTTTCAGACAACAACCAAAAGCACATGTCCCAGGGGCGGCAGGCGGTCCCCAACCCTCTCCAAGATTTCTTTGCTACTGTGGAAGCTAATGAGTCTCTAGTAGGTTTTCTCTTTCAGGGCCATAACCCTACCCGAGAAACCAGCCACAGCCCTTGAAACTGTTATAGGTCTCCTTTCAGACACGCAGGGAGCTGCCTACAGCAGATAACTCCTGCGTTTTCTTGCTCATTAACCTAAAGTTGAATACCGCCCTCCAAACTGCGTAGATCCCCTTCAGTGGCATGACCCTGAGGCAACAGAACAAGTTAAAAAATTATTTGTGAGAAATATTCATTTGAAATGCAGCCAGGTCTCCTTAAGGGAGCCTTACACTTCATTTGATAGCTTCTTCCTGGTGTAGGTGGTAAAGTGAACTTTTTAAAGTGCTACTTTATGATGTTGCAACCGAGTACTCAACGAGTCAAAAAAAAAAAAAAAAAGTCACAATATATTAAGTTCCGAGGGCAAGTTATGGAAGGATGTGTAAATATGACACCATTAGAAATGAATTATAAATACCATCAGAGAAAGGTTTTCAGTAGAAATCTGGGGGTGAAGATTACAGGTCACTGATGTTCTTTGTGTTTTTCTTTGTTTCTCAAATTTCCTGCAATGACCACAGATTTCCTTTGTAATCAGATCTTTTAAAACTAATATTATTAAAAATAAAAATGGTAAGACAAATAAGTGGGTGGTTCCATTCTAAGGAAACTAGTTTCTAGCATATCGTAGTATTTTTTTAGCAGTGAATTTTCGTGTTGGGCAGTTTCCTGGACACTCCGGGCGTTACCCAATCATTCGCTCACCGAGGGGTGGAACTAAGTCCTATCATCCTGCGCTTGGAGAAGTTAGAACTGGAAAGACATTATATCACCCCACGGGGTGGGTGTGAGACCTGCAGCCCATCTATTTATTATACAATTCTTCCAAGCCTTGGATTTTTTTTTTTTTTTTTCATTAGTAAAATAAGAAGTTGGGATCAAACATCCTCCCAGCCTCTGTCCTCCAGATCTGACGTTCTGTGGTCCTCTGGTGAGACCGTGGCTGGGAGACGCCTCTGCAGCTGTCGGTGGTTCGTAGACAGAAAGTGCAGTCAGTCTGTTCTCATGCACGTTGGAGCATGAAAGTATGGAAGATGCCGAGGCTACCGAAGCGTGTCGTTCACGAATCCGTGTTTGCAAACGCTGTTTCTCACCATCTTTAAGCAGGGCAAAGACAAACACAAGCATGTGTCTGGTTTGGAGAAGTGCCTTTCCTCCGTGAAGATTGCAGACTTCAGGGGCTCTGAGTTCCTCGGCCTTCAGGTACCTCGCTAATTGCTTACTGCGTGACGTGGCTTTTTTTTGGTTTAGTTATTATTTTGCTGCCTTTGTTCATACAATAGCAAAGTGCAGGAGAGAAGCACAGAGCGGGGCTGAATCGGGTCTGTGCTCTCTCATGCACACGGACACCTCAGGAAGGTCGTTTCATCTCAACTAAAATAATGGCTGTGGGAGGCTTTGCACAGATGCTTGCAGTGGTTACTCTTCTCCACCTCGGGCCTCCATGTCCTCATCTGCAAAACAACTTGCTTTTGATAAGACCATTTCTAAAGGCCTCTATAAACTTTGAAACTCTCATTTCTTGTAATTAATTTCAACAAGCTTTAGCTGGGGAGCCCAGATCAGACGTCCCAGTCTGGGTCTGGGGTTCTTGGAGGGTTTTTTGCAATAAATTGAAAAAGGCTCATGAAATCCTCAACATAATGCAAAACAACATCAATTTGAATTCCTTTTTATTTGAACTAAACGTGACATATGTCATGCACCCCAGAGCCACACAGAGAGAACTGTGGTTTGGGGAGCTGGGGAAGCCACTCCCAAGAGGGACGCCGGGGCCCCAGCGGGACACCGTGATTTCGGGGATGCTTGCGTGTTCTTGACGTACTTAGAGCACGTGGTGAACAGGTCACCCCATTGAGGTGGAAACGTTTTGTTCTTTCTTTCCTCCATGCGCAGGGTAAGACCTGGAATGAAGTCATGGAAATACATCAAAAGCTTCCCACCGATCAATTAGACTTGAGAAAGCAGCAAGAGGCCGTGTGGGAACTTTTCACGAGTGAATGCACCTATTTCTTGGACCATTTATTAGTTCTTAAGATGGTAATGCCGGGCTTGGTTTTTGTAGTAGATGGAAAATACTAATGTGATTTGGAGAGATTTGTTTTTCTCTTCCACATGGAAGGAAGAAAGTTGGGGGAAGGAGGTCCCCTCTTTCAGGAGCTCTTAAGAAAATGTTACCTGTTGTTGATCTACTGCTTGGTTGTCTCTTCATTGTTTTCTTACGCACACACGCTCAGGATTGGAGGAGGTCTTCTAGAGAAACTAGTCTGACTCCCCATCTGATGTCAGACTCTCTGCCTATTCTTACCCCGGTTTGCACCCTCGGGAGCCAGGGGGCTCACAGCCACCCTCCAGCTCCGTCCCTTGGCCGGTCGGTTCCCCCGGGAGCTCTTGCTCCCGGTGACAGTGCCAGGCGAGGGTTCTCGTCAGCGCAGGGCCACCTCGTGGGGCGATGGATGACACGGCACAGGCGTGGTGTCTGCCTGTAAGCGATGTCCCCGAGGTTGTGCCGTGCTGCAGCCCTGCCGTGGGGAGGCCCTGAGCAGAGACCTCCTAGGAGAAGAACCCCGGGCAAGGACGGCAAGGACCACCGGGGAGGGGGAGCAAATGTTCCTGTGAAGATCCAGGGGCAAGAGTAGGTTTATAGTTATTCGTATGGAACATAATAATTAAGAAATACGAGAATAAACTCTGTGTCTCCGACCCAGAACTGGCGACCTCCTTTTGCCACCGCCCTACTTTGGGTTTTGCAGACTGTATGGTCTTTATACACCTCAGCTCCTCTGCGGCCGGCGCGGGGGAAGCGGGTGGTTTACTGAGGAATGTGCCCGCGGGGTCCCAGCGAGGCCGCACAACAGGCGGGAGGCTGACTCACGCCACAGGGTGTCCTTTGACATCCGTCCTCAGCTCCAGAGCGATGGCGATACCGGTTCTGGCTGCCTCACAGCATCTAAGCACTGTGGCCCGCAGATTCGTTTCCCTTGAAATCTATCAAGTGACATACGAATGTCAGTTGCTATTTTCTGTAAGTGCCATTTATTGTCAGTCACAGCACTGAGTACCTGACCACGAAATTTAAACCACCCAGACGTCTGAGGAAATGGAGACGCGGGTGGGGAGGTATCATGAGGATACAGAAGGCTGTCTTCAATAACACAGGATTTTGGTGGCCCATGTCAAGTCCAGAGTGGGGAGAGATTTCAAGGTTGATGTGATCGAGAAGCTTGAGATGAAGGACAATTTTGTTTTATCTGTCACGCCTGCCGTCCATGGCATCACCCGAGTCCTGTGGCTGGCTTCTGCTGTAGTCACAGAATGGCTGTTTTCCTTATGCCCATGGAAAGAGACCGAGGGGAAAAATGAGAAAAAGGCAGGATCTTTTTCAACATTCACAGCAAAAGTCTTGAATTTCATTCTGATTGGACTGGCTTACGTCATTCCCTCCCACTTCCGTGCCAGCTGCTCCTTTAAGGAGAGAAGGTGCCATCTGGTTTAAGGCCCACCACGGGGATAAGGTCCGCTGGCCACACGGCACAGCAAGGCCTGGGGAAGGGTAGACACTGAGGTGAAGACCAGGGTGAGCTCAGGAAAGAGGAGGCTGAACTGCGTGTAACCAATGGCACACTGCACAGCAGGATCACCTGAGCCCTCCTTCCCGTACCCTAAAAATAGCACAGAACTTTCTACCCCACTGTTGACCTCACAAGCTTTTTAAACTAATATTTTCTGTCTAAAAAAAATTAGTTTGAGTTTATTGATTTTCCACTGTCCTAGTGGGAAATCTAGAGTATACATGTTTTTCCCTTTACTCCATCAATGTGAGTTTCCCAGTTTCTTGTAAATTGAAATTGACAATAAGTAAATTCAAATAGTAAAATGAATATATTGGAGTACTCATTTTTTTTTAATGGCAACATTTTTAGTAAAGCAGAAAATAATCTTGTAGCAAAAAGACTTTTTTCTTAATTTGCCAAATTACTCAGTAGTCACGACATCTGTTTCTTAGGGTTACTTGCTTGGGTAATGTCAACTTTCCAGACTAACTATAGGGATTTGGGGAGGTGCTTAGTCAGGGGTTCGCAAAGTGTGCTCCCTGGACTACCAGCATCAGAATCACCTGGGAACTTGGGAGAAATGCATATTCCCAGGCCCCATCAGAGACCTACTGAGTCGGAAACTCTGGGGTGGAGCCCAATCTCTGGTTAAGGCTTCTAGAGGATTCTGAAGCAAGTTCAAGGACCATTCACTGCATGAATTAAGTACTATGGAGATGGACTTGTAGAAGCTTGGTGCCTAAAGTCCAGTCTTTCTTTTACCTACAATTCTTAAGATAATCATTCCCTTTGAATGCTTCGTGATATTTGCAAAGCATTCCTCTTTCAATAAATAGCCCTTTTTTTACTTTACAGACTCAGGGAAGATGATCTGTGAGAACTGTAGTTCTTTCTTGACTTGCTGTGGTCTCCCGCTGCACGAGAGTGTCAAACAAGGAACAACAGCTTAGAGCCTTCCTGAGTGCTTTCATGAATGTTTAATGCCTGTATCCAAATCCAACATCTTACCAGTTACCAGATATTCACTCATTAGTTCTCTGTTTTTTAATTTCCTGGAAGTAAAAGACATTTGGAGCCTTTGCAGAGAGAGGTACAAATGAGAACTCAGCATGAATGTTGTTGTGGTCTCACGTTAGTGCTGTTGGCAAGAGGAGGCCCATCTGAACAGATTATATTGAACAGGGATGTTGCAAGGGCGCGTATCAGCAACAACGTTTCCTAAGAAGAGCACATTTCCCACGTGTTCCACGGAGCCTAAATGTCATCATTCGTAGTTAGGAAAATTCTTAAATCTTGAAAACACTGATTTCTGCACTGCTTTGTAAAGTTGTCCTCGGGAGGTTTATGTGCAATGATCTTGAAAAGGGCAAGTTTCAATACCTAAAAGCAGAAAGTAATGTGCATTTATTTTTTTAACAGATCTTCATGAATACACTTAAATATCTACAAACTTATGAGTATCTCCTGGATGTGGATTTATGGAGACTTTTTGCAAACCTGGAGGAGTTAAGTCAGGTGAGCCAAAGTAGAAAGATGCCAGGAGCCATGTTTTAAAATTCACCAGCGGGATCATGAAAATGCATGTTTTTTCTATTCCTGGGCTTGTATTCCACACTACAATATAGAAAATGGTTCGTTTCCCCATATAATTTTATGGTCAGGAGGCCAGGTTAATAAGAAGGAAATCTAAACATCCATTGACATCTTGCCAATACATCGCAGATATTGGCCTTCGGTAGCATTTTCCATTTTAACTTGGCTGTTTAAGAAAATAAACATGTTCCCCAAATTTTCATAATCTTCATAACTGTTAATTCTCAAGTGAATGTCCTTTCCTCCTACATTATAAATAAAGAATATCCTTCCTCCAAAAAAGAAAAGAAAAGAAGAGAGATTATAAAAAGAATTTTTATATATATATTGAAATGAAAAATAAATCTGAATTTTGCCAGGAGGTAAATTTGCAATAAGAAACAGCTGTAGAGTGATATTTGAAATTCATCAAATATTGATTCCTTGCCCCGGGTGTGTGCTTACTCTTTTCTTTCTCTCCGGCCCTAGACAAGCTTTGGTTTTGTGAGCAGTCTCTTTGACATCATCAAGGACTACTTCGATGCTTCCGAGACCTCACCATCCGTGGATTTTATTTCCGTGCTCACGAAGGTAAAATCCTTCCGGGAGATCTCAGCGTCACCCACCCCCTGGACAGCTATTAATATCTACTCGACTTTTTTGTTTTTGTTGTTCCTGGGAAAATTCCCCTAGCACCCGCCCACAAAGGAACCATCCTTTCCTCAGCCCATCGACATTTTCAAAAATAACCTGCAGATCCTGTCTTCCCATTGTCACCTCTGCGGCGTGGGTTTTAGTCACCCAGAAATGTGCACACATGGAAAAGCCATTTCCAGGTCTGTCTTTTAGAGGACTTCAATTGAAAGCAATATTCATGGCAATAGTTTGTGCAGGTTAATTACACGGTTCAGTTGTTCTAGCAAAGGTGTCCGTCTTTCAGACAAAAAAACAACCCTTCAAATCCATCAGCACCCTTCCTAGGACTTCCGTGTAAGAAAGAAGAAGAAAAGAGGAAAACCTGGGGCCCCGGTTTGTTAAAGGCTATTTCTTTTTTGAGGAGATATAGGAGCCTTCTCCCTGCTTTGTTTACTTTGAGCTTTTTAATCCAGTTCCTATCTATTGTCATTTAGCAAGATTCACTTAAAAAGCATAGATTGAGATTTCTTGAGCACTCACCAAGTGCTGATGTGTGGGGCTGATACCCTGTACACAATAATGTGCAAAACCCGACACACTCCTGCCCGTTTTCAATCGGGGGGCGGGGGGGGGGTGTAATTCAATAATGACCATAATAATTATATAATCAAATTGAGATCAATGCTGAGGATAAAAGGAGCGTCGATATTACGAAGGAAAGCTTCCCAGCTGTGGCAGAGGGTGGGTAGTTACAGGCAGGAAATTCTTCCTGGGGCAAAGATGTTTGAGGCGAGACAGAAGAAAGGAGTATTTTAACAAGGCAAAAACAAACAGAAAGCTAGGTATCAAGTAGGGAGACCCTTATCTGAACTCTGAAAAGAGATTTGAATAAGAAAAGTTTTGAAAAACAACAGAAAGAACGTGAAGGGTTGGGGCGTGGCTAGTCTTGGGCTGCCTCAATTTATTTGGAGTCAGAGAAATGTTTAATTTCATTTTAAGTGAATAGTCTGGAGAAGTACCAACTTCTCATTGAAACACGTAAATTGTCTTCGTCTGCTCAGGCAACGGCGAACAATTACAGGCTGGTGGTTCATAAACAACAGATTTGTTTTTCACAGTCTGGGAGGGTGGAATCCTGAGATGAGATGAGATGAGGCTTCTCTTCCCGGCACAGATTTCTCCTTGTACCCTGACCTGGCGGAGCCTCTTCGTAAAGACACTAATCTCATTCCTGAGGGCTCCACCTCCTCACACCATCACTTTGGGGGTTAGGATTCAACGTATTAATTTGAGGGGGACACAAACATTTATGCCATAGTGTAAGAGAATTTATAGCCTATTAAAGTGTGGGATATTAATAGATTCCTTTTTTTTTTCTTCATTGATTTTTAGAGGGAGAGGAAGAGAGAGGGAGAGAGAGATAGAAACATCGAGGAGAGAGAACATCGATCGGCTGCCTCCTGCACGCCCCCCACTGGGGATCGGGCCCACAACCTGGACATGTGCCCTGACCCGGAATCGAACTGACGACCTCTTGGTGCATGGGTCGACGCTCAACCAGTGAGCCACACGGGCCGGGCTAATAGACTATTAAAGGTCTATAATATAGCCCACATGTGAATGCATCATATTACAGGTGTGCAAAGATGGGTTACACAAGTTTTCCCTAAATGTAAAAGGTCCTTTATTAGTCCGGTTAGATTCAGTTACCAGAGTAACAATCCCCAAATCTCAATAGCTTGGTTCACATCACCCTTGTGCTCTACTTCTCCTTGGTCCCTGTCCTCTCTGGGACCCACGCTGAGGGGCAGGCACCACCGGGCCTGTTACAGTCGCTGTGGCAAAGACACAGCAGACAGGGCGGGGCACTCCCTGGCTCTTCAAGTTCTGCCTGAAGCAACAGGCGGCCGGTCTGTTCACATTTCACCAGCCAAGGAGAGTCACGTTACCTTCCGAGGAGCGGGCGCATGTCACCTCCCGGGCAGGGGAAATACACGGACAGGCACACAGCCTCCCAAGAAGTCCACCAGGTGGAAGGGGCAGCATTTTGTTATTCGCACATGAGCCATGTCAGCAAGTCGCTGAAAAGGAAACTGAGGCTTGAGAGGTTAGACCATTTGGCCAAGGTCACATAGCCAATCAGTTGTGGATCCGGATTTCTAAGCCTGATCACATATGCTCTTAACGGCTGCCTCTTAGCAATGAAGTTTCTCAGGCACCCCGTGCCCTTTATCTCCAAGTTCCCAACCAATGCCCCCTCCACCCCCTCAAAAATTAATTGCATTGTCTTTCCAATTACTTCTTGTTGGAGCCAAAACTTGACATTTCTGTCCCCCCGTAGTGTTTTCTCCTCAGTCTTATAACAAAATATTTTTTCTAGATTTTCATTATCTCTGCTTTTATTGCCGTCACTTTCCCTCGTGACTTTTTAGGCTAGGTCTGTTTTCTCCACTAAGTGTAGTTGTAACATCACCAAGTGGGTCTTCCTTCTCTCATTCCACCACACGATGGCGCTATTAGATATTCACTAGCGGGACCCACTACTCATTACATTAATTAATAAATCCATCAAGAAGTACACAGGCCTTCCAACATGGTAGGCATTGCGAAACCCTGAAGAGAATGTCTACTAGTAAGGAGACAGAGCTTGGTGAAGAGAATAGAATAACTCATTCCCGAGGAAGACACTTACCTGAGGTGGTGGCACGTTGTGTAGCAAGCTCAGTTTGACTATTACCTAAACATATACACACTTAGGAGAGGTCCTCAAATTGGGCTCTACAGGTTTAGAAGCCAGCAGAAGAATTAAGTTTATGGATTTATTTTTTTTTTCATTTATCTTCAGATAGAGTAGGAGGGAGAGAGGGAGGAAGAGAGAGAGAAACATCAATGTGAAAGGGACACATCGAGTGGTTGCCACCCACACGGCCCCGATGGGACCGGGGACAGACTGCAACCGAGGTACGTGCCCCTAGCGGGAACCGAACCCGGGACTCTCTGGTCCACTGGCCGACACACTTAACCACTGACCCAAACTGGCCAGGGCAAGTTTATGGATATTTTTGAGGAAGAGCTGCTGAAAGTTAATGTTGTTGCTTACTACCAACAAGCTTCACATCAACCAACATCAGCCCTGAAATCAGAGACAGTCTTTGTTATCAGGCGCATGCAGGGAGTGCAGACATCGGCAGAGCATAAAAAGAAGGAAGGGTGAATTAAATCGAGATGCCCCAGAGTTTTCTTTAAGTAGGAAGGGGGAAAATGTGACTTAGGGAGGAGTTACCTGTTTAGTATGGGAATACTGTGTTCTTCAAGAATGTTTATTGTGAAGATAACCTGCGCCTATCCCCACAGTATAACTCCTGCTTGATCGTGCTGGCTTCTCACTTGTCCCTGTTCTGGGGGCGATAAGAGTGAGGAGAACGAGGCAGGCTGTCTGCATCCCCTGCTCTTCCCTTGCAGTGTTTCCGAGGGAGCCTCTGCCAGAGCCTCCAGACCTACTGCCTGAACTACTCGGCCGCTGTCTTTTATCTCGAGAGCCTGAAGCAGAGAGATGACTTTGGAATTTATTTAAAAGTAAAGTATCGTTTTCTTTTCTCTTCTATTTTTCCTGAGACTCACTGTGGGCGTAACAGGTACTAGGAATTACACCCACGTTCAGTGGGAAAGAAGAAAAAGAAATAATCAACAATACATTTTAACTACAAATCTGCTTTCCTCGTAAATCCGTCTTCCCCTGCACACTGAGGGATGCTGAGTGGAGCACATCTGGGAACATTATATCAGCTAACGTCCCTCCTAAAATTTTGGCCGGGGCTGTAAAAGGTTTTATTTGTTCGTTGGTGTGTCTGTGGATGGAATTGGTATATACTGTAAGGAGAAAGTTGGAATAAGAACCGAGGCTTTGTTTGTGACTAGGAGTTTGGCTCTTGTAAGATTTGGTCCCAGTGAGATCCTAAGATTCTATTGCACACAAGCCTGGGAACCATTTGCCTTGTATTCTATGTGAATGGCGCCCCCTGGAGTACATCATAGAGCACAGTGTGAATGTCGCCCCTGCCATCGCACGACATGGTAGCTGTGGGTTCCAAAGCATCAGAGCAAGGGATTTCTGCTAGGGACCTTCAGCATTTGCTAATAAGCCGACATGAAAGGAATTTTCCTTGACTTCACCCGTTTCTTTGACCCCTCTTTGGACATTTCTTTAGTATGAACTGTACCGTTTCAGTATTATACCAGAACCCTCTTTATGATCCGGAGAAAATAGTCCAAGCCTTTTCAGAAAACTAGCTCTTCCAGGCAGTTGCAAAAAGCCCCCTGGCAGAGCATCCCCTCAGGGTGGGAGGAAAGGCTGCCCGGTTCCCAAGACTTACCTGGGGCCCGGGTTCTCCAGGGAGCCTGGGTGTGGCCTGGCCAAGAAAGGAGGCGTCATCTTCGGGGAGAGACTTGGCCCTGTTTTTGTAGCTTCAACCATTCAGTGTTTTCTTTGCTACCCAAACTAAAGCCTGAAAGCTCATTCGATTTCTAAATGTATGAATAATCCTGTTCCAAAAGTTTTCCCCAGAAGCCGATGGATTGGACTCCCAGCCTGGCCTCCAAACTGGGGAGAATCCAATTCTATGTCTCTCTCTTCCAACCTAGGGCCGAAATGAAGTTAACAAGGCTCAGCCAGCGTTTTCAAACGACTGTGGGAAATCCCCTGTCAACTGTGACACAGAAGGGTGGTTCACATTTGTGTGTGAAATACAGACAGCACCCAGGGATATTTAGGGATGCAGTGTTGTAATGATAACACGTGATACTTTTATAACGCATACTGCGTTACCAGGCCCTCTCTCAAACACCTTTTTTAACCCTTAGCACAGAACCATCAAGTTGGTTCCATCGTCCCCATGTGTCTCTGAGGCTCAGAGAGGTTATATGATTGTTGCAAGGTCACATGGCCGAGAGGTGGCAAAAAGGAACCTGGATAAAGGCCTTCAGGCGAAAAACCAAATGCTATTTCCACCAAAACTATTTACAGCTCCTCAGGGCTATTTTTTGGGATAAAGGTGAAGGATTAGGAAGGGACTTTAGAGGAACTGAAGGTAAATCTGCCTTCCTTGGCCTTATAGGACAGAGCAGAAGCACCATCACAAAAAATTAAGAATGATTTCATTATAATATATAATAAATATAATGATTATAATATAATAATCATACAAGAAATAATAATAATAAAGGTGACTGGTTCTCAAAGTCTTGCTATGGCCAGCCACTGCTGGTCCTCTCCAATCTCTTTGTCTACAGTAACCCTGTGCAATGTGATCTTATGCCCATTTTTCAAGAGCGGAGACAAATCGGGCAACCAGCTAAACCTATGGCTGTTCAGGGCAGAGGCAGGATTCCATTCAGACCTGCGGAAGCCGACATTCATTCTCCTCCCACGTGCGGGTACAGACAACGTCGCTGGAGAATTTAAACCTGTGTCGGGCCCTGGGCTGCCTAGAACGGGGCTAAGAATGCGCTGGGAGGAATTTACCCTCCGCGTCGCATGGCCTTAATGAATGGCCGTGCATCACGTTGGTGCACGCTGATGGAAGTGACGTCTCCCGCTCTATCAGAGGCAGTCAGAATGATGCAGAGAAAGACACTGGAGCGTTGTGCCAGGTCTCTTCGTGGGCTTCTATCATCGATCGCAAAGAACTCCACCAGCCTCGGACTGGGTACGTGCCAGGCACTGTTCTGGGCACTTTGTATGGTTTATCGCGTTAAAACCTCTCCTAAGCTGCTGAAGTAGTTATTCTTGTTATCCACATTTCACTGATGGGATTCAGAGAGCTTAAGTAAATTTCCCAAAATTGCAAGAATGCGGGCTGCCCCGGCTTAATGTCTATGCCACCAAGACAGATTTCTGAGCGGAATATTTTTATACGGGCCCCTGAATTCCTTTCAGAGTTCCTTTCACTGTTGCCTTAAACACATTGGACATTTTCTATGAAACAAGAGCATCCTCCATTGACCTAGATCTATCCATAAAAAAAGCCTTTGATGTCCAATCTCTCTTGACAGAGATGTTCTCCTCCCCCACAATGGACCTGAAAATTAAAGCCAATAGAGAGATGAAAGGAAATGTACATCTACTTTTAGAATCATCGAATATCTTCCGCCTTCCAAAACACTAACCGCTTCCAACATCCCTGCCTGGGCCTTTGTCTCGATTACTTAGCGCTGGTGCTTCTTGCCGGACTGACGTGGAGCAGACTGGTGCTTGCGCATTCGCCCTGGGCGCCGGCACGCAGAGCCGTTTTCCACAGCGCCGGATATCTGGGCAGTGGCCCGGCGCTGTGTTCCGAGGAAATACCTACCTAACTGCTTCTGAGAAGTTGGTTCCCGGCGCTCCCGGACACCCCAGCTGGCAGGCTGCAGCCAGTGAGGCAGGATGGAAACCAGCCACTCAGACCACAGACCAAGGCCTCTCCACACCCCTTCTTTCCACCCGGTACCGCCTCTGCAGTCTCTGCCTCTCTCTCCATTCCTTCCAACAGCCGTGAGAATCTCAGCCATTTAAGCCAGAGGAGAATTGGAGGTGATCTAGTACCCCCACCAAGAGGAAACGGAAGTGCAGAGAAGGGCGGGTGTCCCTCAGAAAGCCCGGAAGCCTGGCTCCTCCAGCTCCATCCACCATGCACCTCCGAGCTCACGTTCCTGACCTGCCTTCTGTATAGCGGGAGGTGGAAATGACCGTGTCCAGCACAGTTCCTGAGAGGAGGAGTGCTGGATGTTCTCAGAAGAAATACTTTGACAGCGTTCCTAGCGGAGGAGGGCGGACCCCCGAGGACATGGTCAAGCTCTGCAGGACGAGCGCACATTGCTAAGAATGAGGCCAGGAGTTGGGGGCGGGGCGGGGAGAGAGAGGAAGAGCGCTCTCTTTTCAAAGAATGGCACCACCAAAATGGGGGTGAGGGTGTTGTGGGCTGTCTATTTGACTCCTCCCCACAACCCAAAATCTTCAGTAAAATAAATATGTACACTCATCAAACATTTGGCACAAGTGGGATCCCGGTGGAAACCAGCCGAGGGGCTGAGTGTGGCGCGAGCTGGCTCACGCTGTCAGGGAAGCGAGTGGGAGTGGGAGCAGGGGTCCAGGGGCCAGAGGGAGCATCCAGATCTGTCTCTCGGCGACTTTGCAAATATCTAAGGGAGGGCTTTGGACTTGGTGGGGGTTTGAGCCAGTTGTACCTAGATCTCCAAAATGCAAGGACTGACACCCGGGCATGCAGACGTACGAAGCGATCTTTGGAGAATCGGAGGGAGCCTTCCACAGTGTGCAGCTGCAGTGGCTTGAAGGGTCCGGGTTGCAAGGCAGAGGAGGTACCTGGGCCTGGACTGAGTGTGAGACAGAGAACTGGGGTAGACTGCAGCAAGGTAAGTAGTTAGTGTAAGGGCACGACCCCGTCATGGCTGAGCTCAGGTGTGAGTGAGTAGGTGGGAGAAGACAAGAGGGAGAAAACACACCCCCTGGTAATACTTTCTGACGTGCCTATGTGCACAGTAGCCGGAGACCTGACTTCTTGTGTCACGTGTCACCCGCACAAAAGCCAAGGCTCCATGGGTTCCAGACGACATCATGTTCAAAGAAACAGCCCAGCAGATGAAACAGATTCATGAGCTATCTCAAGTTGACGTGTTTCTCAAGTACCGTTTACAGAAATCAGTGTATAACCCACAGCAGTACTTAATGGGAGTTTCTTTCCCTGTTCCCCAGGGCTTTGCACACCTGCCTCGGTCAAAGGCTCTCCCCTGGACATTGTCTATGTGGTACCTTCCCTCTCCCTGTCTCCCCTAGAGCGTGTAGCTCAATTTAGCCTCTTCCACGTCTATTTCCATTTCCTCTTACTACCCTGATTCCCTCCAAGACCAGAGAGTCAAGGAACTGATCCAACAAGCAGAAACCCTTCCTTTTCCCTCCATGTGTTGATTCTCAGTTCTCCTGACTGAGCCTCACAATGAGAATGGGGACAGAGCTGGCAAGACCAGGGACCCCTGCGAGGGCTGGGGAGAAGGAGAGGCCAATGGGCCCCCCGAACTCGAGAGAGAGGAGGGTACACGAGGCTGGAACACTCATATTAATACATCTGATCGCCGCCACAGAAGGAACATGTATTCTCTAGGGGGTTTAAGAAAGCTTAAACTTTTCCTGTGCCTCTGCCTCTTAACGAATTTCCCCACTTAGGATTGAGAGGTGATGTTATACTAAGCTACCTTCTCCACCAGGGCGGGGAAGGCCAGGCAGCCGGAGAAGGATGCCCTCCTCTCTCTCCTTGGGAGGTAACAGTGGTACTCAGTAACATTCAATAATACCTCTTAACCTAAGAACGCGATTTCAGACCCTGAATTTGCTCAAGACACTTTCGTAAGGATTTTCCAAAGCAAAGTCGGGTCTGTGGCGTAGAAACGGTTCCCACAAGCTCACCACTGCGTCATGTGGTTGCTAAGTGAAGTCTCTGCGCCTCCCGTGTCCAGGCTCCTGGGCCTCCCTGGAGAGGGGCTGCTCTGAGCGCCTGCGTTGCCTTCCCCAGTGGTGCGAGCGGAACGAGCAGTGCAGACGGCTGCACCTGAGCGAGCTGCTGGTGGCCCCCCTGCACAGGCTGACTCGCTACCCCTTGCTGCTGAAGAACATCTGGAGAAGGAGCACGGACTCCGCTGAGAAAATCACCATCTCCTCCATCCAGGAAAAGGTGGAGAAGTCAATCCGTAAGTCCCTGGGATGAGTGACCCGGAGCTCCCGTGAAAGCTCAATCGAAGAGTTGGGGGGCCCTGTGGCTCCCGGGAATGGGCTGGGCTTCATCCTAGAAGGTTGTTTCATTGACTTGAGGTCATGGCTCTGGGAAGAGAAACGCACACGAAACAATGGGCTGCAGCCACATCCTGGCGACCCGGAGCGCTCCCGCCGCCCGGCGAGGTACGCAGGACGCGGCCGGCCCAGGCTTTCGCGTGTGAATTCAGGCAGGAAAGCTTCCGCTCCCCAGATGGCTGACGGCTTTGTTTTGAACATCCACGCTGAGCCCAAACACAAAGCAAGTGGAAATAAACAGCATGGGAGTCCTTTCCGGAGGATAAATTACCATTCTTTTTTTTTTTAGTCACTGAAATCCAGGGTCAATCTAAAAATAATGCCACCTGCGATCTCTAGAACTGAATTTGAGAATGGGAATAGAACAAGCCCTTTGATGCCTTCAGTTTATTTGGGTAGCTCTGTATAAGTACATTGAAATAAAGAAGTTCATGATACATGCCCATAAACCAAGATTTCCTGGGAGTGTCAAAGGGGAACAAGTCAAGGTTATGACTATTAGCTGTACAGACATGACATGTTTTTCCTTGTGCAAGTTCACATGTCAAATGATACCCTGCAGTGGGAGTTTGTCCTTCGTTTCAATTTTTTTTTTTTTTTTTTTTTTGTTCAAATTCCAAAATGACCCAAGGAACTAGAATTAAGCTTATCAAGTAAATAAGATGAAAAATTCCATTTAAAATGGACTTTTAAAGAAATTTGAAGATGATTACTCATTTTAATAGCTTTGTGAAGAAGATAATAGCATCTTTTCTGGGGATTTCTCAATAGTATTTGGATTTTCATTGTTGGGGGAAGACATTCCTATGGCCTCCCGTTAAGTCTATGTGCTTAGAGATGTTGAATTTCCAAGGATCCCCTAACCATGTGAGTCCATGGGCCTATGATTTGTTCCCCAAACTCATGAACAATGTTATTAGGAAATATTTAAAAATTAGTACAAACCTTCAAAAGAAAAAAAAAATGAGTTTTTGCCAAAAAGATATATCATTATCAAAAAGCAAATGTATGTTTTATCATTAGGACAAAAATATATGTTTGTCCTTGTTAGTCTGACTTTGTTCTTCCTCTAATTATAGGCTGTGTGGTGCAGGGAATCAGAGAGAGCTACCAGGGACTTTATTTGTATTCTTTAAATAAAACTGCACAATACATTTCAGCTTACTGAATTAAACTATGTAAGCTACATTTTTCTCTGAAGAGGCTGATTTCAACCTAGTAAGTTTTCTAAGACCTGTAAACTGCAAGCAATGTGGTAAACAAACCTAAGGTACGGTTTGGCTCCAGGGGTAGAGTCTCTGAGCAATTACTGTGCATCTTGCTTAACATCTGTGCTGCCATGTCACATGAACGTAAACGTATATTGAATGTGCCTTGTCTTCCAGGGGATCTTGAAGGAAAAGTGAAGTGGCTTGACAATTTCCAGAAAGTTAGACATCTGCAGGAGATTGTAGTGTGGCCTCCGCTGTGGGATCGAGATAAAAGGTTTTTCGTTCCCGAGGTACAAAAGGGATCCGTGAGGACTGCAGTTGGAAATGCACAGGCCTCACAAAGTCCCCAGCTGTCCACTCGAATACGAAATCTAGTTTTACGAGCAAGAAGTACAGCTTTATGCACCTGGCATTGTGTGTGGGGAGGCTGATGTGCCCACGCCGTTCCTGGGGTGTCCTTCCGAGAGCCTTGCTCGTTCTTCCCCGTTCGTGTGGCCATCTGCTGACCTTTGTAAAGGTCTTGAACCCCGTAGACAGAGCGCAGTGCCCCAGCTCCCGGAACCTGTGCTCCTCCAACTGTTAACAATCTCTCTTTGGTTTTCTCCCTTGTTTTGCAAGTGCCTGAAACACATTTTTAAAGAATACACGGCAGAAAACATCCTGTCACCAACCAACAGACACCTGCTCTATGAGGGAAAATTAACTCTTACAGGTAAATAATTTTTGCTTTTTTAAAAAAAAACCAACATCTGCCCTGACCGGTTTGGCTAAGTGGTTAGAGTATTGGCCCTCGACCAAAGAGTCGCGGGTTCAATTCCAGTCAAGGGCATGTACCTCGGTTGCGGTTCAGTCCTCGGCCCTGGTCAGGGTCATGCGGGAGGTAACCAGTGGATCTCTCTCTCTCTCTCTCTCTCTCTCTCTCTCTCTCTCTCTCTCCCTCCCTCCCTCCCTCCCTCCCTCTCTCCCTCTCTCCCTCACACTCTATCTGAAAATAAATGGAAAAATATCCTCAGGTGAGGATTTAAAAAACAAAAACAAAAACCAACATCTTTGCTACCATTAACTTGTCCAGTTGCTAATTGAGAGTGTGGAGAGCTGGGTTTGCCTATGGCCAAGGGCATGAAAGACCTGAGTCAGAGAACATGCTATGGACTCACGCAGGTGCCAGATTGATCCAAGACTTCACCGTGTACCTGGCTATGTGCCCTTCATTTTCTCTCTGTAACGTGGGATTAACTATATCTATCTCGTAAGATTGCTGTTAAAATGAAACACACACATGAAGAGTTTAAGTCAAGGTTGAGAACATAATAAACACTTCACATCATCTGGTAGCATCATTTACCCCTCCGGTGAGCTGGGCGATCATCCTGTCAGTGTTGATGGAGAATCTGGTATGTGACAGGTGTGCTAGGTGGGTATCGCGGGAGGATAAAAGTCGCTGTTCTGTGTAGTCCTGGTCCTCTAGTTGGGAAGCTCCGCCACAGTGAGCATCCTGCAGGATAAATTCAGAAAAGAAGAGAGACGGTGAAGCCGGAGTACCCAGGGAGGGCTTTATGTGGTCCGTGGGACTGGCGACGGATTGTGGGGACAGAAAGATGGGGGTCAGTGGACGGGCATGAGGGAGGACCTCCCAGATGAAGAGTGTGGCGGGAGGAAAGGCTTGGAGGCAGAAGCCGCCTGGGAATACAGGCTCTGGTGGAGGGGCCGGGAGAGCGAGCCCTGGAGGTGAGCCAGTTACTTCCCGGCTCACCTTTTCTGCCTGTGTAACCTTGGCCCGTTCACAGCATCTCCACACTTCGCTGTAAGGATTGAAAGAGCTAATGAATATGCAATCACTTGAAAAAACGGTGGACACAGACTCAGCGCTCGATAAATACTATGATCAGAAAGGGCTGCCTGACCAAAGTAGGATTTGCATTCATTCATGTATTCGTTTCTACACACAACCTTGACTGGGCACCTCCAGTGTGAGAAGCTGTGGGATGTGAGGTTTCCTACGTATGGGAGCGTGAGACCTGGTGGGGAGTGCCCGGCACTAATTCTGTATTCTACCCACATTGATTGAGGATCTGCTCTATTTCAGCTCTAGATGTCAGGCTGGGACGTAACCCCCACCGAGCTAATGCCAGCTAGGGAATGTGGACAGATGTGCCCGGTCTTTTACAGCAAAGGGCTTGTTCACCCATTTACTCCTTCCAGGGAGTCATGCAGAGAAGTTACACTTAATCCTAAGTTATAGGTGAGAAATACGAGACTTGGGAAGGTTCTGTATCATGCTCAAGGTCACCTGGAGGTTAACACGTCTGTTTTAGTTAAGATATTGGTTTGACCACTGGAGACAGAGAAAGATGACAATCACTTAGACAGAACGGTTTATCCCTCTCTCATGTAAAATGAGACTTCTGTGACTGCTCTCCTCCTTGGTGTGATTAGGGACCCAGCTTTCTTTTGTCTTTTTCTTCTGCCCTCCCCGGGGTGCTTCCTTCTGTGTGGTCCCAGAGGAGTCACCAGGTTGTCTAGCTGGTGGGAAGAGAAAAGGGAAGGTGAGCAGAGCCCTGCTCTTTAAGGGTGTGTCTCACAGGCTGCACACATTTGCTCCTTAGCCATTGGTCAGAATTTAGTCACCTGGTCACATTTAGCTACAAGGGAAGCTGGAAGATGCAGTATTTATTTGCAGTGAACTTGTACCCACTAACACTCAGAAATTCCATTACTATCAAAGAAGGGGAATGTTCTTTTGAGAGACAATCAACAGTGTTTGCCACAGGTTGATTTGAACAAAAATAAAGTCTCTAGTGATGGAATATAACGTTTTAAAAATGTTCGAGGAAAATTCAAGATTGAATAAAATATCCAATTTCTCCTCTCTGCAAATATGGAGAGATTGCTGTGTCTCTCTCAGATTGATGTTTCCCTAATTTCTCTCTCTCTCTCTCCTTCCCTCCTTCTCTTCCACTCTCTCTAAAAATCAATGGAAAAAATATCCTTTAAACTTAAAGGATATTTTCTTTAAACTTAAAGAAGGGGAGGAAATAGAAATGAATCCTAAATATTTTCTCTGTTAATTTAACATTCGTCACCTGATTTCCAGGGATAAAAGTATATGAGAAAAAACTTCTAAAATAATAAATAAATAAATAGAATATTAAAAAATATTCACTGATTTTAAAAAATAATTACTAAGTATCTAGCACATTCTCCTCCACGCAGACAGCCTTTTCCACTGAAATCACTTTAAATTTAATTATTTCTCTTTCTAACTCCTAAGTGGTAAAGTTAGAGAGGGGGATGACTGATTCTAATCTTTTCCTCTCCTAGAGAAAAGTAGAAAAGCCTAATTGCCTTCTGTTACTATCAAAGGTTATATCAAAAACGTTTGTAAGTATAAAGCTACATGAAGAATACTTAAACGTGTGTCGAGACTTGTAAAACCTGAGAAACCAGTAGTTGTAATGACCGTCTTAATCCGCTAGGGGCGCCATAACAAGATCCCACAGGCTGGGTGGCTTACACAACAGAAATTTCTCTCACAGCTCTGGAGGCTGCAGGTCCAAGACCAGGCCGCCAGCCCAACTCGTTTTGTGGTGAGAGCTTTCTGCCAGCTTGCAGGCAGCCTCCCCTCCGTGTCCACACGGGGCTCCCTCTGGTGTCTCCTCTCTCACGACACTGATCCCACTGAATCGGGCTCCACCCTCACGCCTTCATTTATTCTTTTTTGTTGTGTTTGGTTAATCCTCACCCAAGGATATTTTCCCCATTGATTTTTAGAGAGAGTGGAAGAGAAGGAGGGAAGGGGGGGTGGGGGGAGAGAGAGAGAGAGAGAGAGAGAGAGAGAGAGAGAGAGAGAGAGAGAGATTAGAGAAGCATCAATGTGAGAGAGACACACCCCGACCTGGGAATGGAATCTGAGACCCCTTGGTCTGCTGGGCCGACACTCTAACCACTGAGCCAAACCAGCCAGGGTTCATTTATTCTTAATTACTTCCTTATTCCAAAAACAGTCCCACTGAGGGGTTAGAACTTCAACATGTGAGTAGGGGAAGGGGCGCGATTCAGGCCACAGCAGTGACAACATGCCCCCTTTCTGGGTAATGCATACCTTTGCCAGTGGCCACCGGATAAGTCAAGAGGCAAAAACGCTATAAGTTCAATTAGTTGATAGGTGTGTCTCAGGCTCAGCTGAAACCGTTACAAACGTCATCCAAGTTATCTTACATCCATGTGAAATGCATCAAAAATATGGTTTTTAAAGCTATGAGCTCGAGCTCACACCAAGTCTCTGCTTTAGGAAGAAATCAGTGCAACAGTCATGAAGTTTTCTGACCCACGCCATCGAAGCGCCCTGAGCTGCCAGCCTGCTGGCCAGGATGCCCGCTCCATTGGTTTCCTAAGGGATTCTTTGGTTTCAAAAACAAAAACCTCCTGGCTAGTGTGGTTCAGTGGCTGAGCGTCGACCCCTGCACCAAGAGGTTACCAGTTCGATTCCCGGTCAGGACACATGCCCAGGTTGTGGGCCCGATCCCCAGTGGAGGGCACGCAGGAGGCGGCCAATCGTCCTCTCTCATGGATGTTTCTACCTCTCTCTCTCTTTCCCTCCCTCTCTCTAAAAACAAAAACAAACACCTGCTTACTATTTTCAGCCCCAATTTCACCTTCTTTCTCTCCCCAGAAAGTACCAGATTCCTAGATGTTTATCTGTTTCTCTTTGACGATTTCCTCTTAGTTACGAAAACTAAGCGCAACAAAAAGGTAAAATGCTGCTATTTCTAAATAAGTCTGCTAACTACGTTTAGAAATATTTCCAAACAAATTGTGTTCAAAATATAAAATATTTTTACACATCACATTGGGATTCACCCTCTAAAAAGTGGAGACATTACAAAATATTGGCTTTTTCAGCCAGATAGTTCTGAACTGAAAATTAACAATAACGACAGCAAGTTACATTCCTTAAGGATGTCAAAGGCTGTGTACATTTTTAGAATGACTTAGTCTGTATACTTTCAGGTAAGTCCCAGAAGCCACAGTGCTGTATTTCTGACCTGCCTGAGCAAATAAACTGAGAATGCTTTTGTCTGTATTGACTCTTTCATCATCCAGTTGTCCACAGTGAAAGCCACCAGGGTGGGGACTCTATGGCATGTCTGCTGCCATGTGCAAGGTGATATCCACCGTTCATTCTGATTTGAAAGCTCACATCATTCCCGGAAAATAGTGATTTGGGGCTGCAGGTGGGAGGGTGCCCTGCTCTCTTGTATATAAGATCTGCAGAAGCAAACAAATGTGCAGCTGGCATTACAGACAAAATGAGTCAACTCGGGTTTAAAGCCACAGAATCTCTTCCAAGAACAGGGATCTTCCCTACTAGTTAAATATTAGTGGCCACTATTGTTGTTGCTACTAATTAAACCATGGGTATCGTGGCCCACTAAAGGCTTTCTGTCTAATCTCCTATTTCATGGTCTGTCCCCTGAATGGTGGGAGTGATACTTAGACGGGGACCTCCTCTAAGGCACTTGGACACCTGCCCTTGGGGGCCGGGGAGCTGCAATGTTGTAAGCTGCCAGAGGTGTCTAAGGTTGTTTTATTCACCCACTTCTTTACCAAACAACTAGCCTTACACAGATACAAGATCATGAGACCAGATACCTCAAATCTTTTAAGAACCTAAGCTTCTGGATGGCATGTTGGTTGGTTGAGCTAAATAATGAAGGCTCCTTAGGCAATAAAACAGATGCCCACTGATCAGTCTATAAATAGTTGAGTGGTCATTGAGAAGGAAGTGGATATTTGAGTATATGAAGAATCGCAGTTTTGGAACTTAAATGGCCTTCTCTCATAAGCTACCCGGACAGGCATTCCGAACAAGTCAGGCTCTGACAAATATCCCGTTCAAACACGTGGACACGAAGCACAGCCTACCTTCTTGTCAAATAATAGCTCCAAACTGGGTACGTGAATCAGCGGCAGCCCGTATCGATTTATTGTAAGGTGATAGTCTGGTTTCAAGCTTCACAACTGGATTCCTGTATAAGGACTATTATCTGCTTTAATTCCTCTGTCTACTGTCTGGAGACGTTTGTTGACTTCATAGGCACAAAAGAAACAATCCAGAGAAGACACTGGGTTTCACTTTTCTGTTTTGGGGAAAAAATAGGAATGTTATGTTTTAAATTTATCTTTGCAATTTAATGAACACTATTATGTCATGCAAATCACAATCTTTGACACCCTTTTAAAAAAAAATTCAGTATTTTTTATATTCCAAACAATTTCAATTATTTACAAATTACAGAGCATGGAACGTCTGTTCAGAAATTAGGATTAGATTCATGGACAGAGTTGGCCAAAAGGAGGCTCCCTTTCTCATCCATCTCATTCAGCACTAGAGAGAGATACTGGACATGAACAGCTTCCCACGGATGTGATGGCATTAAAATGTCTCCCAATTATAGACATCACACATACTTTACTCAGGTAATTAAACCTGGGTATCAGAAACACTAGGCTTTAAATCACCATGTACTTTGGGGAAATGATTCTCAAGATCCAGAAAGAGTAGTAGCTGAATTTCAAGCAGTTGTTTCTCAAAGTCCATTCAGGGATCTGCACCAATACTGATGTCCTCTTTACTGCATGATTTTCCTCTTTGATTTCAGAAAGCTGGAGGCTTGGACACAGGTATCATGTGTCCCTCACTAACTCCTGAGCTGCAGACAGTAATCAAAGAGGGTGGTTCGTGCACAGTGCTGGATCAGCCCATCCCGCTGGATAGATTGGTGGTCCAAAGTACCGACCCACTCCACGAACCAGGTATGTGTCCGCTTTCATTACTCAGCTCATCTCCTCACCGTTGCAGAATTTTACATGAGACTCTTTTGGTAACAGCACATACATCCAATTCAAGCCTTCGTAAGAGAAAGCACTGACTCCCTCTGCGGCTATGTATCACTCACTCTTCAAGTTAGTTCTGGAAATGGTGTTGGACCTGGTCTCCATGCTGGGATGACCCGGCTGCCACTTGCTAGCTGTGTGACCGTAGGCAAGGCACTTGACTTTTCTGTGCCTCAGATCCCCCTTGGTAAACTAGGGATAATAATATCAACGTCAGTGGGTTGCAATGAGCATTGGATGAAATAAGGCCTGTAAAGCACTCAATATATGATAGCTAGGATTAGTGTTGCTGTTGTACAACCACTATTAGTATCATTGCTATTGATAGATCACTGGTACACCACAAAATGCTATGCAAGCCTCCGATATTTTATCACAACAGCTACCTAGAAAGACATATGCCAGAAATAATACATACACACATATATGTCCTATGTATAGGTCAGAAATAGTTATTCATTTTTCAAGCATTTCCTGAGTGTTTACTGAGAACCAGGCACTGCGTGGGCGCCCCCCCCCCTTTATTTTTTTATCCTCGCCCGAGGACACTTTTCCATATTTTGTTCAGATAGAGTGGGAGGGAGGGGGAAAGAGAGAGAGAAACATTGATGTGAAAGGGACACATCAAGTGGCTGCCACCCGCACGACCCAACCAGGGCCGGGGACAAACTGCAACCGAGGTACGTGCCCGTAGCGGGAACCGAACCCGGGTTTCTCTGATCCGCAGGCAGATGCTCTAACTGCTGAGCCAAGCCGGCCAGGGCTGGGAGCCCCTTTTTGTGGGGAGCTCTCAGAACAATGGGAGACCAGTGAATCCTGTCATGAAAGCGCTGGCACTCAAGGGACTCAGGACACTTTAGTCCCTTCTGTGCTGGGGTGTTCAGGAGGACGCAGGCGGTCATTCGCCTTGGGTACAGGCTCCTGGGAGACCAGCTGCAGCCAGGCAGGAGGGGACAGCCTTTCTGTCCCAAGTGAGGAGCAGGGAAAGAGGGCGCACTACCCATTCCCCTCAATTCCCACCCCAGCAGCCAAGCCCAAAGCATCAGTTACTAGCGTAGGAGGACTTATACACACAGAACAACACTGCACAGTGAATGAATGAATGAATGAATGAATGAAGGCATGAATACACAAACAAAACAATAATAATAGCAAACATTTCCATCATTATGGTCCACAACTAAGTTACATATTTCAATGTGGTACATATGTTAATGTGTGAATGGATGCAGACTTCCTTCCCCACAAGGGGGCTCCTGCATCCAGAACCGGAGCCTCCCACCTCCTTTGACTGTTCTTCCTACTCTGGCGAAGACGAGCTGAACTGTGTGCCTCCCGGCCCTGAGGCCTCTTGCAGCTGACCCCGCCCGGACCAGTCACCATATACACAGGCCAAGTCTGCATAGCCAGAGAGATGCCTAGAATGGGGCATCTCAGGGGAGCAAAGCCTTTGCCTGTGAGTGCACCCCCAACCTGATGTGCACCTCCTCCCAGCTCAGAGCGTGTAGATGGAGACACTCAGTGTGAAGCCCAGAAATTGCTTCCTTTTCTTTGTTTGGTTATTTTTCGTGGGGGGAAATGTCCTATCGGAGGGCATCCGAGGCCGTGAATGCATCCCCTCACTGCAGTGGCCGTAGCAGAAGGCTGTGGCATGATGAAGGGCTGGGGAGGAGCTGCCAGGACCCCCTGCGGATGAGTGGAAGCGGCTGGGCTCGGTTGAACCACAACCCTGTGGCTTTAAGAACTGGCCAGACTGGACCTACGGGAAATCTGACATCACTGGACTACCCTGGGAGGTGTCTGTTCTTCTCCGATTCCTTTTTCTTTTTTAAAAACAAGAACACTACCTTTTCAAAAAGACTTCCACCATTTGTTTGTTATTTTTTGCTTTGTCACTACCATCTCTTGTTTCTTCTGCAAAAATATTTTCCTCATTCCTCTGGTCTATTATTTTGACTCTTCGGATACAGTGGATGAGGCAGAATAGCTGTAGACGGAGAGAGTCAAGGTGAGAAGAGAGGAGACTGAGCTTTGGAGTGACAGAGACCTGGCCAGAGCATTTGCTGCATGACCTTGGGAGGGTTCATCTAAATCTGTGTCCTCATTTCTAAGTAGGAATTAGCTGACCTCTCTTACACGGTTGCTGTATGGTTTAAATGATTCAAAAAGGAAAAAAATAGCCCTGGCCGGTATGGCTCAGCGGTTAGAGCGTCGGCCCGCGGTCCAGAGAGACCCGGGTTTGGTTCCCGCAAAGGACACATGCCTCGGTTGACCCTTCGATGTGTCTCTCTCACATCGATGTTTCTCTCTTTCTCTTCCTCCCTCCCTCCCGCTCTATCTGAAGATGAATGCAAAAATGTCCTCGGGTGAGGATTAAAAAAAAGAAAAGAAATAAAGAAAATAGTATGAGAGAGAGAAACAGCACAGTGTCCAGTACAAAGTGTTTATAAATGGTGTCAGTTGTTATATTCATTATTATTAATTATTCTGGTAGAATGTCAGGGGGAAAGAGAGCTTCTCCTGACCACATATTATCTCTTCATTTTACTTTCCGAGCCTAAGCATACCAGGTCCTTTGGCTTCTACAGTCCCTCGTGCCCACATTGCAAACCAAACAAAGGAGGGACACCCTCAATAACTGAGCCACAGTTAACCATTTTTGAGGAAAATGGATTCCAAAAGCTAGCCAAGAAAAACCACCTGCTATTTAAAGCCTCACTTGCGACAAGGAATTTATACGGAGAAAACCCAGAGAGTAAAGCACACACAGCCCCAGCCTTTTGGGCCCAGAAAGCCATTTGAGTAGGGTTAGTGCTCTGACCTCATAGACGCTGGACGGGATTTCCCCACCGGGGCAGGCTTGCTTGTGGTAGGATTTCGCAGCTAAGAGGTTTAGGCTGTTATGGGTGTAACTTGTGATACTGGACTCGTTCTCGCAGTTAAGAAAACAAAAACCTTGCATTCGCTTCGATCCTGAAGGGAGGCGCAAGCTGCCTCAGTGAGTCTGAGTTAAAGCCACAGACTCCAGCTAGAAATAACGGTGGCGGACAAGCAGCCGCCGGGCCATCAGCCCGGGAAAAAGTGCTCTCCTGGGGCCTTTCTGCACGCTTGGCGTGACCAGGACGCACCCTGATTTGATGTTTTGATTTTTTTCTAAACGTGAATCAACTACGGAGAGGATGTACAGGTGCAGAACTTTATTCTTGGGGTTGCATTCATAATTCACAGAAGAAACGTTTCTTTCAGGAGCGCCGGCTCCGGGACAGGCGTCTGCTCTCCCACGAGCTCCTGTCACTTTGACAGCAGCTGGGACAGGACAGGACGTTTCTCTTGCAAACAGAAAACAGGCCCACATCGGTTTCTTTCTGTTTTGTGTTACATTTCACATCCTTCGGCGGGTGCTTTGTTTTACACTTTTTGGCTTTCTCAACCCTGTTCTGAAGCATTCAGGTGGTTTTGTATTTTTGCCACATCATAATTTGTTTCTAACTCTTGTTTTGATGTGGCTTCCTTTTAAATACAGAAATAAAGAAAACATTTTTAAAAAGAATGGTGGGAGTCTCAAAAGAAACAATCACCCCATCGTTTGCCACATTTTTATTATATATATAATATTTTATATAGATAGATAGTTTTTAATCCTTACCCAAGGACATTTTTGCATTTATCTTCAGAAAGAGTGGGAGGGAGAGAGGGGAGAAGAGAGAGAGAGAGAAACATCAACGTGAGAGAGACACATTGAGTGGTTGCCACCCACACGACCCCAACCGGGGCCAGAGACAAACTGTAACCAAGGTACATGCCCTTAGCGGGAACCGAACCTGGGATTCTCTGGTCCATGGGCCTACGCTCTAACCACTGAGCCAATCAGGCCAGAGCTATTATCTATCTTTTACACACACAAAATCCACCCAACACGAGAAGCTTCTTCCCTCAAAAGGAGCCCACTTTCCATCCCCAGCGATCATCGCATTTCTTGTTGTTTGGTTTTTTTTTTTTTATTCCTCACCCGGATATTTTCCTCACAAGGATATTTTTCTACTTATTATCAGATAGAGTGGGAGGAGGGAGACACACAGAGAGAAACATCGACGTGATAGAGCCACATCGACTGGTTGCCTCCACACAACCCAACCAGGGCCAGCCTGGGACAAACAGCAACTGAGGTACGTGCCCTTGACCGGAATCAATCCTGCGACTCACTGGTCGGCGGGCCTACACTCTAACCGCTGAGCCAAACCGGCCAGGGCGTATTCACATTTCTTCAAGCCTCAGAAGTTGTTAGGGAATGAAGAAAGGGTTTTCTGATTTAATGGACTCTATTTGGACATGGTAGTGAAGTCTTGGTCTTGGAATCAGATTTTGTTTTGTAATCTACAAAACCCTCCCACATTCATTAAAGCACACACACACACACACACACACACACACACACAACTCTAGTTTCTTAGAGAAGCACTGGGACGCTATTTGGATTCCATAATAAATGATTTGGCTTTTTGTCTTTGTCATCTTTTCCTAGTCTTCGGGCTGAGAAACGCCTTCCTTATTCAACATGAAAACCGGTATCGACAGTGCATAGCAGCGTTCTTATTACAAGCCCAGACGGAAAACATCAAAGTATGTATTTCAATTTTGTAGATTCTGACTCCTCAAACTTGACATAAGGGAAAACCTCACCCCAAGTCTCTTCAGGAAAGGGGAATGGAAAGGTGTGCGTATTTCCCTCACCCGCTTTGGGAAGGGCAGGAGGCGGGAGGACTGTGGACGTCTGGTCCGTGTCGTGCTCAGCAGCCTCGCGGTGACACCTCGCACTCACAGAATTGACACAGCCTCCCTCATGTTCTCCTGCAGCAGAAGCTCCAGGACTCTGAGCCCTGCTGTCTCTGTATGAAATGGGGGAAGGGCTGCTTTGGGTTGCATGATTGGCTTTTAAGGTGCTCCAATCCACTTCCAAAGTCCCAGCAAGCCACATAACTTAATGTCAACTTAAGTGAGGGGCTGCCGCAGTCATAAACCATGTCTAGTCTGCTCTTCGACCTTTGAAAATAACGCCGCTGTTTTGACAGCGATGGAGCTGACAACCAGCTGCCTGGCTCTAGTTTCCGTCTCAGAAGGTCCGTCACAGCAGCAGGGTGGCCGGACAATAGATGCAATATTGCATTCTTCTTAAGGACTCCATTTTCCTGGGTCATCTCCCTCAGTCTGGTTTTCAAATTATACCACACCCAACAGAAATTCAACATTCACACTATTTATACTCTAGTTAGTCATTGATTATTACGGTTCCTTGATTCCTCACAACTCTTTATCCCACTCGCGTACCATACTCATTTAATCCATTTGCATTTCCATGTGTAATGAGTGAGACTGATGATATATTAGATGTAAGAAAGAAGATGGGAAACATGCAAATGTTTCATTAGTCCTCGCTTTTAAAGAGCAAGTCAATAAATACAAAGGAAAACAGTAATCCAAGTGTGAAAATTTGTCAGGTTAACATTCTTCTTCTCCATTCTTCTCTTTCTCTCTCTCTCTCTCTCTCTCTCTCTCTCCGTGTGTGTGTGTGTGTGTGTGTGTGATATAGTGGTTTTGGTTTTGTTTTTTACAGAAAACATGGATGGCACAAATTGCAGCGGCAATCTCTAACTTCACCAAGACTCGGGACACCCAGAAGATATCTTTATTCACGTCACCTGCAGAATCCTCTGAAATTTAGGGACCTAAAACCACCTTTTTAAGAAATGAGGGATTAAGGTATTCTTTCAAACTTTTGTAACACTTAGTGATGGGCTAGAAGGACGTGTGCCTTTTCAAGGAGTTCCGGAATTTGAGAATTTGCGCGAAGAGCATCCTCAGTAAAGAGGAAAGATGACTGCGACAAATTTGAACTGGGAGTTTCTTGTCAAGTGTATACTGATGTCCAGACTCCCTAAATGTTTCTGTCAGGCTTACAAGAGGAGCGAGTATGGTGTGTTCTCATTTGTAGAGGGATCAGATAAATGGAGTGGCAGGAGGGAGACGACATGTGTGTCCGATATGAATTCTGGCCTCCTCCTTGGATCTATCTATAATGAAACCAACTTTCCTACATGGCTTGTGGATCAGTCTGACTGCTTTATAGTCCTGCCTCACACACAATGATAATTCTTTCGATACAAAGTGTCTCTTTCAATATGTTAAGTGATACATAAAGTCTACATTTTAGTGGAAGATTTCAAATTCCGATTCTCCAACAGTTTACTTAGCTCAGGTATACTTTATAATACTCTAACTTGGAAATAGAAGGTCCAAAAGACTAAATTCCACTCTTTTAAAAAGGAAAAGTAAATATTGCTGTTCCAGTTTCACACGTGAACACTTTCACATGGGACGTTTTCTTAGGAATAGTCAAATATCTTTCTCTAAACCTCATTTTTTGAAGACTGACGGAGAGTGTCGTAAACGTACATTCTGGTTTCGAGCAGGATGGGCTGTGTGTGTTTCACCACAGTACAGCCACTGAGTTTTACGTGGCAGGACTTGAAATTTCATTAGAATTTTTATTAAGAAAGGCAGCTTGAATTATTACATTATCATGGTGGGATGTCCTATTAACTGTATCTAAGGAACTAGTTCTTATGGTCAGATTATAGCACATGGAAACCCACCCATTTCAATTTCAGCCGTGGTTGTCTTGTGCAATTTCCAAAATGCAAATTGATCAATTTGGGCTGCAAGACAAATGATATCTTACCCGGTCTCTGTAAGCTGGAGAGTGGGCCAGAGAGGACGGTGCTCAGGGAAGGCGTGTGCACAGGCAGTGCTGGGAGGAAAAGGTCAGCCCCCCTGCAAACCGGGCGGAGCAGGAAGGGCGGCACACAGGCCCCTGTGCCAGCACCAGGCACTGTTGAATGGAGGGCCGCAGGACTTGGGTAATGATGACAGACATTTGTAGGAGCGAGTGAAAATAAAAGGAAAATCTGGAAAGCAATAATTACTGTTAAAGGCTAAGAAGAAATGAGAGAAGAAAAAAGACAAAGGAGAGAACAGACTTCAAGTGAATATCTAGAGATGGGACCCAGATGAGATTGAAAGCAATTTATGTTCAGGACAAAACCATATAGACTTTTATGCAAGAGGAGATTTAGGGGGCGGAAATGGATGGCCAAAATCATATGTTTTTGTTTTAGAAAAAGAAATGAACAATCATCTTGCGGGGATTTTTGGATACAAGCTGATTTAGGAGGACAATGGACTAGGAGTAGGCAGTCTCTCAAGATTCCTTTTGTCCCATGAGTCCAGTAACCACGTAATCATATGTATAAAGGACCAGTTTCTCCTTAAAATACCATTAAAGTAGAGAGGGACTAAATTAACATCAAGAGTGTAAAATAGTTTAAGAATATGCTATATACAAAAAAATGTTAACACTCCTATGCTTACTGCAGCACTATTCACAGTAGCCAAGATGTGGGAAAAGCCTTAATGTCCACTGACAGATGAATGGATAAAGAAAATGGGGTATACATGTAAAATGGAATTCTATTCAGCTTTTAAAAAGAAGAAAATTCTGTAATATGCAGCAACATGGATGAACCTTGAGAACATTATGCTAAGTGAAATAAGCCAGTCACAAAAAAGACAAATACTGTATGATTCCACTTATATGAGGTATTTAATAATAGTAAAATTCATAGGATCAAAGCATGAAATGGTGATTGCCAGGGAAAGAGAGAGAAATGGGTAGTTGCTAATCAACAGGCATAAAGTTTCAGTCAAGCACAGTGAGTAAGTTCTAGAGATCTGTACACTTAAAAAGAGGCCATAAGGGTAGATCTCATGTTAAGTGTTCTTATCACAGGAAAATAAAACTTAAAGAAAAAATATGCTATATACTTAAACTGGAATTCTATAAAGCTCACAAAAGGACATGTCTAATATTGTAATATATTCGGTGCTTGAGGGTAGACAAGGTAAACTCTCCAGAGGTAAGCATATTAGAATGGGGGGGGAGGGGGACAGCGGTAATACCTTCAACAGTAAAGATACATTTTTAAACAATTTTGTTTGGCAGCCAGGAAAAAAAAGAAGTCACCTGTGTATTAACCTTAGATATACAATGAAAGAAGAAATTAATTTAATATTGTTTGATATTTTTTTAGTTTTGTTAATTCTCCACAATGATGCATGGAATGAAAAGGGAATGTTTCAAGCAAAATGGCATCAGTAACTTTTCTTCAAATTATAAACTTAATTATTTTCTAAGTTGAACATTAAAGCATGCCCACTGTCTATATCCAAGTGCAAAGTTCTAACTTTCTGTAAATAAATCAATGCAAAATGATTAATATCTTGCTCTCTCTTTTTAAACAAAATAATTTATAGTCATAGAATACATCTACTAGAAAGAAATGTTTTTTAATATCATCTTTAACATATTAAAAAAACAAAAGCAACATTCAATAAGGATCCTTCCATTGATCATTATACAGATTTAAATGCTGTCATGTAATTTATCAGTTACATTTATAATCAATAACCTTCCAATCACTGAGTTTAGAAATTACAGTATTTACTGAGCTAAACTCTCTCACAAAATAAGGCACAACAACATGATCACAAGTAGTAAACACAATACAAATAATGAATCCAAAAACTAAACAAGAAAATATTCATGCAAAAGTATCTACAGAAGATATGAATATGTGATCCAGTTCAAAGAAGTACAGAATGTCGAATACATAACTGCAACATGTTACAATAAATTCATTACTCCTACACTGGAAGAACTTAGCTATTTCCAATTCTATTTTACACAATTTTACATAAATTTAGTAAGCTTATGCACAATATTCACATCTGCAACAATAACAAATTGATCGTTAAAATTCAGGCAAAGGGCAATTAAGACCCGCGAACGTGTGGCACATTGTAATTATAGAATACCACTCAGCACACTCATGTCTAGGAATACTAAATTGACGGCACATTTAAATCTTATAGATCAAGTCATTCATGGTTTTATAGCCAAAGTGCATTAAAAAAAACTGCTACAGTCAAATAGGTCATGAATATCAAAATATAAGATCATAATTTGCTCTCCACTTAAAAGCTAAACATTTTTATGCAAATGCAACATTAAAAAAAGTGAATTTAAAATTCTCAAAACTATAAAATAATCATAAAGCCATTTTTAAGAGATGGGAAACTAACAAATTTGGCAGTTACTATTTAACATTACTGTGAGGAAACTATTAACCCAGCTAATTCCACATTAAGAGGTAGTTGAACAAAATGTTATTTGTACACTGCTTTGAGGTTTTCGTGTTTGTTTCCCTCTTTTTTTTTTTTTTCTCAAAACGAACAAATCCCATACCAGCAGCTTTGTCTTTTTTACATTAAAAGAAGTCCATAGATAGAGTTTACTATACACTAACCCAGCAAGACTCGATTTTAGGTCACACTTCTGCGCTGGGGGTTGGAGTTTACTGCCGCGTGATGTTCATACGCTGTGCATTAGAGCCGAGGGCTGGGACCCCACACTTACTCACTCACTGATGAACAGTACCCGCAGACATCTAAACTGTAGAGCCGATAAGGACTCAGAAGATGACTTTAATTAAAAGAAAAAGAAAAACCCTTTAATTTTTGTTTTCAAACACCTTAAATTGGTGAAAGTTAACAACAAAAGTATTAAGTTTCATTTCTAATATTATTAGTACAATAGCCTATGGTAAATTATTCAGGCCCCATGAAATGAGGCTAAGTAATTGAAAAGTAGAAAATCGCTCAGACACATATGGTTTGATTTGTTGTCCCCACACTTTTCTTTAATATGTGGGCAGGGAAATAAGAGAAAAGGCCTTCAGTGCACCCAATTAGGAGATGAAGAGAACAAATCCAGAGGAATTCTCATGAAGTTTTATTATTTTAGAAAGAATAAACAGTGGTTCTGTGAATACCTATTTTTTCCAATACATTACTAAGTCCTTTATCTGTAAAAGTATAGAATTAAGAGTATTTGAAAGGATTTATACGTATATGAAAATACATAAATAATTTTAGCTTGATTTATATTATCCAAGTGTTATTTTTTAATGAAGAGCTATGTATTTCTTCATTATATATGCTAAAGGTTATATGTGTATCTAAGTCCAGGGCTTCAATCAGGGTCCTTAAAAGCTACTTACAACAGGGTTTACTTAAATGCTTTTTTTTTAATGATTAAATGAATATGTGGCAATCAATCTCTTAGTTTATATGTATTGTAGGCATAACATAAACATAATTTCATTTTAGCATGATATTTTAAAGTGTACATTATAAATGACTTATTGTAAATAAAATATTAACTCACATCCTTTCCCATTACTATTGCCACCAAATAACTGCACTGAACAAATGCATAACTTTACTTCTCTTGAAAAAGTAATAAACCAATATCAATGACTTCCCTCTTTAGATGTTTTCCAAATCAGTAAGACTATGATAATTTAAGGTTCAATTCCATTGCTCAGTAAACAAATAAGTTAACTTTGAATTATCCTCCACTAGCCGTCTGTTTTAGGTCTGACCGCAGCCCTGGGATCCCTAAACACATTTGTTCCTAGTGCAACTCTGCTCTCAGCTATTCCTTCAGGGGAATTTCACAGCATTATTTTTGCAAAGTCAAACAATTTACCAGTTAATATGGAACCTAAATTCTGAACCATTTTAACTTTAACTTTAGTTCACAATTTGAAAAAAAAAAAAAATGTTCCTTATTATTAGGTGAGAAGAAAATATAAAGTAGAATATTTAATGTCCCCTTACCATTTTGCACTTTTATTTCACGGATAAGACTATAACAACATCAGTTATTGGCTTTAAGATGCAAAAATTATAAAATAATTACAGTGAAGCTGAGCTGTACTTGGGAAGATTAAACCAATAAAGGTAAGACGCAGATCCACTGGAAAAGCAAGCCCATTCCTGAAGATGCTGCAGAGACTAAATGAGGGGATGCTAGGAAGGCTAATCTCAGAATACTTCCCACTTACACGAAACTGAGAACAGGATCATTAGACAATCTCTGTTATTCATCTTCCAACCTGGTAAGGGTGGAAGCTTTGTAGAATTCTTAACAGAGAATAATTTGGAGTTTAAAATTGAGAGTGAAAAAGAAAAAGAAAAATTAACTCTAATCTTTAAAACATAATCCCAGGATAATCACAAAGTAAGCAAACTGATTTTTCCAGAGGTTTTCCTATAACCCACCCAAGAGAATCTAATCAGTATTGTTAAAGCAAAAACAATTTTGAATCCATGGTTCATACATATTTCAATATAAAATTTGTTTACAACACTTGAGTAGTAAATTTATAACATAACAATGTAACTAAGGTATAGACCTATATATAAAAAAAATAGTCATAAAGTTTTATAGCTCTGTGCATAACTTCAGAAAGAGAATATTTACTGTATTTAATGTGTTACTATGCAACATATATAATGTGATATCATCCATGTACATTTCTGTACACTCAATTTGGGAGAAAGAAGTAAGTTTATGGAAGTGTAATCATGTCATCTGTGAACAATGAAATTATATTTAAAAAAATACATTGCTATATTCTGTCCAAAGTTTATTTACATTTCATTGGCTAATTCTAAACTTAGCATGAAAGCTGTTCCAGGAGTTAAATGGAAAAAAGTAATGAAAGATAAGCCCAAGTCTCACAAAAATAGAAGAATTTTACTTGATATTGATAGCATTCTAAAATATACGAATTCTAATTTGGTTTAATATTGCAACCACTGTCCAAATCAAATAGTAGTCCAAGACCCCTATTAAGTACATTTATTAAAAATCTAATGTTAGTGTAATATTACTCTGAAGTTGCAATAACCCATTATCCTTGCAAGTCATTGAAACATGTATCACAGACACGAACAGGCTTCTTGGAATAAGGAGTTAAGGCATTTTTGGCCGAACACTCAGCACAGAAGATATTCCCACAGTGTCTGCAGTGATGCTGTAGATGACAAAAATTAAACAATTTTAAGCATAGAAATGACATCAAAAGCATTGTGAGACTATAAGAATACTGCAAACTGCACTGTGAAGGCATTAACTTTTGAGTGATTAGTATATTTAATAGTATTTTAGTATGTCAGTTTCATCCCTTAGATAAATTGAATGCTTCCTATTAATCATATGGTATGCTAACATTTTATACGGATTTTATCGTGGAATTTTCAAAAGAAACGAGAAATCTTTCAAAGTGTTAATAAAGCACCTCCAACAGGTGAAAAGCTATTACTGTTTGCCAAATGTTTCAGGCATTTCTTCAACAGGAATATAAACTTGCAACATCACATGATGATATTATAAGTTTAGAATAAGTTGTTTTAACTCTGTTTTCTCTTCCTTTAAAAGAACACAGTGATGACTAAAACATATGAGTTTAATATTGGTGCACTGATTCAGAAAATGATTATTCCAGAGAATAACTCAGTAAGAAGACAACAACTGAATTTAAAACTAAAATTAAAACACACATGCTAACCAGAAACTAAACTGCGTGAAATTTAATTATTCTATGTAGTTGTAAATTAACCAAAAAATGAAAACTTGTTTGAATCTGTCAAAATTCATTCTGATGGTTCAAACATTAATTGTCGCTGAGGAACAAAATCCAGAACTGTAGCAATATGAGTAAAATCATTTACCCGTCTCACTGTTACTGAAAAGCCCTTCCCACAGGCCATACAGTTTTGTACTTCATTATCTTCAGCCCACTTTCTGTTCAATGCTTGCGTATGTTTGATCTATTAAAAATAAAGTTTCAATACATTATAATATTCAACTTTTTAGAGAATGATGACTACTTTCTAATTGGGTGCCTGAGTTTCATAAAATTTTGACTATATACAACCATGGGATAAAATTTTAAAAATCAGAACTACTTTGGTCAACTTCCATTGTCAAAAGTTGCTACATTCTTAAGTCTGAATGATAGATAGATGGATAAAGTAAATCGCATTTTATTCCCTAATCTTTGGTGATTTTCCATCCATTCTAACTCTAATGACCAATCCTTCCTTGGGACTCTGAGCACACATTCGCATCACTTCTTCAACACATAGCAACTCATCTATTGCTCGCTGCTCTTGAATTTTCCAAATACTGACAATTCATGAATGACATGGCTCTCTATCCCTGGGGTCTCTCATATTTAATTAACCATAACATTCTATAATACTGCTACATAGGTAGCAGCCACTCAAGAGTATTTATTAAATACACGAGATTTTTTTTAAAGGCTGAAAATATGTTTTCACTAGGAGGTGGAAGCTGGACTCAGTGACGCCTCCCGCTCCAGGGACTTACTTGCAGGGACTGATTCTCTCTGCCCAGCTCCTGCACCGCCGCGGTTGTATTATCCAGCTTTCTTTGCATCTCTAGTACTTTGGTTTGAAGCTTTTCTATTTCACCTTCACTTTTAAGACATCTAGAATAGATTGCAAAAAGGTATTTAATTTTTTAAAAAGTCATTAAAGTCCATTCTAGAACACAGATAATGAACTACTTTATGAACCTTAAATAGAAAACATTAATTTCAATAATCTAATTGTTTTAAGAATTAGTTAAATAGATAAACCACAGAACTTCTATACATGTTTGCATAGACAACAATGCTGGGGGGGGGCAGGATTGGGAGGAGGGTGTCAATGGGGGAAAAAGGAGAAACATCTGTAACAAAGATAAATTAAAAAAAAAAATTCGTTAAATAGCTACTTAAATTCCTATAGAAGCCATATGGTTTTCTCAAGACTCTTCTTTTATTTTAAAGTACATGGAGTGTGCCCTGGCTGGTGAGGCTCGGTGGGTTGGGGCATGGTCCCCTACACTGACAGGCTGCAGGTTCTTGGATTTCCAGGGCACGCGTCCAGGTTGGGGTTAGACCCCGGTTGGGGTGCATACAGGAGACAACTGATCCATGTTCCTCTCACTCTCGCCCCACCCCTTCCTTCCCCCTACTCTCTCTAAAATCAATGAAAAACATATCCTCAGGTGAGGATTTTTTAATGTGGAATGTGGCCATCTTTTTCTCGCCTAGCATAAAACTACACCAGTTACTAGGTACCGGTCACCTTTCCAGCAGCGCTCTCCTCTCGTCTTGGTTATTCTGGACCGTGGCCTCCAACACTGCGATCTCACCCCGCAGCTCGTCGGCCTGCTGCTCCAGCTCGCTGGCCCTGCGCTGGCCGGCCTGCCACTCCTTCTTCACGGTGCCCAGGTTCTCGCTCAGTGCTGTGACCTGCAGGGCGAGTTTAGCTTCGTTTTCTTCATGCTTCTTCAGGCCAACTTCTTTTTCTTTTATTTCAGAATGCTGAGAAAAGGAAAAACAATGAGGAAAAAAACTATTACAAAAAGTAGTGCAAAATAAATTTAAGTTGGTTATTGAATTTAAAATATTGGCAACATAAATAATATTACTTCTTCAGGAAAACAGGCAGGAGAACATATTTCATTATACACTAATAAAATCGGTTCCACAAACATCTGTTTAATTTGAATTGCCTCAAAGGCCATAATGCTGAAATGATGGTCAGCAAGCCTCTTACAAGATAAAGTAGAACAATTGAAGGTTTTCCTCTTTTCCACAGAGCAGGGAAGAACACACAGTTAGGGACAGCAAAGAGCCCTGCAAACAAAGCTAGCATTTTAGTATGTCTCAAATTCCACGTAAATCCTTTCGACTCTATCAACCTTCCAAACACCAGTACAAACTTTTTGAATCACTGTGAATTTGAAATTGCAGTTCTTCAACGAAAACATTCAGCGGTCAAGTTATCTGAGGATATTTGGACTTATTTCAACAAAGGAAAGCCAGATGCTTCCCATTTGGCATGCACAGCGTGGGGAGGGAAACGCAGACTTTGATCATCATGATTTTAAATGGAAGTTTACATTCCCCTTTATCAACATTCATGTTGACCAAACAAATGAGTTGAACATGATTAGCATTCAAGTCATTTACCTCAATCTACATAGTTGTGGGTTTTTTCTGGCACTAAAAGTGTTTATAGTTTTTTCGGTCATGTTTTATTGGATTTTCATCTATATAAACCAAAATAAAATTACAAAATAAAGTATTTCCAATCATATCTTAGCTATTTAAACAAATCAGATCTCTTTTCTTAAACAAAAATTAAAATGTTAGGTGAACATTCCAATCACACCTTCTAGGTAGGAAAATTCTCTCTTACTGGATTGATTTACAAAATCAATTACAAAACACACTTCCCACTATTAATTTACTGACCAGTTTAGCTTCCTTCTCAATAAATTTTGTCTTCAGCTCATCTTCTTCCTTTTTCACCTGCTCTTTTAGTATTTGCTGATTCTTCTTCTCCTGTTCAAGGTTTGCCTTTAGGGAATCTATTTTTCCTTGAAGCTCTAATTTTTGCTGAATCAAAAGCTGTTTGGCATCCTTGAGATTTGTTACCTCCTAGTTAAAGAGGCCAAAAATAAATCATCCTTTATAGAAAATATTTCAAAATATAGCTGAAATTTATGCAACTCATCACAACAAAATACACAAACATGAGTTTTAGCCTCTTCTCTAATGAGATTCTTAAAATTCAGTATTTCAAACAATTGTTTAAAAATATGCAAGATTGTCCTGGTCAGTGTAGCCCAGTGATTAGAGTGTCGGTCCAGGCACAAAAGGGTCAAGGGTTCAATTTTTCGTCAAGGGCAAGAATCTGGGTTGCAGGTTCAATCCCCAGCTCTAGTCAAAGACGTGTGGGAGGCAACCGATCAATGTGTCTTCCTACACTGATATTTCTCTCTCTCTCTCTCTCTCTCTCTCTCTCTCTCTCTCTCTCTCCCTCTCTTCTTCCCTCCCATCAACTCTAAAAATCAATGGGAAAAAAATATCCTTGGGTGAGGATTAACAAAAAATTAAAATATGCAAGATTATTTACTTCCTGTTCAACAATCATTTAAATTCAAGTGATACTTTGCATACATATGTTTTGATAAAATTATGTGAAAATTTTCTACCCTCTATTTCCCTTTATTCACTTAGCAAGTGTTTATCGGTCACCATTTAGGCATCACACACTGTGTTAGGCTCTGAAGATTTACACAAAGATGAACTATGTACACTCACTGCTTTAAGGAAACCACAGTCTGGAAGAACCTAATGACGTAATATAGAGATAATTATAAAGCAAAATTGTAAATATACTGATAGATGTAACAGTTATTATGAGAGCACTCAAGAGAGAATCTAATCTTTCTCTAAGAAAATAAATAACATTTTCCAGAACACATTATAACAATCAGTTTCTTTAAATAGCACCCTAGCTTTGCTTATGATAGGAAAAATATTCAAGAGAGTATTAAAGAATTTTAGGAGGACAACAATTGAAAAAATAGAATTCCTTAAAATTGTAATTCTAAATTCTTATATATTTTGAAGCTTACTGTCTACAAGCATAATTTTCTAAATCAATAGCTCTCTTGATTACCATTTTAATAAAATCTAAACTTTTAGGGTTACTTTGCTTTATTCATTAACCTGAAAACAAAAGTAACATAGTTTCAATATGTGTACAGATATTATGCAACACAAGAGTACTCTTGAGAGCAAGAGTATTTGTCAAAAGCAACAAACCAATGTGCCTGGTACATACATAGTAGGTTCTCAATAAATAAATAAATATATATATATGTTTAAATTTAAACAACAGTAATACAATGTTGAAGAAAGAATAATAATTATCTTAACATACCTGCATGCTTTCTTGCTTGTGGGACTTGAGTTCTTCACTTAGTTTAGCAATTTCTTTTTCTTGTCTACACTTAATTTCTTCTATCTCTGCCAATTTAGATTTTTCATTTACTAGCTCTTTTTCTTTCAGTGACTGTAGAAAAATGATTTAAAAATAACTTTAAAATAAATACTTAACTGATAATATAATCAAAATGACTGCTACTATTTATGACACTGTTTCTGCCCCTCTCTACCTAAGTTAACATGAGTAAATTACCTTCTCTTGCCTGTGTCCTTATTTATACAATGTGAAATACAAGATTATTATAAGGATTAAAAAGTTAGAGTTAGTACTGTAAAATAAATAATGACTGGCCAAGTAAAAATACTATAAAATTTAGCCGAAACTATCACTCTTATTAATATTCTTATTATTACTACTACTATCACTATCCTTACATAAGGCACCCAAGCCAGGAGTATTATATATTATCTAATTCAATCCCTATATGAGGCAGCTTTTTTAATCCTCATTTTATAGGTAAACAAAAAAAAGTTTAGAGATGTTAAATAATCTATTAGAGTTAGAGGTAAACTAAAACAAGATCTGACTAATCTACAGCCCTTGCAATTAAAGGCCTATAAAACTATTAGTTTTGTCAGAATTTTCTAAACTTGAAGCACAAATCATGAATTCATTCCAACTTTACCAGCCTCACCCCCCCCCCCCCACACACACACACAAAATCCTCTAATTTTTTTAACTAAAGAGAATTTCAGGAATTGCACAATTTACAAATACCAAGCACTTCAGGAACGGTACACTTCAGAACACTATCCTATCAGATGATGGAAATATATGATTTCAGTTATGAAGCCAAAAAATGTTCCCTAGATCTACATTTCTCTTTCATACAGAATTTTGATTTTTAAATGTACTGGTCATTTAATACAATGCTTTAAACTTTGTAACTTAGCATCATTTATATGAAACACACTCATACTTCCCTTAGAAAAATCTGGTTCTCGCCCTGGCCGGTTTGGCTCAGCGGTTGGAGCGTCCGCCTGCGGTCCGGAGAGACCCGGGTTCGGTTCCCGCTAAGGGCATGTACCTCGGTTGCAGTTTGTCCCCGGCCCTGGTTGGTCGTGCGGGTGGCAGCCACTCGATGTGTCCCTTTCACATCGATGTTTCCTGCTCTCTCCCTTCCTCTCTCTCCCTCCCACTCTGTCTGTACAAAAAATGGAAAAATGTCCTCGGATGAGGATTAAAAAAAAATAAATTAATTAAAAAAAAGAAAAGAAAAGAAAAATCTGGTTCTTAATTTTAGGAATTTTAACAAGCTGAAGAATTATTTCCAGACCTTTTGTTATTTCATTCACACATCTAGAGGGCAGCATGTTATGTGAGAAATAGCTGAGTGCCATAATACATGATTTTGAATAACCAAGAGTCCATGGATAGAAAACTAGATTTGTTTGTAAAACTAAAAATAGCAGTAACAAAAATGGATAGAAGTGAAAGAAGCACTTCCTAGAATTAAAATTCCAATGACCAAAACCATTTTATCAGAAACTAAAAGCCCATCTGAGAGACTGTTGAAAATAAAGGTGATGCTCTATTGACAGTAAGAGTTTTGACTGGATGATCTCAATGGCCATCGCAACTCTAAGATTCCAGATTAGTCAGCAAGGAAATACCTTTTCTTTCTGGATATCTTGTAGTGCTGCACACTGCTCCTTTAGCTGCTGCTCTTTCCTTGCTGCGTCTTGCTCCAGAGCAGCCTTGGCAGTCTTCAGTTCTTGAATCAATTTATTTTGGTTTCCAATTTGATTTCTGTTTGAAATCAAGTCTTCCTGTGCTAGAGAAAGCTTCTCTTCTACAGACTTATAGAAAACAATTTCCCCAAATTATTATATGCCATTTTCTTTTGTGAATTTCAACAGAAACATAATAGTTACCATAAGCATAGAGAAAAGCAACAAACTACAAGATAGTATGTTATACCCTTCAGTAATATCATATAAAAAAGAAAAAAATGTTATGTAGTTAATTATCTTGCCTATGGAAAACATTTATAGCATAAAATACTTAATAAAGCTGAAGAATTCCAAAGTCCCTAGAAATAATCTATAAATATTTACTGGTTAAGTGATATGAAGGAATATCAAGTAAGTAGGGACCATATCAAACACAGTCAGATGGTTAGAGAGAAGACATGGAGAGAGATGAAAAAACTAAAAAAGAAATATAGTTAAATGCTATGTTATGTGTACATACAGGGTGGGGCAAAAGTAGGTGTTAGGTTGTGAGTACATGAAACACAGAGTTTATTCTTGTATCATTATTTATTACTGTATTATTTTCCATACAAATAATTGTACACCTACTTTTACCCCATCCTGTATATGTTTTGTAGGATCTGTGATGTCCCTTAACATGCTAAAACCTTGAATAAGTAAAGAGTGTTTCTCTGTCTTGGAAAAACAAAACAAAACTGTATTTCACGTCCGCCAACCTGATCAAGGGAACTAAAAGAGGGAACGCAACTGGGTATCTGAGGCTCTATTTCTGACGAGGCCGTCACCCCCTCCTCCTAACTTCCCACTTGTGTAGCACAAGTAAGGTTGTCGGTTGACACAGTCCAGAGTTATTGAATGTTCTAAGACCCAAATATTTTGAGAAGCCAGTGGGGAAAAGGGCAAGCTTTTTGACCTGTCAGATTTCATTTGGGAGCAGATATGGTAACGGGCGGGTAACAGAAATGGCAGGCACCTGGCCACTCCCAGCTGTTTTGCTAAGAATCAGCAAGGAAGGGAACTAACTTGAAGATGCTCTTCTGTCATCTAGAAGTTTATCTTTCTTATTCTAGACAGGGAGTTCTCTTGAAAAGGAAGCAGAAGATAGAATTCAGGTAGGATCCCTGCTGGCTAGACTTGGCTATAGTAAGCATTCAATAAATAAATATAGACCTTATTTAAGGGATTTCTTAAGCTTCCTGAAAGAAAAGGTGTAAATTAAATTTCTATTTCCAATGGCTTCCAGTAGAACACACACAAAAAAACAATCCTAAGGTTTCTTTTTCAGGAAAGACCTACAGTCCTTTATTAATCAAGCAGCTAGCCATTAATTAAGTATACTACCAGAGTAGACTGGTGGGTATAAGATGGTGTTTACTAAAGGAGATAACTATGCAGCCTACAAAACAGAACCAGAATGTAAAACACAAGCTGAACAGGTTAGTAAAGTAGTTGCTATGTACAAATGCACAGAAAACTCGAGCGTGAGAGCCTTCAGTGGAATGTGATTCCAGAAGGGCCCATGGTGTATGTGACCTAAGTATCACAAGGAGTGAGAGTGATTTCAGATAAAAGGATACAATTTGACAATGCCTAACCCATGCGGTCTATAGCAATTGTAACTAGGTAACAGAGGTAAAGAATACTAAGGCTTGCTGGAGCCTGAAAGTAACAGTACCCCTGATCTCTGACCACAAGAATTCCAAAATGCTCATGACTAAATAAGCCTATACATTTTAAACTCACAAAAACCCAGTGAATAAATCTTTAAAGTCAAGTTCAAAATATAGACTACCTTTTTTCTGAAGATGTCAAGATATCTTGCTCTACCTTGCCTCTGAATCATTCAGTGGTATACTGCCATGCATTTTAAATATTCCTTTTGTTTCTTATTGCAGACCATGTTATTTTTATCTGCTAAGTACCTCTTCCCTTAGGGAACTCCTCTCTCCCATTCGATTGTTTCGCTGGGGCTATTTTTAAACCATCCACTCCCACTGGAATGGGCAAATCCCTGAGTACATCAACTATCAACCTTAACCCTGAATGAATACCCCAATCACATTATAGTACTATAGCAAAGAAGAATTTCTGCAGTCTTCTGTGAGAGCTATTGCTAGTTTGTCCATTCAACAATTTTCCCTTTCTTCTTTCAAAATAAAACTTAAAAATGTTTAGTTCTTATTTTTTCTTGATGACTGCTGAAATGACAGAAGGAAGAGTACTAGGCTAAGAAGATTTCTATTAATTCTGAACTTAACCTAGAATTTCACTTCCCTCAGGGGGAGAAATTTACAGTTAAATTTCCCTTCAACCTTTCCTCAACAACAAATAGCACACAGCACAGCCAATTTGAAATATCCAGTCAACAAACTTAAGTATTTTATAAATAATCCAGCAGATGGGGCTAAAGGCATAGGTTAGGCCAAACCATCATCTTCCATTCTACTGGTGTCTTGGTATACACCCTCTGCCCACAGATGGCAGCCTTGTCTTAGGTAGGTGTCATGTTCTAAGGTTCTGAACTTTCTTTCTCTTATACACAATAAGATTGTATAACACCACTGAAGCAAAAAAAATAATGATAATAATGACCGATAACTATCTCTTATTCTGGCCTATAATATCATTTGAACTTCCCTAGGAATTTACTTCATTAAAAAAAAAAACAACTTCCTAAGTAGTTCAGACACTTCTCATTTTGGAAGTATTGATATAGAAGTCATCAGTAGTCTATTTTATTTTTTAAAATTCTAGTAAAATTATGATAAGAGAATAAAAGGCTATAAATCAGAAGAACTAAGATATAATCAATTCTGTTATTGTGCAACACTAGGCCGTCACAAACCAAGCTGGGCCTCAGTCTGCACAAGAAAGGCCTTAATCTGTACAAGAAATTTTTGGAATACAGGATCTACCCATTGTCTCTTAATAGTTGTAAAACTCCACAGCAGACTTAGCCGCTCTGTATTTAACTTTTTTTCCATATTTACATTTGAATGATTCTTTTATGTATAAAAATATAGTACATGATATAGCTTTCGGGCATAATAAAAACAGTTGTTAGCTTAATGAAAGAATATTGATTTAAGAGATCTAAGTCCTATTACTGTGTTATGTTCTTGGGCAAAATACATTCATATGAAAAACAGAGTGAGATTTCTATACGACTTCTATGATCAGTCAGGTTTCATCTCCTCTATCAACTAAATACCCTTCAATTCATCCACACTCTCCATTCTTACTATTTTCAACCCAAGCCACCATCATCCCCATTGGACTACATACTGCAAAGTCTCCTCTCTAGTCTCTACATTCAGCCATGTTCCCCTACAATCCATCCCTTATCCTATAGTCATTGGCCTAAAATACAAATCTTGCAGCTTGTATTTATTCAGCTCTTCTGTTTCATCTTATCTTTCTCACTCTCATAAATCTCTTGTTTCATCCTCTTTAACCTCAATCCTAGTTCTAATAAACTCACATCTTGAAGACAGCCTGTTAACTAATCTCTCTAACACTAGTTTACCCAAGGTCCAATCCAAACTATCTGTAAACCACTTCCAGGTTAAGTTGCCTAAAGAACTATTTTCTTCATTTTGCTCCTCTGTTTAGACTCTTCATGTTACTCCCAAATATAAAGTCCAATCGTCCTTGCTAGGCATCTAAGATTCTTCATAATTTGGTCTCAACGTCTCTAAGCTGAGCATCCAAACACAAACCAGCACTCCAGCAAGACAATTATGTTAACTGCCTCCTGGCTTTGCTCATTCCACTGCGGCACCTTTTCTCAGACATGGATCTTTCTCCAGATCTTCTGTTCATTCAAATTCCACATACGCTTCAGGACCTGGCCCAGTCCTCTCTCCTTCATAAAGCCTTCCCCATAGCAGCAGCTTATGAAGGAATATAGGCTTAGTATATATATACTACGCATATAAGTATTCTATCATTTTCAGGAATATATATATAATATATATTACATATATAATTATCCTATAAGTTTCAGAATGTTTAAATAATGCACTTTAAATTAAACAAAAATTCAAACATAAAAAACAAAATTATAGTTCACCAAAAGAGAGAGAGAGAGAAAACTGGCTTAATCTTCTATGAGAGAATATAAATGTTCCATTTCCCTTAGGAAATTGATACCTTAATGCTACATGAAAATTGTTTACCCTTTTTCCATATCTTTCATTTTAATAAACATGATACTTTATCGAATCAAATAGTATTCCATAAGTTTAGATAATTAATGGTAAATTTACTTTGAGCTATAATCTCCTAATTTTAATCATCAGGTATTCCAGTAGTCTTGGGAAGGTAACAAATATATAAAACTAAAGTCAATATTGCCTGACAAGAAACAATAAAACTGCTTTCATTTTCTACAGTGGTTTACATTTAAAACTCCTTAGATTTTCTAACTGCAGTACATTTTAAAGTTGTTTTCTTTTTTTACATAAAGACAGCAAAATTCTTAGATAATAATATAGCATTAACAAATTTCAAACATTTTTATCACTACAGATATGTTATTTTTAAATGCATTTATTTATACATATCATATTTTGTTATAAAACTTTCATTTTTTAAATAAATGCTACTCCAAAAATAATAATTTAATAGAAAACAAGGGCGGCATTCCACAAATATTTAACGTTCCCTTGCCCATTTGGGTTGAAATCAATCATTTAATGAATGTCTATAAACAACTTACTGATTGTTATGAAAAAAATATAGTTTACTATACCTTAAGATCTTGCCTTGTGGCAAGAAGTTCAGATTCCTTCCCATAGAAATCAGATTGAAGCTGTTTTAGATTTTCCTGATTTTTTTCATAGGTGTTTTGTAACAATGACATTTTCTCCTTCTCTGCTGCAAGTTCCTGCGCTGCTTGGATTAACTGTTGCTGTAGTTTATTCTCAAGCTCTGTCTGAAACAGACAATAGTTATTTAAAACAGTATGCATACCGAAAACCATTACAAGTATAAAATGAAACCCACACAACTAAGAAGATTCCTGAGAAATGAACTGTATCCAAGCCCTATAATTCTTCTACTTTAATAAAGAGTAACATACTTAACCTTATAGTTACAAAGTTAAAGAATTACTCAATCCAACAAGTCTCAATTTCAAAACCAAAAAATGAAAAAGCAATTAAATAAAGAAAGGAAGCATTTCACAGGGAAGTCTTAAAAGTGTCAAGGACTCAGGAGACTGAGGGCAACAACCACAAGCTGATGGGAGACGCAGTGCTGGAGGGTGTAGATAGATGATACAGCTCAGAAGTTAAACTAGAGGAAATTTCTATGTGAAAGAAATTAAAAAGCCATTACTGTGAAGTGTTCGTTTTTTTCTCCTTGAAATTCAAAAATAACTTAAAAAATTTCTACAGGTCATCTTTATTAATATCAAGGGAGAAAAAGAAAATTTTCAAAGGTCCAACTCCTCTACACTCTAATGCCTTTAGCCTTTAAGAAGATTCAGGAGTTATGCACAAATTATGACATAATGAAAATACATGTATGCATAGTATGAAAAGAAGCACTTGGCTTTTAACTACACTACTTCAATGAAACTGCTTTTGAGGACACCAGCAACCATCTTGTTCCAAAATCCAATAGTTATGTCTTTGTCCACATCTTACTTGACCTCCCAACAGTACTTGAAATAGTTGATAGCATCCCCTCCTAGAAACATTCTTCAACCTAGTTTCCAGGTACCTCATGCTCTAGGTTCTCCTACCTCACTGGTCATTCCTTCTTAAAATCATTTAATAGCTCCTCTTCTTCTATTTGACTTCTCAATATTATAGAGCCCCAAGTTTCTGTCCCTGGCCCTCTTCTATTCTATATAGTTTCTCTCTAGAAGATTTTAACTAGACTCAAGGCTTTAAACATCACTTATTTACCAATGACTCCTGAATTTATGTCTCTATCTTCAACCTATCCATCTGAATCCTGGGCTCATTAATCAAGTACTTCCTTGGCATCTCCACTTGAATGACTGATAGATATCTATCTCAAGTGGAAATCTTGATCAGTGAGAGCAACTCTGCTCATCAAAAAGCTACTACTTTCCCCAATAAATACGGTCATCTATCCACTTGCATAAGTCACAGACCTAGAGTTATTCTTGATTCCTCTTTCCATCCTCTCACCATCTAATCTATCAGCAAGTCCTGATGATTCAACTTCCAAAACATATTCCCAAATCAAACACTTTAGTTCATTCCATCGTCATGTACTGTCTGAATTATTGCAATAGTTTTATGCCTTCCTTGCTTGTTCCTTTATCTCCCTTTAGTCAGACTGTACCATTCCCAACTCAAAATTCTCCAACTGATTCTAATTGTTCTTAGAGAAAAAAAAATATATATCATTCTCTGTTATCTTATAATTGACATGTTTGCATGTATATGCTTTGGTCCCTGTCTGCTTCTCTGAGCTCATATTACTCTGCTCTCCCACTATACTTAACCTATATTAGTTTTCTCTTTTTAGAAAATACCAAGCTTGTTCTAGCCTTAAAGTCTGCACTAGTTGTCTCCCCTGACCTTTGTATGGACAGCTCTTGTATTTCATGTATCGGCTCAGATCTCTTCAGAGAGGCTTCTTTGATCACCCAACCTACGTAGGACTCTGTCCCATCACTGTCTTTCACAACACCCCATTTAGTTTTTTTCCCCCAGGAAAGTGTAAGCTCTATGAGAACAGATTCCTCGTCTGTTCATGGCTGTATCTCTAACACCCAGAACAGTGCCATGGCATAAAAGAGATGCCTAATAACACCTCTTGAATAAATGAATGACAAATAGATTTGAGGTAGAAAAGCCTGGAACATCTATTAAGGGGCTATGTAAAGGCTCAGATAAGAGAAACAGATAGCCTGGACTAAGACTGTCAGTAGAAAATGAGAAGAGGGGATGGATAGAGACCGAGGAGGCAGATTGTCAGAGGTGGTGCTCACTGCCTGCGGAGGAAAATGGGGTTGATTGCCCCATACAGTATCTGGTAACATTCCATGTCACCTCCCTTTCATTTTCTGTAATTTAGATTTTTCATAATGAAGAATTCCTGGAAATCTTTTTTCATACTGTACTTACACATTTTCTTTTTTTTTTTTTTTTTTTTGTGGTACCTTCCCCTAGTGGGAACCGAACCCGGGACTCTCTGGTCCACAGGCCGACACTCAACCGCTGAGACAAACTGGCCAGGGCCTTACACATTTTCTTTTGTAGAATACTACTTCTTTCCTTTAACATTTTCACAAATGTAGCATCCTTTCTCTTTAATAACTGTATGGCTCTCAACTAAGCCCTCTGTGAAGTCTCAACAATGAACATAATGGCCCTTCAGGCTTATATTTGGGCCTTCATTATCTTTACTCTGACAGACTGATTCTTAAAAAAAAAAGTGATGGCTTATTTGTGAATAGACACAGTTTTCTGACTTTGAGGAACTCAAATCCAGCAGTGGGAAAGTTAAATTAAAAAAAAAAAAAAAAAAGATCAAGGCAACAGTTTGATAATTGCTTTAATAGCAGTAAACCCAAAGTCCCAAAGGAGAATACATGAGGGTCAGTCATTTACAATTTATCCTTCACACGTTAAGTTTTTTCTCTAAAACAGGTCTGAACACATTTCTCCCTTATTAAAAACTTTTAGTCCTCTGATGTTAAAAATTAAAAGTGGAAACAACTATATAACATCTACTGTGATCTGGCTTTATCTAACTTTGTAACCTAATCTTCCCTCACTATTCCACTTACTATGCACGCCAATAGCTAATGTTCTAAATGGCATTTTTTAAATTTTGCAAACTTTGCTAATATTATTTCCTGTCTTTGAAATGCCCAACTTCCACCTTTTCTTATGCTTACAAAATTATAATCATCTTCACAGGCCCAGTGCAAATGCTAGCTCCATTAGAAAGGCAGTCAAATTTTCTACTAAGTTCTTGTTTCATTCTCCTTTATTTATTATAGTTTTCGTTTTCTTTACACACTTGCTTCCTCATTAAATTATAAACTCCTTGAGAGTAGGGGACCATATACTATTCATTCTGTATTCCCACATTAGGTTTCAAATAAAATGGGTTCAGGAACTGTTGACTTACAGCCTGCTTGCTAGATCCTTGATCAATGGTTCCTAAACCATTATATATATGATTATATATAAATGCATGTGTATGTCTGATTATGTAATAATTATATGTAAATAAAAATATGATTAGATGTAAATATATACATAGAAAATATGTGTGTATGTTTTATGTATATAAACGTGTACACATACACAATATACATCTACACCTATTTAAATATCATCCTTGGTCTTCCTATTTCACTGTGGACCACTGATAACTTTGTCACGGACCATCACTGCATGGACTACTATGTACACTGACACTTTTAGATCAGTTTGCTATACTTTCATATAATACCCAACAACTTACTGTACTGGGCACAGTACTAGGTGCTTTAAATACATTATCTCAATTATTGCAACAATTTTATGACCCCATTTTATTTAGCTCAGAAAGATGAATCACTTCTCTGTAAGCATAAACCTAATGTATGTTACATAAAATTTAAATTCAGATTTGCCTCACTCTAAAATTTATCTTTTTTCCATGATGCTACACTACTCCTCAACAAAACCTAACTATTCTTGCCATTCAATGCTTCTCCCGTTACTCCAAATTTCAAGTTAATTTACAGAGACTAGTTATCCACCCAATACTCCCCAAAATGCTGTCTTCCCCAAGGTTAAAAAGTGTGTTCCTCATTCTAGCATCCATACACTAACATTAGTGAGCTATTACCATGGCTGAATGCTGTGTCCCCATTCTCCCAAATTCATATACTAAAATCCTAATCCCTAGTGTGATGGTATTTTTAGGTGGTACCTTTGGGAAGTCACTAGGTCGTGAGGGTGAAGCCCTCATGATTGGAATTAGTGCCCTTATAAAGAAACAAGAGAGACAACCTCTCTCTGCCATATGAGGTTATAGTGCGAAGGCTGCTGCTACAAACCAGGATATGGGCCCTCACCAGACAATGGATATGTCAGGTGCCTTTATCTGGGACTCCCCAGCCTCCAGAACTGTGAGAAACAAATGTTTATTTTTCAACACCCAGTCTATGACATTTTTGTTATAGCAGTCTAAACTAAAGCAATTACCAGTAAGAATATTTCCTATAACTCTCATAATCTAGGAAAGCCATGCAAAATCTAGGCAATATACATTAATCAGAAATCTGAAAGAAATTTTACTGTAACCAATAATGTAATGAAAAAGAAAATATGATAAAAATAGTATTTTTTTTCAGTTAACTAAATTATAATGCTATTAAAACAAAAAATCTGGGGAATATTTAGATATGAGGCTAATAGATTTGAAAAAAAAAATGACCTCAAGATATTAAAGTATACAACAAAATATATTGTGATAATTATATCCTGACCTATGATTATATATAATACACAAAAATGGGTAGAAAATTTGTCTACTCTTGTTTGTATTATTTAAAAAATTACTCTTTTAGCCCTGGCCAGTTTGGCTCAGCGGTTAGAACGTCCACCTGCGGTCCGGAGAGACCCGGGTTCGGTTCCCACTAAGGGCATGTACCTCGGTTGCAGTTTGTCCCCGGCCCTGGTTGGTCGTGCGGGTGGCAGCCATTCGATGTGTCCCTTTCACATCGATGTTTCCCTCTCTCTCTCTTCCTCTCTCTCCCTCCCACTCTGTCTGTACAAAAAATGGAAAAATGTCCTCAGGTGAGGATAAAAAAAAAAATTACTCTTTTAATAAATTGACATAATAACAATTATAAAAACAGTAGTCAATGTAAAACATATATGTGTAAAATTAATTTTTTTTCTTGTAATATGATAGCTAACGCTTAAAGATATGACATATTTTGTTTTACGTAGTAGGGAATTTACTTCTCTCTTTTCCATGGAACACTTAATATGCATATACCAAAAGTGGGGAGAAATTCATTTTGTTCAAATATTAAGTATGGTCCATTTTTACACACTCTTGATCTGGACAAGTATTTAAAAATATTTAAGAATGAGAACAGATGCTCAATAATAAATTAGAATAGGTTTAGAAATGGAAACCATTATAATAACTTAAAATATCAAACAATTATAACTATATAAAACCTACACTACTGAATTTTTTTAATATATCCCGTTTTGTAATTTTTGTTCTAATTTTCCTTTAAAAAAGAATAATTTATTTTTAAATTCCTTTAAAATTTTCTAATACACCAGAAATGTTATATTAATCATTCCCTTAGTCAAATGGGAGTTCAATTTTTAATTTTTTGAGGTAACACCATACTGTTTTCCATAGTGGCTGCACCAGTCTGCATTCCCACCAGCAGTGTACTAGAGTCCCCTTTTCTCCACACTCTCGCCAACACTTGTTGTTTGATGATTGCCCAGTGATCCCACTTCCAGGAATATACCCTAAGAAGCCTGAAACACCAATCAAAAAGAATATATGTACCCCCATGTTTGTAGCAGCACTATTTACAATAGCTAATATCTGGAAACAGCCTAAATGTCCATCAGTAGATGAATGGATAAAAAAAGCAGTGGTACATATACACAATGGAGTACTATGCAGCTGTAAGAAAGAAAGATCTCTTATCCTTTAAGACCACATGGAGGGACCTGGAAAGTATCATCCTAAGCGAAACAAGTCAAACAGACAAAGACAAGTATCATATGATCTCAATTATTTGTGGAATATAATGAACATAACAGTCTGAGGAATGGGGTAGTCCCAGAGACATGGAAGTGGGGTACAGACTGGCAATCCCCAGAAGAGGGGGTAGTGGGGAAGACATAAACCACAGAACTTATATGCATGTATGCATGAACAATAGACATGGACAACAAAGCTGGGGACAGGTGGGGTAGGGGGAATCAGTGGGGGAAAAAGAAACATCTGTAACAAAAATAAATTAATAAGAAAAAAATCATTCCCTTAATAAGTATTAGTTATATGTTATTTTACAAAAAGATTATTTTATGTCTATCAGACAAACAATTAGTTCTAGAATTTTAAATAAGAATTATCTGCCCTGGCTGGTTTGGCTCAGCAGTTAGAGCGTCAGTCTGCAGTCCCAAGAGACCTGGGTTCAGTTCCCGCTAAAGGCACATACCTCAGTTGCAGTTTGTCCCCGGCCCTGTGCAGGAGGCAGCCACCTGATGTGTCCCTTTCACGTCAATGTTTCTCTCTCTCTCTCTTCCTCTCTCTCCCTCCCACTGTCACTGAACAAAAAATGGAAAAATCTCCTCGGGTGAGGATGAAAAAGAAATTTAAAAAAAGAATTATCTAGTAATGGTTATAGTAAATGGGAATCTGAACTTAGATATTTAATATTATTAGGTATTACTTAGAAATATTTCCAGCATATATAATTTTTTGTGTTGCAATTCATCTGTGTTAATTATCAAGTTACCTTTTTTATAAAGTTTTTTTTTCCCCATAAAAAGTAAACAAACATATCACTACCTTCTGTGAAACTGCAATTTTAACTTCTCCTTGGAGTGCTTCAATTTGCTTTTTCTTCTGCTCAGTTAATTGCTTTAGCTCATTTATGTTCCCCTGAAGTTGCTGTTCTTCTTTTTCCTTTTGTTTTAAATTATTCTGGGCCTGTATGACTTGTCCCTGCATTGAATTGAGTTCCAACTTCAACTGATGAGAAGTCTAAAAGAAAAGAAAATTTGTTTAGTATTAATTTATTCATCAAACACATTTACTGAATATCTACTACATGCCAACCACTGTTCTGGGTAGAAACCACTGAGCCTTTTGTCCACAGGTAACCAGTAGTAAGCCAAAAACACAAATAAATAAACAAAATCCCTGCCTTCATGAAGCTTTTATAACTGACACTATTCACAACTAGATGACACACTGGATTAATCTTTAATATTTATTTAATACTAACTTCCTTTTAAATTTATCATTATGTATTGGGATAGAGCTTGTAAATGAACTAGGCTAGTATCCCCTTATATCATAGCAAATAAGAATATCAACATGAATCTTTAGATTGCCAGAATGTCTGCTGTCTTTCTAGAATACTCTCAAAGTGCTAACTGAGCCTGCTGCCCATGGTTAATCAGAAAGAATAACTCCGTATCAATTACAACAAAAAACTAAAATCGCTTTTGGCAAGTATGTTTAATATCAGACTTGACACTAAGCTACACCACACAATAGTTTCCTCATTTAGAGAAATGGAATATATCTTGCTGCTATCTTGTTTTTACAATCTACTGGAATATATTTCTGTTTAAAATTAGATGTATAGAAGTCATAATGAGGTTCCTCTGTGGACACAGTGAACTACCACTATCTCCCCCACTTCCAGCCAAAGTCATCCATGTGTCAGCTCTTTCTAACACAGAGGGAAATACTTCTGTGTAAAATAGAAGTCAGGTAATAAAACAGTAATGATGATTATGCTATGATAACCAGTAATAAAATAATAGCTAACACGGAATATTTTTTTAGTCAGTGTTGTAAGCATTTTAAAATATATTAACCCACTTATTTCTCACAATAATCCTATGACATAGATTCTATTATTAGCCCCATTGTACTGCTGAGGAAACTGGAGCACAGAGAGATTAAGCAATCTGCCTAAAACAAGGCAAGACAGCATAGCTAACAAATGGCATACCCAGTAAATATTTCTGAACAATCTGGACTCAGAGCTTGGGCACCAAGCCACCATAATTTCATATTAAAGACTTGTCAGGAGTAGGTTTTGCTGCTTTATCAAGTCAGATCTCTAGAAAGCTACATGCCTGAACTCTAGTTGCTAGAGGTGTATCTTCAGAGAATTACAACTATAATGTTCCTTATTTTAGATGATTTAATTATAACTCAATAGTTAGTTGACTCAAGTCTCCATCTTTATTAATTATAAACCTCAATTTTTGGCCTTTTATTACAAACTATCTTAAATCTTTTTAGTAATAGGTAGAAAACAAATTACAGTTTTAAACTATGTATATATAATTCATTATATTTAAGAGAAATACATATTCCTTTGACTTAAGCACCAGTGTGAAAATATTTTTAAAATATAAAGGTCTTTTATGCTTTACATATTTTACATCATTAAAAAATAAAAAAATAAAAAAAAAAAAACTTACCTCCTTCTCTTTTTCAAGTGACTTTTTCAGTTCGTTCTGTTCCTTAACTGTGCTTTCCATCTGTACTTGAAATTGATGCTTCAATTCCTTACAAGTTTTTTCCTAAAAAGAAATGGAAACTACATTATGCAGAAAATATTTGTAGAAAGTTTAAGAAGTTTGGTTCCACCCAAGGAAATAAACTAGAATCATTGGTGGTTTAAGGAGGAAAAAATCAGGGAAATTTGTAATACTTTCAACAATAAAGATAAATTTAAAAAAGAAGATGGGATAGAATCTTCCATTTCAATTATAAAAGCAAGTAAATATTATAGTAGTAACAGAAGAGAGACAGGGAAAGACTAACAGTTTCTATCATCAACAAACGGTCACAATAAATATTTTAGATATGTAAACAATATTTTAGAATGCTTTTATGTTACAAAATTAATTATAATTAATTAACTTGTCATGTAATTTTGAAAGTTGAATAAGGGGCTTCAAAAAAATGGAAGGCAGAAAAATTTTTAACAGAAAGTATTAAAACCATAAATAAAAAAATAATAATAATTTAAGGGGGAAGCTGTACAAATAAAAGATGTTTTACCAAACAGAAAGGTAACATATTAATATCATATGTTTTGTTTGTTTTTTTTACTACTAAACACTTTCACTGACCTTCATATTGAAAACAAAAGAATTTTACTTTCACTGTTACTCTGTGTTATTCTGAGTTAAAATATTTCTGAGGATACATTCCTCTTTAAGCATTTCCTAAGACAGTGAGACTTTTTTCTCTGTATTTTAGATAGATTTTATGGTATCTCTATGATATGGTATTATCCAGTGTTTTAGAATATTCAATAAATATTAGAAAGTTTATAGTACCAGAATTAAACAGTTAAGATCTTTCTTGTCGTTTTTCTTTTTTTCACAGATCCGTGAATAATGTTTCAACTAGTAGCTATATTCTCTGTGGGAATGTCCCTGAGGACAAACCTCCTCTGGTATCTCCCAAATCTCACATCATACTAGCAACAGAGTAAGATTGTATATTCAACTGAAAATTTCCTGAGTCTTTGAAAAACAACACATGTACATACCAATATCTTTTTCCCAGGTTAAGCAATCCCCAATCCTTTCCTCCTAAGATTTATTGAAACCATTTAAATGTAGGATAAAAAGTCAACAGTGAATTAAGTAGAAAAATCATTACATTTTAATTAAAAATTACTTCTACCTAAATAAGTAAATGTAAACAACTAACCAAATCTAATATAGCTGCCTTTCCTTTCTGATTTTCCTTTTCAAATTCACTTCTGGAATTCTTCAAAGAATCAGAAACTTTGGATAATTTCTCTTTTGCTGCCGAGAGCTCTGCCATCAGAGTTCCTTTCTCCATCTTCACTTTTTCTAGTTCGGTTACTGCTGCTTGCATTTTGTTATTCAATTCCTTGTGCTGCATCTTTGCATCTTGACTTAAATTTTCAATTTCCTTTTTCAGAATGATTTTTTCTTCTTCTTGCTTGGTAAGCACTTGCTTAATATTTTCAAGGGCTTCAGATTTTTTCTGTAGGTCCAACTTTGTACTGGATACTCTAAATAGTCAAAAAACAAATTTTTAAAAAATAATGCATAATTTACCATCCCTAATGTACCATTCAAAATTAATAAATTACTATTGAGCTTTTAAACTTTTTGTGTAGCTAAGTAAAAAAAAGAAAAGAAAAATTAAATGTCATAAAACCACACAACCAAAATGCCTTAAAACATATAATGTGATCATTTAACAGATGAAGATGGTTTTCATCAATTCAAATAAGTTAATGGTAAAGCCAAGACCATTTAAGCTTCCTGACTTAATTCAGTCTTATCCACCACAATGGATCCCTCCAAACAAACTGCATGCAACAGACCATGTAGTCTACAATGGCCATAAAAGGCTTTCCATGTATCGTAAAGAACCTATAATGTGTTATCCCCCAAGCACATAGAGAACTTTGCCTCTTTCATTGAAAACTTAAAACTTATTAACCCAGAAAAAAAACTAAATTAAAAAACAAAAGAAATATTTTATTTCAAACAAAGATGAAAGACAAATGATTTACTTTAATCCTAGAGTTTAGCAGATTATACAAGAGCTTTGTTATCATTTGTCCCTTAATATAGGTTTTCTATCCATGAATGAATAAACTACAATAATGAAGAAATGCAGAGACAGCTTTAAAAAAATTAAACTAAAGATTTTTACTGTTTTCATAAAAAAAAAATTATATATATTAGGCACCAAAAAACATATTAAATATCAACCAATTTTTAAAAATGAAAATAAAACCAGATGCAAAGTAATATTTCCTGAATGCATAGTATTTCCAATGTACTTTGTAATCATAAATTCAAAAATATGTTAAAGAGAGGCTGTTAAAAAATAATACTAACCACATATTTAGAGTTGGGTATTAATACAATACCAGAACATTGAACTTTCCAACATTTAATCCCAGAAACTAACTTTTACTTTCAAAAATAATAGCTAGAAAAGCCCTGGCCGGTTTGGCTCAGCGGTTGGAGCGTCGGCCTGCGGTACAGAGAGACCCGGGTTCGGTTCCCGCTAAGGGCACGTACCTCGGTTGCAGTTTGTCCCCGGCCCTGGTTGGTCATGCGGGTGGCAGCCACTCGATGTGTCCCTTCACATCGATGTTTCTCTCTCTCTCTTCCTCTCTCTCCCTCCCGCTCTATCTGAACAAAAAATGGAAAAAAAAAAAAAATAGCTAGAAAAGATGAAGTTAAGTATAGGTGAAAAGATGAAGTTAGGATATTGTACCTCACTAATTTTAAAGGTCCAAGTAGAAAATTTATTATACTAATATTAGTTTACCATTTTAATATAGTTAAAATCTTAGTAAAAAAAAAAAAACTGTAAAATTAGGAGTTGAGATGTTTACTTACTATGCTACTTAGCTTTCCATAAATAATTATTATAAAATTCTAAGATTGTGGTAAAGAAGGTAAACAGAAATAAAGGCTTGTATAGCCACTGTATAACGATTTATTTTAAAAATTACTTCCTAAAGGAAGTAATAAATAAATCCACATCACAGGTACATCCTTTCCTCAGAAACTGATAGAATAACCAGAGGAAAAAATTGGCAAGATTATAGAAAATTAGGACAACACTATCAACCACCTTGACCTAACTGATAGTTACAGAACACTTTACCCCAAAACACAGAGCACATACATGTGCACATGAACAATTAACCAAGATAAACTGAACACTGGATCATAAATAAGACTGTTTGAAAAGTCTCAATTTTACAGAATATTAGAAATCAATACTGTAAGATATCTATAAGAGCCCCAAATAGCTAGAAAATAAACAACATAAGTATTTTTAAAGAAGAAATCACAAAGGATATTAGAAAACACATTAAACTATGAAAATACATTGTAGAATGTGAGTTGAAGAGAAAAACTGAACGCATAGATGCTGACGAACTGAGAAAAGGAAACCCTGTACCCTGTTTTGGGATGAGCCCTTGGATCAGGGGTAAGGTTTAGTCAAACCCAAGATATGTTTACCCAGCCCTCCATTTCTAGTACTCTACATATAAGAAATGTTTGCATGAAGTATATAGGCAAAAAAGTTCTTAGTCCTAAAAGGTTTTCTTACCCCAACATGATGTGGAACTCTCTGAGTGAGATCTGAACCATGAGTGAAAATGGGCCCAAATGTAAAGAACTATAGGCCTACAGGGGCCTTGGGAAAGAAAACAAGAACCAACACAGAAGTGATCTTCACAAACTGATGAATGAGTTCCAGAGGTAATGAATCAACTGTTCAGTTGGTGGTATAAAGGATCAGATGTGCCTGGCTGGTGTGGCTCACTGGTTGAGTGTCAACCCACGCACCAAGAGGTTGCCGGTTCGATTCTCGGTTTGGCCCAGGTTGTGGGCCAAATCCCCAGTAGGAGGCATGCAAGAGGTGGCCAATTGATGTTCTCACTCATCAATGTCTCTCTCTCTCTCTCTCTCTCTCTCCTTTCCTCTCTCTCTAAAATCAATACAGATAAAAATATATATAAAAAAAAAAAAAGATCAGATGTGCTCCCCAAATACATAGGCACTAAAAACTATGATGCTAACAGTGAGAAGAAATGCCATTTGAGACACAAAATGTAGTTCTATATTCTCAAATTCAACGTTTACTAGATGTGAGAACAAGAAATTTTCATGACTTCCAAAACAAGAATGAAGGCGTGAAACAACTTAATCATCATTAACTCTGAGGTGTTTTATTTAATTTCCCTGACAGGTCCTTTTCCCAGGCTCTCAGCTCCCAACTTTACTACTGAGAGTCAAGGACTTTAATCCCCTTGACACAAATGAAGTCTGTCAACTCAGTCAGAGTGGTCTACTTGGCATTTAGAGATAAAGACTACTGAAGTGTAACGGGTCACAGCCCTCCTCTATGAGGACATTCAAATGAATGGGATGAAACTGATTTTTATCCATCGAAAGTTTGGTGAGTTATGTGTTCCCTGAAGATCTCATAGTAAAACCCAGTCCAACCATCAATATCAAGGACAAGCCAGGCAAGAGACTCATTCTACCTTGGGACTAAAGAAAGATGTTTCAGTTTAGTACTTAAATGGCTATATGGCATGTGTCCAGAGGCACATATCCCTTCTGCCATCGAAGACATTTGAAATTTCATTTACCAATATCTTTTAGGATCCCAATATCTTCTAAACTAAATACCTCTTATACTCAGGTCTGTCATGAACCCACTGACCACTTAGTGCAAATGAGAAAAAGGATAATCTTTATCAAGATAATTTATTTTACCTGTTGAAAAACTCATACTACACTGATTTTATTAGAATAAGACATAACTACCATCTATAGACATCTGACATCTATCATTGACAAAATACAAAGGGGATGAGAAGCTTAAAAAGACTTCAAAAGGTGAATAGCCACAGGGAAACCTTCACATTAGAAGCTATAAAAAGAAGAGCAAACTGCCCTTGCCGGTAGCTCAGTGGTTAGAGCACCTGGGGTTCAATTCCCAGTCAAGGACACGTATCTGGATTGCAAATTTAATCCCTGATCCCTGCTGTGCAGGAGACAACCAATCAATGTGTCTCTCTCATATCAATGTTTCTCTCTCCCCCCACCTCTCTCCCTGCCACTCTATCTAAAAATCAACGGGAAAATATCATTGGTTGAGGAATAACAAAATAAATAAATAAGAAAGAGCAAACTAAACCCAAAGTCTAAGGAAGAAAATACTAAAGATAGGAAGAGAAGTAAATGAAATAGGAAATAGATAAAAAAAACCAAATCAAAAGTTTTTTTTAATGAAATTTATAAATGTCTAATTAGATTGATCAAGAAAAAAGAGAACACAAATGATCACTATTACGAATAATGAAACAGTCCAACTGGTGTGACTCAGTGGATTGAACGTCACCCCACGGACTGAGAGGTCCTGGTTTGATTCCTGGTCAGGGCACATGCCCAGGTTGCAGGCTCGATCCCCTGTGTGGGGCATGCAAGGGGCAGCCGATACATATGTCTCTCTTACATCAATGTTTCTATCTCTCTCTCCTTTCCTCTCTCTATTAAAAAAATCAAAATAAGAAAAAGAATGAGACAGCACTACAGATCCTACAAGACCTTAAAAGTATAATAATACAGGGTAGGGCTAAAGTAGGTTTACATTTGTTTGTATGGAAAATAATATAATAATTAATAAATAATAATACAAAAATAAACTCTGTGTTTTGCATACTCACAACTGTACACCTACTTTGGCCCCAACCTGTATTATGAACAGCAGTTTATAAATAAATTTGAAGTTTAGATGAAATGCACAAATTCCTTGAAAGACATTAATTACCAAAACTGATTCAAGAAATACGAAGTAAAAATATTCCTGTATCTATTAAATAAATTGAATCCCAAACTTAGAAAGAAAGCTTCAGGCCATTTGGTTCAAACATTTAAGAAATAAGTAATATCCATCTCATACAAACTCTTTCAGAAAGTAAAGGAAAAAATACTATCAATTCCTTTTTTTAAGACCAATGTAATCATGATTTCAAAACCTTGACAATGACATTAAAAGAACATTACAGATCAATAACCATCATAAATGAATGGAAAATTCTTTATTATTATTATCTTTTTAAATTCTCACCCAAGGATATTTTTCTATTTATCTTCAGATAGTGGAAAGGAGGGAGGGAGAAAGAGAGATAGAAACATTGATGTGAGAGAGACACATCAATTGGTTGCCTCCTGCATGACCCCAACAAGGGCCAGGGACCAATCTGTAACTGAGGCATGTGGCCTTGATCAGAATTGAACCCGAGACTCTTTGGTCCACAAGCCCATGCTCTAACCACTGAGCAAAACCAGCCAGGGGGCATGGAAAATTCTAAATAAAATATTATCTCTTTTTTTTTTAAATCCTCATCCAAGGACATTTTTGCATTTATCTTCAGACAGAGTTGGAGGGAGAGAGGGAGGAAGAGAGAGAAAGAGAAACATCAATGTGAGAGAGACACATCAAGTGGCTGCCACCCACACAACCCCAACTGGGGCCGGGGACAAACTGCAACCAAAGTACGTGCCCCTAGCCGAAATCGAACCTGGGACTCTCTGGTCCATGGGCCAACGTCCTAACGGCTGAGCCAAACTGGCCAGGGGGCATGGAAAATTCTAAATAAAGTATTATCAAGTTAAATATAGTAATACATAAAAAGAATAATAGGATGATCAAGTGGGATTTATCCCGGGAAAGCAGGGTTGGTTTAAAAATTTTAAATCAATAAATGTAATTCACCATATTAACAAAATAAAGAAGAAAAACTGTATAGCATATCAAAAATAAAGAAAAAGAAGTTCATAAAAAAAAAAGTTTAAAGAAAACTAGTATAGAAGAAAATGATCTCAATTTGATATAGGAATGTAGGAAAAACCTAGAGCTAACCACTAAATTGATGATAATTTATTTAATTTTCCTGTCTAAGACTGGGAATTATGCAAGGATGTCCACTATTACTGTTTACATTAAAATTTTACTGGAGGTGTCAGCCAGTAATAAGTCTAGAAAAGGACATGAAAGGCCTGCAAATTAAAAAAAGAAGAAGTAAAACTATTGCTATTCACAGAGAGCATGATTATTATCTATTTAGAAAAGTCTAAGGGCTCCACAAAACAACTATTAAAACAAGAAACTGAATTGAACAAGGTTAAAGGGTAGAAAGTCAATTGTATTTTTATACAATTCAAAAGCGATCAGAAAATTAAATTTTAAAAAGAATTCCGTTTAAAATAGCACTAAAAAATGTAAAATATTTAGAAATAAATTTAACAAAAGATATGCAAAATCCCTACTTTAAATAAAACAAAATGTTACTCAGAAAAATTAAGGAAGACCTAAATAAATAAAAGGATATACATGTTCATGGACTAGAAGACTCAATAAAGTTAAAATGTTAATTCTTTCTAAATTGATCTATAGATTCACTACCATTCTAATAAAAATCCAATAACTTTATTTATAGAAATGGACGTTAATACTAAAATTTATATGGAAAAGCAATGAATTTACAAGAGTCAAGACAATCTTGAAAAAAATGAAGTTGGAGGACTGATACAACCTGATATTAGGATCTACCACAAAGCTACAAAAAATCAACAGAGGATGGTACTGTGTCCAAATACCATATAGATACAGACCAATGGCACAGAATAGACTCCACAAATAGAGCTACATATTTTGGTAAATCACTTTTGACAAAGGTACCTAGGCCACTCAATGGGATAGAAAATGTTTTATCAACAAATGTGACTATAACAACTTAATGTATGGAGGCAAAGATGATCCTTGGTCCCTACTTGGTACAGTGCCTCAAAACAGAAGCCCGACTGCCCTTGGGTGATTATATCTAAACACCTCTCTGTTTGTTGATTCACATTAATTTTGCAAATTAACGAACAATTCAAAATAATTGCTTTAACCTAGAGAAATGAGTAGCACATTACTGGTAGAAGAAGACTAGATAACTCAAAATTTCAGTCCTTTCTAGTGAAGGTAAATTTAACCATATTATGATGGCTTTATTTTTTCATTCACAATAATATTAGCTATTTATAGAATCAACACAAAGAAACATTTACTAAATATTTAAGCACTGTGAAACCAAAATAAATTTTAAGAAAAATTTAATGCTTAAATTATAATCTCCCCCCTCAAGCTTACATTTCTTTCTCTATTTCTAGTTGTTTAGTCAATTCTGTGACTCTAAGCTCTAAGTCCGTGTTCAGCTGCCTGTGCTGTTGTAGATCCTGCAAAGCTTGCTCCTTGCTTGCTTTAACTTCAAGAGCATCAGCCTCTAGTTTCTGTGGAAAAAATGTAACATAGTAACCATTTTAACATCAAAAATTATTTAAATAGTACAACATCTTTGTTTTATATTCAAATTGGTGTTAACATAACAGACACAAAAAAAGCCATAAAGTACTTGTTTAAATATAAAAAATACATTCTGAAGCCATTACTGAGTAAAGGAGCCATTTATCTCGAAATCTGCCAGAGGAGCTAGCAGCAGGCTTTACACACAATAGTCATTAAGTTTTTACCTTTAAAAATTATCTGAATAAAAACATGAACTTAAAATAATTATATTTAAAATGAGTAAAAATCATTCATTCAAGTATAGAAAAATAAGTAAAAAGTTCACATATGAGCCCACTTAAAATATATTATCCTTGCCCTGGCTGGTATGGCTCAGTTGGTTGAGCATCATTCCATGCACCAAAAGGTCATGGGTTCAATTCCTGATCAGGGCACATGCCTGGCTTGCAGGCTTAATCCCAGCAGGAGGTGTACAAGAGGCTGTCAATAGATGTTTCTCTCTCACATCAATGTCTGTCTCTCTGTATCTCTCTCCCTCCCTTCTTTTCTCTCTAAAACCAATAAAAACATATTATACATATGCATAAATATGTGTGTGTGTGTGTGTATTCCTCAGTATTCAGTTAACAATTATCTAATTATAGATATTTAAAACTACAATGAAGCTATCACATCATCCTTCTCATTAAAACCTATTGACCTTAAATATAAAACCAATTGAATTCCTGATTTTGCTTCTTTAATCTCTTGATCTAGAGATTATTATTCATATATTCACATATAACTGTATATTGTTACAATTTTACAAAATCAAGCTGTTAAGTATATAGGTTGTATATCTATAAGCAATGCATTTTCTTACATAGTTTAATAATTTTGCATTCTATTTTACAAACTAATCTGGATACCTGTGGCTCTTACTCAACATTTTATTGGATATTTGATGTAATTAATGTTAATTTTATAATATATTGATATGAAACATATGGAATACTTTATAAAATAATAATTATAAAATGTTAAAAATCTGATAAGTACAATAGACACTATTGGATTTTAAAAACTAGTTTTAAAAGATATCCAAATAGAATTCTCATTAGCCACTTTTCAGTATTTTGTTTTCTTCAACTATTACATAAATTTGTCATTACTATTACCACTGGCCATAAAAAAAAAAAAAAAAAAAGAAAAAGAAATCCATAAACAGAATTGTAAATGTAATTCTTTTTCCATGTTATATTGGTGTGAAGATAAATATATTATACACACACACACATATACATCCCATGATTATATAATCATACAGAAGTGCTTCATCTGATTGTGAAGGTATATGTGTGCGTGTGTGTGTGTGTGTGTGTGTGTGTGTATACACACATAAACTTGAGAAATTTTTAACTGATAGTTCCAATTTAAAGACCAAAGGACTCAGGTCAATTCCTTCTCTGTCTTTTAATTTAATCTCTTTAATAAATCAATACTTTCACTTGGAGTTGTACTAAAGTAAGAAGCAGGGTACCATAGAATAAATTTATTATTAAATTAGAAACAAAATGCAAAGGGTATAAATGTAAAGTTTAAAAAAAGAAGAAGTCTACTATATCTTCAATATTATATTGGAATGAGGAGGGAAGGAAGTGGAAATGATAGAACAAAAGAGACTTCACAACAACCAAAAAATGATAACTTCTTTGTAATAATCAAGTAGATCCCTGGTTGACTGTTTCTTTGAAATACTAGTTACACATAAAAATGAACCAGTATAAATGTTAACTGTCATTTTTAAAAGTCACCCATTAACAAAGATATCAAAAGTTAAGGTGAAATTCAAAATTAATACATAAAAATTACAAGGAATTTTTAAATATTTTATATCACAACTTCTCCCTTGTTTGCAAATGTAAAATCTTTTATTCCATCCAGGTCATTAGTTTCCATTGTTACAACTGTAAAAAATATGGCTAAATTCAATTTATTTTATACAAACCTTAATTTGACCTTCTAATTCTTCAGTTTTCTGTTCTAAAGACAATTGTTTTTCTTTATATTCTTTAAGATGACTTTCCAGCTGACTGCAATGTTCTTGCCTATCCTGCAACTTTGTAGTGACCTGATCCAACTGAGTAATGATCTTATTTAACTCCTACAGAGAAATAAAAGTGAAGAAAACTGTGGTAAGATTTATTTTATTGTAGTGTCCAAATGTTTGGTCAAAGTAAACTTAAAACTCTAATTTTATTTTTAAAACTATTTGGAGTAAGATCACAGGTAAGTCTAATGATAATTTAGTCATTAAATGTATCCGCCAATCTCAAGGACCTGAACTGAACTTGTGCATAGTCTGAGATACTAAGTTTATACGCATAACAATTCAATAACTTTTTCTAGGAAGCCAAAAAATACAAAATAATAATAAACAAGCTAATAACAAAATAATGCTTTTATAATTAAATGTTTTCAAAATTCAAGACACCACTTTCTAAAATAACATTTAAAAATATAAATGATTATATCTGATACTTGTTCAATTAATTTGAAATATCTAGTTAAACAGAAAGAACAAAATAAAAATTACTAGTAAATCAACCACCCACAGATAATCACAATTAATGTTTTGATAACTTTTTTTCCAGTCTTTTCTATATATTAGTTTCTATTTTTTTATTTGTACTTTTAAAATAAAACCAGGATCTCATTTTACATACTGTTTTACTGTAACCACCTTTGTTGTTACATAATAATACATCATGAAACTGTGACATTTTCTAAAATATCATTATACTTGACTGCATAAATATTCATTTTATTGATACAGGCCATTTTTTATTTTATATTCTTAGGTTACTACTAAAATTTCTGCATTTATTGAAAGAGATACAAACAGCATTCTTAAAGCTGTGATTATTCCCTTAAAATAAAGGACCAAAAGTGAACTAGAATATATAAAAAATCCTGAAGTTCTTGAAGTAGATTGCCAAACAGCTTCCCCTACCACCATCAAAAGATTGAACTAGTATATAAAACCCACTAACAATGTACAAAAGTGGCTTGTTCTTCTACACCATCTCCAATCCTTTGAGTATTAATTAAACATATACACACACATTTTACCTCATTAAGGGCATATTCCATATTGTTTTAAATTGAAACTGATTCCTAATGAACTTGAACATTTACTAATACAGTTTTGATCACTTTTTTATAGGTTCACTTACTTCTTATATATAAGTGTTTTAAATATAAAGGCACTTAACCTTTCATCAGACTTCAGAAAACATTTTATTCTTTTGCTATTGGCTTTAGAATGTTGTTATTAATACTTTTGGCAGATAAATTTAAAACTTTTATGTGGTTATTCTTACAAATACTTTTTCCATTATAGTTTCTGGCACTGATGTTGTGCTTAGGAAATACGTTCCAGATGTGTTTAGCAATAATGTAAGTAAAAAGTAAGTTGTAGAATAACATATATAGTGATTCTGTGTTCATAAAAGAAAAATATCTGTGTGTGTGTGTGTGTGTGTGTGTGTGTGTGTGTGTGTGTTCAATGCATATAGACATCTGGAAGAATACATACCAGATTTAATAGCAAACTTTCCATCTAAGGATTGGAGTTTAAGGCAAATATAGGAAACAGATATTTTGTTGTTGTTGTTAACTTGATATACTACTATACTGTTTTTTAAAAAATATTGGGCCAAAAACTAGTACTAGTTCTCAAATAAAGTACAAATTTTAAGAGGTAAGAATAACCTACCAGCATTTTGACCTTGGCCCTAAGAAGGAAGATTTTACTTTACCAGAAGTATTGAAAAGGTAATCTATATTCCTGCCAGCCCCACTGATTCCTACTCCTAAGAAAAAAGAGTAACTTTTACTATTGAGATGGAATACATGTTGCTCTTTTCTGCTTCCAAGTGACAAGTATATCTGGTTTATGGCCCAGACCATCTACTTAAAATATGTGTGCAAGTCTGTCTCTCTTTCCCAGCCATTGACACTTGATGGGATGAAGCAACAATTCAACAATCAGGAGTGAATATTTCAGCTTCACAGCAAGTTCCAGACTAGGGGAGAAATAACAAGATTAAAAAACACAGCCATGCCCTGGCCAGTTTGGCTCAGCGGTTGGAGCGTTGGCCTGTGGACCAGAGAGTACCGGGTTCGGTAAGCTGCACTCCAGATGAGCTTATCAAAAACAAAAATTATATTTTTATCTTCATCTGTCTGACTCCTGTATCTACCACGCAAACTGGTTCTGAACTCAAGAAGAAATTAAGACGAATAAGCAAGTCAATCACAACATGATACAAAACTGAGCATTGTTTTTATATATGTTTGCAATTAATTTATCTATCTGAACATCAGGTTATGGTATGAACTGCATCAGGACCCCTTACCTGCTGTTTATCTTGTAATGCATTTTGGGCTGTGTCCAAATGATTTTGAAGATCTGCTCTTTGAGCAGTTTTTGCTGCTTCTGCTGATAACAATAATTCCGTTTTGGCTTTGATCTGTAACAAAATTTACAAGTCATGTAATCCATATTTAGTCCTTGATTCCCTCTTGCTTGAATATCCATTGCTTATGTCACTAAATAATTTAAAATTTTAAGTCTTTTGGCAACAATTTTTTAAAGTAAGGATTTAAATACTGAAAAATTAGTATGTGATCATCCTCCAAACAGAAAAGAGTAGGGGAGAAGATTCCTAATAATGTTTGGATAAATGACAAAAAGATGTTCCGATATGCCACCAACACACTTCTCCCTCTCTTAAATTAGACATCCATTTATTGGATTATCATATAACTTATATGACAAATATTCATATTTTAAAAAGAAAGAAATGTGTGTCTTATATTCCAAGTTGTTATATTATTTCTTATTTTCAATGGAATTAATCTCCTAAAATAAAGAAAAGAGAGGCTTAGAAATGTTTCTATAACTTTCTCTACTACAGTATACTATCAGAAACCAATGGTGAGAATGGAAAAAGAAATATGTCTTAATTCCTACCACATAATTGATTCACTGAGCAAAACCTCTACATTAGCCTATGAAAGAATATATATTTAAAAATATAATGGTACCATATAAAAGTATTTCTAAAAATCATACCTTTAAAGTAAAATAAAAAGAAAAAAACAAAGTAAAAAAATATTTAACTTAGAAATCTAATGGTATAATATCAAACTATTTTGAATTTCAAAAATAATAACAACAGCTTCACCAAAACAAAGCAAAATGATCGTTAGTTTCAGGAAGTATAGTTTGCCAGAAGAAAGAGGGAAAAGGCAAACAGGAAATTGTCTAACTACAACCTTTATTTGATTCCTATTCCCAGCTTTTTCCCATTAATAAGAAAGAGAGGGAGGGAAGGGCCAGGAAGGGCAGGGTAGGGGTCAGGAATTAAGGGACAGAAAGAGAGAGGGAAACAAAATTTAAAACATTTGATGGCCTAAAATTAGTGTTTTATTCATACAAACACATAATAAATTGCATAATTCAATATTACCTGTATGTCAAGCTGAGAGACCTTCTCCTTGCTTTCACTTAGTTGACTGTTTAATTCACTAACACTGGTTTCTAGGGAAAGAACGCGATCTTGGGCAGCTCGAAGATGTGCCTTCTGCTCTTGCACCTGGTCATGCAAATTCTCTTGGGCTTGTTTATGGCTTTCTGACTGATTCTTCAGCTTCTCTGTGAGTTGAGTTACCTGCCACATTAGCAAAACTCTAATTATGAAGGCCACAAATGATATAACATGGACTGAAAGATCCAAATTTAAGTACCAAGAGAATATTAAAGTGCTCTATGATAGGTATCTCAAATTTTTTTTTCAAAAAGAATTGTTCACATCTTTCCAAAAATAAGGAAACATAATACCTCAAAATAAGAAATAACATAAAATTCAGAGATTCCTACTGTTTTAAATCTATCTCTATTGAGCTATATTTACATGAAATAAAATGAACTGAATAGAGTTATAAAGTTTGAAATTTGATAAATACATACACTCATTTCCTTATCACCACAAACAAGATAGAGAACATTTCGATTACTCCAAAAAGTTCCTCATGCCCCTGTGCAGTGAGTACCCTCCATTCATCTCTATTCCCCATCGCTGGTCTGACTGAGTAATAAGAGTTCCCCATATATACTAGATAGTTCTAAATTGTCAGACATATATGTTGTAAGTACTTTCTCTTAGTCTATGTCTTGGCTTTTATTTTCATAATGGTATCTGTTGAAGAGTACACATTTTTACTTGAGAGAAAATCCCATTCATCATCCCATTGATGTTTTTTTGGTATACCTTGCTTGGAGTTCATTGAGTTTCATGAATGTGGATTCATATTTTTAATCAAATTAAATTTTTTTTCAGCCATTATTTCTACTAATATTTTCCTCCTCCCCACCCTCTGTGACACTAGCTTACATGATACTGTCCCACAGGTCATTAATAAGGCACTGTTTGTTTGTTTGTTTTCTAGCCTTTTCCCTCTCTTTACTTCCCTTTAGACAGTTTTAGTTATCTTCTCTTTATGTTCACTGATACTGTTTTCTACTGGCTTAATCTACTGAGCCCATCCAATGAAATTTTCATTTCAGATCTTTTTTTAATCTTTAGAACAGCAATTTTCAACCTTTTCCATCTCGTGGCACATGTAAACTGTTACTAAAATTCTACAACACACTCAAAAATATATTTTTTGCCAATCTGACAAAATAAAATAGATATAATTTTGATTCATTCAAACGTGGACAGCTATTGTGTTGGCTATTGTCATGTTTTCATTTGACAGTGTAAGGGAAAAGAGGTCAGTGCCCCTGACTAGAGAGTCAGGTATTGTATGTGTTAAAAATTCTTACAGCACAGCAGTTGAAAATTGCTGCTCTACAGGTTCTATTTGGTTCTGTTTTAGCAGTTCACTTCTATTTCTATTATTATAGTTTTTGTTTTATATCCATAAGTATATTGTAAGAACTTTTTAAAGTACTTGTTTGATGACTCCATCATCTCTCATACCAGGGTCTCTTTCCATTGAATGATTGTTCTCCTGCTTACAGTACACGTTTTCTGCCTCTTCATATGTCTAGCAATTTTTTTTGTATTTATTGGGACAGCTCTGGATTTTGCTGTCTTCCTTCAAAAAATGTTGAATTTTGTTCCATCTGGCAGTTAATGTACTTGTGGTTCAGCTGGATCCTTTTGAGGCTTGTTTTTATGCTTTGTTAGGTTGGATATGCACTAGCGTTTTACTCTAGGGCTGGTTTAATGTTATTTCTAATGTGTGACATCACAGGGGTTTCTACTGAATGGCCCAAGTGTTCACCCACATCTCTCTTCTCTGACTGGCTAGAACTTGAACATCACCCAGCCCTATGAATCTTATAATTTTTCAGCCTTCAGCTTCTAATAATTATGTACTGCCTTGCCTCATGGAACCCCATCTTCTGATCACAAAGCTTAATATTCAGCCAAAGACTCAAGTGGATCTTATGCAGATTTCTCCCCATGTTCTCTTCTCTCTGGTATTCTGCCCCTGACAATCTGAGCTGCCTCAACTTCTCTGAACTTCGGTCCCTCACACCTCAATTCAGTGAGACCACTGTGCTCTCCTTAGATTTCCCCGACCTGCACCAGTCTGGAAAACGTCTCCATGTCCAAAGCTGGAGAAGCTGAAAGATTTATTTCATTTGTTTCTCTTCTCCAGGGATCAAAACCCTGTACTGCTTGTTGTACAATGTCTGAAGACAGTGGTTTCACCCCCCCACCCCAATTTTCTATTGTTTATGGTATGAGGACTAAAGAAATAAAAGTTTCTCCAACATGTATAGGATTTTACGGTCATATTTATACAATAAGCAATGTCAAGTTGTATGCTAGTTGAAACTAAAAAACAGTCTAAAAATTTTTCATAAAAACTGGTAACTAAAGCTACCTTTAAATTTGAGGGGAAGCGCTGGCCAGTTTGGCTCAGCAGTTACAGAGTCAGCCTGCGGTCCAGAGAGACCCGGGTTCGGTTCCCACTAAGGGCACGTACGTTGGTTGCAGTTTGTCCCCGACCCTGGTTGGGGGTTGTGCAGATGGCAACCACTCAATGTGTCCCGTCGATGTTTCTCTCTCGCTCTCTCCCCCTCCCACTCTATCTGAACAAAAACTGGAAAAATGTCCTCAGGTGAGGATAAAAAAAATAAAGAAAAAAAAATTTTAATTTGAGGGGAAAATTCTATGATATTCTAATATCCAAATTAGAAAAGTGATATGACCGACTAATACTTTAATACTTTCTCATTTAGATAATTATAATTCTCTCATTGGAAAATTCTTCCCCCAAAAAAATATATAAATTCTTTTCAGTTTGAAAATGTATTAAGCTAAAATTTATAAGTTTCTCTTAAACTACATACAAATGTTAGAATAAGGTAACTTCAAGTTATTAGTTATATATTGCAAAGACATTATCAAAATATAAGTAACCAATAAGTCTGTATGCTAACCAATACAGAATAACAACTAACACTTAATTAGTACTTTGAGGTTATAAATATATTTTGTTATTCATTCTTTTTTCAAAACATAATAAAATACCATAAGCAAGTATAATTATTAATAACATCTCTACTTTTCAAATGATCTAACAAGGTGCAATGATTTGCTTATGTTCACATATGTAATAAGTTACATCCTGGGACATGAACTAAAGTTTCCTTTCTCAAATCATTTTAACTTAATTTCACTATAATTGCAACCCACCTCTAAGGTAAATAAGATGGTATTTGTCAAAATATATAAAATAAAAAGCACTAAAAATAACATAATGAAGAATCATTTAAATAAAGCACTTCATAAGATTTAGAGAGATAACAGTCCATTTTAGAAATAAAATAGATTTGACAAGCTTACTTGTTCCTGTAATGTATGGTTTTTCTCTTGTAACTGGTTAAGAACAGCAGTCTCCCCTTCACCAGCCTGAATTTTTGCATAAAGATCTTCTCTTTCCTTTTCTAGTACAGAAATATTTTCCTTACTCTTCTGTAATAAGGCTTCAAGGTTCTGGATCTTTTGGTCCTTATCGCCAATTTGACGTAGTACTTGTTCCAAATCATTCTGTAAAGAATTAAAAATTAACCTTAAGGACAGAGAACTTAAAAAGTTATTCCTTGAACATAAACATAAAATAATAAATTTAAAAATTAAAATGCTTAGTCTTAATCTTCTTTACTAATCATTACATTTTAACATGGTAAATTTAATTAAATAATTAGTGCTATATATTTAATATAAATCTATATTGTTGATAACAAACTGGAATTTAACAACAACCTTCAATTACCCGCATTCTTACAGTAACACTCTGACCTCACCACCTACTACTCTTCTTGTTCAATCAGTTTGAGACACATGGGACTGCTCTTATTCCTTAATCACACGAGGCACAGCGCCCCTCGGAGCCTTTGCACTATTTTTGTTCTTCTACCTGGAACACTTCTCTCACAGTCCTGTCTCATTCTTACTTCTTCAAATGTTTGTTCAAATGTCGCCTTCTCAATTGGCCTACCCTGGCCAATACATTACATATTACAGCCTTTCCCAATATCCCTTCTCCTGGATATTTTTTCTTTCCATAGCACTTATCTTTTAACACTAAATAATTTATTTATTTTCTGTGTTTACCTGCCTCCCTTTTCCTCCTCACAAGAATATATGCTCTACAAAGATGAGAACTTTTGTGTTTTATTCATTAATATATCTAAGACACATATGTCCTAAGATACGTATTGAATGAACAGAAAAATAAATTACTTCACTCTAACACAGAGACATTCAAGAAGATTCATTTCAACACCACAAAGGACTCTTCTATAATTACATCAAGGGATCCATCCCTCTTCCACTTGACCAAAGTAATGTTACACAGAGCACAATGCCAATTAACATTTTCAAGCTGTCTGACCCACAGCCTTTCCATCTGCCTCAATTGTTATATATATATATTCTTTATTTATTTTAGAGAGAGAGGAAGGGAGAGGGAGAGAGAGATAGAAACATCAATAACAGAGGACATCGATTGGCCACCTCCTGCATGCCCCCCACTGGGGATCAGGCCCACAACCCGGGCATGTGTCCTGACCGGGAATCGAACTGGCAACCTCTTGGTGCCTGGGTCAGTGCCCAATCACTGAGCCACACTGGCTGGGCTGCCTCAATTGTTTGAAGAGCCAGAGAGACTCTACCCAGAACAAGGCCCTAAGGAGTCCCTCTGCAAATTTTATCATAGCCCCCACCACTGCGTGAGACAGAGCCAACCCCCTGGTATCCTCAACAATCTGCACCAGTATTAAAATATTTGGGAGCAGTCACTTTTTTTTTTATTTTTATCCTCACCCGAGGACATTTTTCCATTTTTTGTTCAGATAGAGCGGGAGGGAGAGAGAGGAAGAGAGAGAGAAACATCGATGTGAAGGGACACATTGAGTGGCTGCCACCCACACGACCAACCAGGGCCGGGGACAAACTGCAACCGAGGTACATGCCCTTAGCGGGAACCGAACCAGGGTCTCTCTGGACCGCAGGCCGACGCTCCAACCGCTGAGCCAAACCGGCCAGGGCAGCAGTCACTTTTATACATGTTTCTCATCCCTCTATGTATCAATCACTAAGGGATGAAAGATAACTTCTCTGCTCTCATCCTCTTTCCCACCACTAATGATCCCTTTCTCCACATTCCACTAATCGAGAACCACAGGCCTAAGCTTCTTTCCGATCACTCTTTTTCCAAGGCGTAAATGGTATGTGGTTCCCCCTTTACAGATTCTGGTCTCCCTCAGCCCTCTCTGATACGGAGGCCTAATCCTCTGGGAAAGCAGGGGAGGTTGACCCCTTTCCTGGTTTTTCACTACCACTACTCTCCCCCTTATGTAAAAGTTTCACATTGCTTTGGAGAGTAAGTAATTCATTCATTCTACCCTCTATTCTGTGTTGCTATCCCTACCTCATTCACTGAAGACTTGGACCTGATTTAGTTTTTCTCTCAATCCCAATTTCTGCCAATTTCCTGAGAAATACAAAATACATAAAGAATTAAAAGCATAGCCTCAATACTCATATCACCTTAATTCTTAAACCTTTACTCATTCTATTCAAATCACTCACAGGTACAATCTTGTAATCACCTTAATTGTTCCAGATGAAACATTTTATCTATTCTACTCTGTGACCACAACTTTCTGACCATCTCCCAATTCCATGACCTCATTTCTGCTCTTCAATGTCAAAGAGACATTTACCTCTATTTTCTTCAAGCTTATTTGGCATAAGCCTAGCTTCTCTTCCTGAACCTCAAATATGGATATGAACTAACCTTAATTCTTTCAACTACATTCTCCATTTCCCTTTACCCCCAAATTTCCAACATATCCACCCCCCCCAAAAGCCCTACCCTAGATCAGTATTGCAATCTGCTTCCTTCATCCATACCTTTCTAATCAGTTATTGCAAAATCACAAAATTCCACAGATTGGTGCCACCACACATTTCTAGACACCAATCTCCATTGTATACTCAGAATCATCTTGTCAACCCTTTTACTTAGTAAGGTTCTCACCCTCAAACATTCCCCTTAATAACTATGTAAAACCTTCAATATTCTCTCAAATTCTTAGTCTCTAAGTGCATATATTCAGCTATTATCTCCAACTTTATCCAAAAGGGGAGGGGTGAATCTTCAAGAATATCAACCCTGATTTTCCATTTCTTTACCCATAAAATTATATATATCTAATTTATCTCCTTTCCTCAAGCTTCAAAAGATATTCTTCAGAGGAAAAATTCAAATTTACCACCACCCATTGTATCAGTGACATCATAGCTTTTTCTCAACATCTTAATCTTTCAGTCACCTCTCCTCCAACATCCTCAATTACTCTTTCCATCAGTTCCTAGACTATAAACATGTTTAGATATCTCTCATTCTCCCAAACACTTCCTGAACCAAGCCTACACTCCAGTTTCTACTCAGTGTTTATACTATTCACATTTCAATTTCAAAAGTAATGCATATTTATTTTCCTAACTCCCTCATCTCTCATTTACTCATCAATCAAAAATCAGATTTTCAACTATATCACTTTATTTAAATTATGTTTGACAAGGTCACAAATTTACTACTTAATTGCTTAATGAATATTTTCCATTCATCATACTGGGCATCCCCACCACATCCACCTTTGAAGTCCTTTAGCTCCATTCTGCAGGTCCTCATAATTACTCGATCATTCTCTCTTTGAGCTGCTCTTCCTCTATTCATCCATCCTTTAAGTGCTGGTGTTTCCTGGTGTCTTATGTTCCTATTTATCTATTTTTCTCATTATACTCTTTCTCTGGCTGACCACAACGCTTCTAATAATTCCATTTACCCCATTTTTACTGAAGCTAATATCTATAAGTTTTAAATTAATGCATGCCATAGGCAGTTTAATACATGTCCAAACTGCACTCGTCACATTCCTCTATAAAACGTGATAGCCATTTGTCTCACGTTCACTAACACAACTGATGACACCTCCATTTACCATGCACGTGATGTTATTAATAAGGAAATCATTCCCTTTTTCTCTCATTCCCTACAACTATTAAGTCAACAAGTCCTACTAATTTTACCTCCCAAGTATTACTTACATTTGTCCCTATGATATTTTTTAACAACTGCTTGAACTAAGATTATTTTTCAACTAAAATACTGTTAATACTGAATAACTACTTTATTAATCTTTTAACTGATCTCTTGTTTTAAATTGTTCTCTCCGAAATGCATCTTTCACACAACCACAAGAATAACCTATTTAAAATTCAAATCTGGTTATGGAACTTCTATCTTAAGACCTTCAACAGCCCAGCCACTGTGGCTCAGTGGATTGAGTGTTGCCCCATGGACTGAGAGGTCCCATTTTGATTCCCTGTCAGGGCACATGCCCAGGTTGTGGGCTCAATCCCCAGTAGGAGGTGTGCAGGAGGCAGCCAATCAATGTTTCTCTCTCACATTGATGTTTCTATCTATCTCTTCTTCTCTCACTAAAAAAATCAATAAAAACATATTTTTTAAAAAGCACCTTCAATACCTTTCTATCTTCAAGAATAAATGTCTCACAAGGCCTTTCATAAACTTACACATGTCTAATGCTCTAGCCTCTTCTCTAACTACTCTCTCAATTATATTCAAAGCTCCAGCAAAACCTAATAGTTGAGCTCACACCAGCTTCAGTATCCTTGTGCTTGTAACTTCTCGAGTATACTCCTCACTATCACCGTCTGAGCAACCTAGAAACATGTATGCATCCCTTGCAACTCAGATTGCCATTTCTAAGAAGTTTTTATTGACTACTCTTTCTAGACACTATCCAAGTTATATCTGTCCTTTATACTACCATAATAATTTTACATACATATCTATACCTACAATTACACTCATTACATCTCTTTAATTAGTTTTTAGGACTTTTCAGGTTTCCATAATGAGAGACTACCTGGCCTCTTTGCCATTCTTTTCTTATTATTCCTCAAGGAATGAGAATTTAACTAATTGGAAAGTTTGGATAAAAGACTAAGCATGTTTAACTGAGCCCCTTATTCCTTGAAACTTCCTCTTCTGAGCCCCATTCTGTTCATGGGAAAGTGGGAAACAATGCAAATCCTCCCAGAAAAACCTGGAGAGTCTTCTTGTTTTCTTTCACATTGAGGCACAAGGGGAGCCAACATCTGAGGCATGGAGGGTAGACCCAGGAGTGTCCAACCCCCAATTTCCACCCAGACAGCTATTTTTTATTTTTATTTTATTTTTTAAATATATTTTTATTGATATTTTTACACACAAAGGAAGGGAGAAAGAAATAGAAACATAGATATGAGAGAGAAACATTGATCATCTGCCTCCTGCATGCCCCCTACTGGGGATTGAGCCCTCAACCTGGGCATGTGCCCTGACCTGGAATTGAACCAGGACCTCTCAGTCCATGGGAGGATCCTCAATCCACTGAGCCACATGGGCCCAGCAAGAGCAGACATTTTTATCCACTGTCATGTTCACAAAATCCATTCTTTGGCTAAGAGCAGATATTAACACATATTTGTTGATTGAATGCATAAAAGAACGAATAAATGAATACCGTATTTGATTCCTGTCCATGTGACTCCCAAGCCACTCTCCAAATTCAGAAAGGAAAGCGAGTCATTACTTACTACCTCCTTTAAACTCCAACACTGTTTCTGTGTGCACAGAATTAGATTACCATTTCCCAGAAGGCAGCACTGTCTTATTCATTTCTTTATTCAGTGCATACTACAGGACCTGACATACGGTACTCAGTAATACCCAATGAATTAATGAAAGATTGAAGGAATAAATGAATAAATAAATTCCCCTCACCATAACATAACAAAAATTTAACTTATTTTAATCTTGAAGCTATTCTGTAGAATCTGTATACATTTAACCAATCATTTACATTTTCTATAACAATAATCCCAATGTTCATATGATAGTTCTGAAGCAGGAAAAAGACATGACCAACGAACATTATGTTCTACTGTAGGAAATACAAAATGTTCTTTTTTACTGAGCTAACTAAATCAGAAAATTTTATTTGTAATTTTTTTTTCCAAATATGTTATTTAAACAATACACTTGAAACTAATATAATATTGTATGTCAATAGTAATAGAAAAATAAACCATTAAGTTATAATACTAAATAATACTAAATAATAATATATTATGTATAAAAACAATTTAAATACACATTTTATTTAAATAAATAAGTTTAACATACATTTATTAATAAATTTAATAAGTAAATATTTTCAAATAAATAAATTTACTTAAAATAAATATTTTTTAAATGTATTATTTAGAGAAAATGTTTTCAACACAGTAATCAAAAGCAAAAGATTTTCTGATTATCCAGATACTGAAAATTATCAAAATCCTTCATAATCAAGTATTTTGCATTATCTAGATTTACTAAAACAAAAGAATAATGATTTGGTTATTTTTATTAAAAGGCTAATAATTCAAATAACATTTACCTGAGCTTCTCGAAGTTTTGCTGTAGTGCTTTGCTGAAGAGCTTGTTGTTCTTGATGCTGTTGCTTTGTTTTCTCTAACTGATGCTGCAGTTCTGTGGAACTTGTTACCTTTTCCTTCAACTTAAAAAATGTAGACCGTCAGATGACAACTTAAACACATAAAACTATAGTTCATAAATATCAGGCATTAGTTTATATCTCACAATTCTCAAGTCTGAAGGGAAAACTAAATTCAGACAATAATATAAAATCAACCTTAAAAGCAATATCTCATTACTTATGGAATTTTAATATCACAATTAAGAAACAATTCTTTAGGAACAGACTCTCATCCTGAGAATACAATTCTTTCTCCAGGTTAACATTTATTTTATCATTGTGTTTTATATACTAATATGATCAAGAAATTGCATGCAAATTTTTTGGGACAATAATCTAACCCACAGTATCAACATTTGTTTTATTTTTCTAAATAATTATCACTTACTGAAAAGAATGAATCATAACAATATTCAAGATGCCTCAAAGCTATCAACAAATTTTCCTACATGAGCTTGTGAAATGCTAGTTTACCTGTTCTTCTAAACGAGAAAGTTTGAGTTGTAAATCAGCCACTTGCTGTTCTTTATCCATCAACTTCTCACTGGAAAGCTGTCTCTGTTCCTTCAGCCTTCCATGAGCTTCCCCTAGTTGGCGCTCAGTCTCCAGAAGTTTACCATGTAACTTTAAAGAAAAGGAAAAAAGGTATATAAATATATATAAACACATGCACCATCACCACCACCATCCAGTTTCCAAACAATTTCTTTTTCACCAATATAAGTATAATACCGTAATTTTCATGACCCAATTAAATTTTAATCACATAAATTATGATGAATCACATAAAAATGTGATTAAACATCACAGCTTCTGGTTTTCTTGCTTTCATAAAAATTATAGTGAGCCAAAGGGTCTTGTTTGGACATAGGTATTGAAATCACTTGAAGAACTTAAAATAACAAAGTGAAAGTTAAAATGAAGACACTCAGGACACACTCAGACACAGTCCACAGTAGTTTTAAACATCACTGTTGGTTTTCCATAATTATGAACCACCACAATTGAATTCTTACATTGGGTACTGAAGAGATCCAAAACATACCAAAGTCCTCAAAATGGCACATAATTTCTAAATAAAACAGAGCAAAGAATTTTTAAAAAAAAATATTAGAGCACCCTCATTCACTAACTCTAAAATTGCCACCCAGTTAAAAGTAAAAGAACAATCTGACCTGTAGCTAAGTAAGAACTATCACTTTCTCAAATTCATTATTTTTTCTAATACCACCAGAAATAACAGTTACTTTCTCTTGGAACTGCGGGGTGGGATGGGGCAGTTCCATTAAAAAAAGAAAAGTTTGTATTGATTTCAAAATAATTACTGCACAAGTGCTGAGAGAAAAGAACAAAAAATAGTTGCGTGGAGATAAGAATGCAGGAGATTTGGAAAGGCCTCTACACTAAGAATGCTTTGACATACCAGCCTCAAAACTCCAAATAAATGTATATGGCTCAGCAAAATTAAAAACATTCTATACAAGTTGCGTTCAATCAAAACTATGTTAAATCTTAAAATATTAAGAATCTGCCCAGCTGATGTGGCTCAGTTGGTTGAGCATCATCCCATGCACCAGAAGGTCACCAGTTTGATTCCCAGTCAGGGGTTGTGGGCTCAGTCCCCAGTAGGGGTGTGTGGGAAGCAGCCAATGAATGCTTCTCTCTCATCTCTCTCTCCTTCTCCCTTCTTCTCTCTGAAATCAATAAAAACATATTTTGAAAAAATTTTAAGAATATATAGCCTGTGTTATATTTATACTTATGTGCTCTATAACTGCATATTTCTACATAAAAATTTACAATTGGCAAGGAAAAAATAAAATTGTATCAGAAAAGTAGACACCCACTATTTTCTTATGCTGTGAAACCACCTGTGGCTATCAAAGTATATGATACCCTTAATTTTTATTTTATTTTTTTTATCCTCACCCAAGGACTTTTTTCCATTTTTTGTTCAGATAGAGTGGGAAGGAGAGAGAGGAAGAGAGAGAGAGAAACATCGACATGAAAGGGACACATCGAGAGGCTGCCTCCCACACGACCCAGCCAGGGCCAGGGACAAACTGCAACTGAGGTAGGTGCCTTTAGCGGGAACTGAACCCGGGTCTCTCTGGACCGCAAGTCAACGCTCTAACCGCTGAGCCAAACCGGCCAGGGCCCCTTAATTTTTTTTAAAAGTTAATTTCTAAAGTAAAACAAACTTCCATCTAACTAAACCAGGAATCAATAACAGTTAAAGACAATGTATTTATTTTATCTTTGTCCTTAGCCAGCACCCTAACATCTGTCTCTTCCTCCTCCTCCTTCACTTTTATTGTTGAAAGTATTACAGATGGGCCCCCTTTTCCCCCCCGCCATGGTTCCCTCTACACTGCTTTCACCCCTCCCTCAAGGCCATCATCACACTATTGTCTGTGTCCATGGGTTATGCATATATGCATATTGTTTCTTTGCTTAATCTCTTCCCACTCCACCCACTTCCCTTTCAGATTTATCAGTGTGTTTGTTCCCTGCTTCCATGTCTCTGGATTCATTTTGTTTGTCAGTTTATTTTATACATTAGATTCCACATAATAAGTGAGATCATGCAATGCTTGTCTTTCTCTGACTGGCTTATTTCACTTAGGATAATACTTTCCAGGTCCCTCCATGCTGTCTCAAATGGTAAGAGATCCTTCTTTCTTACAGCTGCATAGTATTTTCATTACATAAATATACCATAGCTTTTTTATCCACTCATCTACTGATGGGCACTTGGGCTGTTTCCACATCTTAGCTATTGCTAGTAGCATTGCTCTGAACATAGTTAGTGGTGCATGTTATTCTTTCTAATTGGTGTTTCAGAAGTCTTCTGATATATTCCAAGCAGTGGGATCACTGGGTCAAATGGCAGTTTCATTTTTTATTTTTCGAGAAAATTCCATACTATCTTCCATAGGGGCTGCATCATCCAGCATTCCTACCAGCAGTGTACTAGGGATCCCTTTTCTCCACATCCTCACCAGCACTTGTCATTTATTGATTTATTTATGGTAGCCATTCTGGTAGGTGTAAAATGATACCTCATTGTCATACTAATTTGCATCTCTCTGATGATTAGTGACTGAGAATTTTTTTCATATGTCTCTTGAAGAAGTATCTATTTGTTTAGGTCCTTTGTCCATTTTGTAATTGGAGTGTATGTCTTCCTCTTAAGTAGTGTGAGTTCTTTATATATTTTGGAAATTAACCCCTTAAAAGATGTATCATTGGCAAATGTGTTCTCCCATACAGTGAGATACGTTTTCATTTTGTTGATGGTTTACAGTGATACCTCGGTTCTCGAACGCCTCGGTTTTTCGACCAAATGGAGATTCGAGAAACTTTTGTCTCGGAATCCGAACAAATATTTGGAACTCGAACTTCCGAGATGAGCCGAGTTGAGCCGAATGGCGTTCATTCGGCCCAGCGCGCCTTGCTTGCGTCATCAGTGTGAGTGCAGAGAGAGAGTCACGCTTTGTGGAGTCACGCTTTCCTATTGGGTTTCATTGCTTCGGTTCTCGAACAATTCGGTTCTCGACCGTCCTCCTCGAACGAATTATGTTCGAGAACCGAGGTATCACTGTATTTTTCTCTGCAGAAGCTTTTTATTTTGATGTAGTCCCATTTGTTTATTTTTCCTTTGTTTCTCTTGTCCTAGGCACAGTATCAGTGAAAATTCTGCTACATGAGATGTCTAAGACTGCTGCTTATGGTTTCTTCCAGGACTTTTGCTTGCTGGGAATTTATTTTCATTACTACTTAAATTTCTTTAGTTTTTATTGGTCTATTCAAGTTTTCTGATTCTTCCTGATTCAGTTTTGGAAAACTGTATGATTCTAGGAATTTGTCCATTTTCCCCAAGTTGTCTAATTTGTTAACATAGTTGTTTGTAATATGTTCTTACAATTCTTTGTATTTCTGTGGTGTCAGTAATTACTTTATCTCTTTTGTTTCTGATATTATTTATTTGGGTCCTTTCTCTTTGTTTTTTGATGAGTCTGGCTAGAGGTTCATTGATCTTGTTTATCTTTTCAAAGAACCAGCTCTTGGTTTCATTGAACTCTTGTATTGTTTTTTAGTCTCTATGTCATTTATTTCTGCTCTGATCTTTATTATTTCCTTTCTTCTACTTAATGGGCTTTTCTTATTGTTCTCTTTCTAATTCTTTAAGTTGTAGGGTTAAATAGTTTATTAGAGATTTTTCTTGTTTCTTCGGGTAGGCCTGTACTGCTATGAACTTCCCTTTCAGGACTGCTTTTGCTGTGTCCCATAGATTTTGGATTGATGGGTGTTCATTTTCATCTCTTTCCAGAAAGTTATTGATTTGTTCTTTGCTCTCATTGGTAACCCATTCATTGTTTTATAACATGCTATTTAGACTCCATGTGTTTGAATGTGTTTTTGAGAGTTTTTATTGTGGTTGATTTCTAGTTTCATGCCATTGTGATCTGAGAAGATGCTTGATATGATTTCAAACTTCTTGAACTTGTAAAGATTTATTTTGTGTCCTAACATGTGATCTTTTAGAATGTTCCTTGTGTACTTGAGAAGAATGTATGTTCTTCACCTTTAGAATAAAATGTTCTGTAAATCTCAATTAAATCCATCTGACCTAGTATGTCATTTAGGGTCACTGTTTCTTTGTTGATTTTTTGTTTTGGAAGTCAGTGAAATGTTTAAGTCCCCTACCCATTCAGCTACCCTATGTCCTTTTCTTGTTGTTAATCCTCACTGGAGGATTTTTTTTTTCATTGATTTTTAGAGAGAGTGGAAGGGGAAGTAGGGAAAGAGGGAGGAAGAGAGAAAGAGAGAAAGCAACATCAATGTGAGAGACACACATTGATTGGTTGCCTCCCACATGCACCCCAACTGGGGTATTGCTGTTGACCTCTCCCTTAAAGTCCTCCAAAATTTTTTTTTATATATTTAGGTGCTCCTATATTGGGTGTATATATATGTTTACCAGTGTTATATCCTCCTATTGAATTGATCCCTTTAGTATTATGTAATGACCTTCTTTGTCTCTTTTTATGACCTTTGCTTTAATGTCTATTTTTGTCAGGTATAGGTATTGCTACCCCTACTTTTTGTTTGTTTCTATTTTTTTCTGTCCCTTCCCTTTCCCTATGTGAGTCTCTTTTGATCTGAAGTGAATCTCTTGTAAACAGAATACACATGGGTCATATTTTCTTACCCATTCAGCTACCCTATGTCCCTTTCTTGTTGTTAATCCTCACTGGAGGATTTTTTTTTTTTCATTGATTTTTAGAGAGAGTGGAAGGGAAGTAGCAAAAGAGGGAGGAAGAGAGAAAGAGAGAAAGCAACATCAATGTGAGAGACACACATTGATTGGTTGCCTCCCACATGCACCCCAACTGGGGTCAGGAATCAAACCTGAAACCCAAGTACATGCCCCAGACCAGGATTTGAACCCATGACCCTTCAGTGTGCAGGCCATCACGCTAACCACTGAGCAACACCAGCCAGGGATTCCCTATGTCTTTTGAGTGGAGCATTTAATCCATTTACAATTAAGGTTATTAGTGACAGGTACTTATTTACTGCCATTCTTATTCTTTATGCTTATGTTTCTATATATATCT